TGAAAACTTAAAGGTAATATTCGCACCTGACATATAGTCGATATTAAATTGATTGAAAATAACATGAGATGTCTCATCACTCAACGTATGTAATTCGAAACATATGAGTACTCACTCACTTATCGTAAATTCTTGGTTCTGTGATAAATATGTATCATAATTGTATAGTACCTACCTACACAAATTGACACATACATAAACTGATATTTTTGATTTGGATTGATAAAGGTGTTCGCCTAAATATGTACTTAAATAATGTATTTGTATATTTATATATCAGTATGCAAAGGGTATTAGGTAGGTGTAGAACACCTATACTACCTAATACCTACCTACATTGTTAATTAATATATATGAAATACTAGCTGATCTCGCAAGCGTTGTTTTGCCATATAAATTAAAATCGCTATTAAAAAATAAGGGATGCTGAAAGAAGGGTGAAAATTTAGGGATGTATGTATTTTTTAATGCCACTATAGTTAAAATTAAAAATAATATTTCAAAATATATATTAGGGATCGAAGGCACATTTCCTCTACTACTACTACTACGTGATTAAAGGCTTTATTTAGGGACTCAACGTAACTAGGTACATAATATTCTAAACAATGCTCTCTGAAACAGTCAATAGATGGCGCTTCTGCGAGAGAAAACGACAAAACTTACAAAGTTTTCGTATCTCGCAACAATTGTTTCGACTTCCTCCGAAAGTCTTCTTCAGGGTGAGTACGGCACATTGCTGTACAAGGTTTGGTTACATCTACGAGTATCCGCCAACAATAGAAGGGTAACACAATAATAGAGAATATGCTGCGAAAATAAACTATGATCCAGTGGAACTAGCCATGGGATGAAATTCTGTTTCTGAATGAACCCGTGGGCTAATTATGTAACTTCGTTCGCAACGATTTTCGTATGTAACGTAGTGAAAATGACGTCATCTGTCAATAATGCGATCATATAGACGCCATTTGACGCTGTCAACTAGCATTGCAACGTAAACGCAACTTTACATATCGATAAAAATTATTTCTATCGAATGTCGATTTAGTAACCTCGTTGCAACGTCACGTAATCGCTATTTTGCCGAAATGACAGCGTGGAATTGAAACGGTTTTTACATTATGAGAAACAATTTAGAAGGTGTTTCTTTTGGTTACAATCTTTAAAATATCAGCATTAGCAGCATTATTTATCTTGTTTTGGTAATTTTCAGTATTACATATATTTTTATTATATTAAATATTACGTAGAAAGTCGTGAAAAGGTTTTAAATTTATTAAAATGGGAAAATTGTCACGACTCACAACACGACATCAGTGTTGCCAATTCGATATTTTATTTTCGTCCCAAATCACATAGAATGTTGTATTAACTAGAGTAAATGTTTAATATAAAATTAGGGTTGATTATGATATTAATATAATTAAAAAACTATTTCAATGAATACGGTGCTCTGTGAACGGAATACAACGTTTATGATGCTCTGTGATTTGTTTAAAGTAAATAAATTTATTTGTTTAAAGTTTTTACAATTATGTACAAATTTAAAAAGATGTGCCCATATCATTTTAAATTTATATGGATACCTACGTACTTACCTAGGTATCTATAGCAGAAAAGAAAATTTAATTTGTAGGTTAGATTAATATTATTAATGATTATAAATAGTTTGTATAAAATATGCTTTTATATTCAAAATTATTAACCTTATTTTTTCATTAGAATAGAATAGACTTTCTTTATTTTATTTTATTAAATGTCTATTAATAAAATTAAAATAAAAGAACAAGTGAACGCTGCAGTATATTTTGTAATTTTTGAACGCAATAAAAATTGTTTCAAATCAACCAACTAGTGTAACAACCCAATAAATTAAAATGTATCCCTCTAAAGGTATAAGCTATCTAATGTACTGACTTTTTAAATTGGTCGGATTAACAATATTCCGCTGCAACTTCATAGTAGTGTTTTATCGATAGAAATGATTTATGTTGCGGTCATTCGACCTTACTTGATCGCATTTTTTAAATTGAAATGATTTCATATTGCATCACAACTTCAACAGAAACAATTTCATATCGTGTTACATAATTAGCCCACCGGTTGGACGGTAAAAACCTTACTCACTAAAATAATTAAGAGCTTAAGGCAAAATAGATCTTGTAGCGTTGTCTAGAATAAGAGCCAGTCTGTAAGATAAAAGCATGCTTAAAGACCCCAATCCTTTTGCGACAAATCACACAGATGCACTTAACACTGAACATGATAGGCGCGGACAGACTGAAATACAAAAGCACAGGAATTTTCTTATTGCTAAAAATTGACGAAAGAACGTATTCAATGAAGACGTGCAAATCGTTTTTTCTGAAAATCCCTGCCACACTGTTAGTTCACTGAAGAACTTATCGCTTCCATTTATGTTAACCAAAGGCAAATAACCAATCATGAGAATGAAATGAAAAGAATCTCGTGATTTTATGAAAGTTCAATTTTGATTCCGCGAAGTGGCCGAGCAGCAAGAATCAACTTGGATATGCTTACCATTGTTGAACAAGAACTAGTGGAGTATACCGAATGGAGCCAGATGACGCTACCAACTATCCAATGTAATTCCTTGATTCTCTGAGTGCTACTGGACTTCGATCACATAAAATTAAGAAAAAAAAATGGCGTCGCTATGAATTTGTTACGAAATTCACGCCTTCCAAAATTATGCAACGGGACTAAACTATATTATAATATATTATATACTTCACAATACATTTATGAAAATCTCATGTATACACGGAAGAACTTAGAGAGTTTTAAAAAACTCAAAGACTGTACAAGTAGAAACTTACGCAATATAAATAAGCTTATTTTACCTAAATGCCGTCTGCACAAAATCAGTAATTCATTCTATGGTAATTGCATAAGATTTTATAATACACTGCCAGAATCTGCATTAAATCTGACAAAGAGGCAATTCAAATCGTATATTAAACAATTTTTATGTAAGAAAGCCTATTACAGGATAGACGAATTCATAGATGACAACATATCAAGTAAAAATTAGTTTATTAGCATACAACGTTATAATTTAATTTTCTCATTGCTTTCTTGATTGATTTTAGAAATATGAAAGCGTAGCGGTTTTTGTATTGATTGCCGCATGCATTCTTATGTAAAATGTGAATATAATAACTATCAGATGGCAATTGTAAGTAGCTTTGACGTGGTCTAGTGTTTTGAGTAGTCATGCTCACTAAAATGTCCAGACTTGTGGCGGCGTGGTGGGCCGGGTCATTGGGCTCCCTAAAATATGGTCGAGCGCAGTGATGGCTGGCTCATCCGTCATACTCGTGAACGGGTACTGCTTGTAGGGACTGGTCTGCTCTAATCACTATGACTGATTTCCTCTTATTAATTGTTTAACCAGTTGGTTATATATTCAATATTTTTTCTATTTCAGTATTTAATTGAATTAGTGCTAATTGGTAGTTTGTATTCACACACTTAAACTAAAAAATCTAAAGTAACAATAAAGTTATTTATAAGAGCAACTCGCAAGTTTCTTGCTCGTTCTTCTTGTGATGAGACAGCTTTCCGAACGAGCGGTAGATTAAAAAAAATGTAATGACTATTCAAATGTGCTTCAATGTAAGTGTTATGAAACCTCTTTTTAGTTTAATTTTTATATTTAAAAAGTAATATATTATAAAATTTTGAAAGTTAGTTCCTAAGATTATTGCAGTGACATTATATTTTTCTTTCGGAATTTCCTAAAATATTTTATTTCTATATATAAATCCATTCGTCCTATGTACCTGCTGTCCCAGAACCTATTATCATATATCATATATCACAACATCATCGAATTATCCAATCCATCACATTATGGCGACCGTGAGCGAAATGGACCAGGTACAACTACAAAGGAAAGCTAAAAAAATAGAAGAATATCTAGACAAAAAAGATAAAGTTGGTATGTCTTCGGAGATAATAAATATTACTAAGATTTTCGACGAGCTAACGTTACTACAAAATAGATTGATGGATCTATGGTTGAATATGGAACAGCGAGACGAGAATTTTTTTGATAAGGATCTAGAATCTTCAGAAGCTTACAATAGTCAATTCTATTTATTGAAGCACAAGGTCAGTGAATATTGTAGTCATACCGTATCCCGCTCTTCGGCATCTGACACTGTAGTAAAAGCGGATAGTGAGGGTGGAGAGACTTCTCAAAGACATCGTCGCCACTTTCGCCTTCCCAAACTCCAGCTGGCAGGATTTAACGGAGAGATAAAAAGCTGGATACCCTTCTGGACTCAGTTTAAGAAGATTGACGCTGATAGTGACATAGACGACGAAGATAAATTTCAATATCTCTTGCAAAGTATTGAGACAGGTTGTAGTGCCAGAGATCTAGTGGAAAGTTTTCCTCCGTCGGCCGAAAACTACCCTAAGGTGATACAGCAGCTCAAACAAAGGTATGCAAAAGACGAACTTATAATTGAACATTATGTTAGAGAGTTATTAAAATTAACTATTGTTCAAAGGAAAGATAACTGTAAGATGTCCACTCGTACTCTATATGATAAGTTAATGACACAAATTCTAGCTTTAGAGTCTCTTGGTGTTACGCAAGACAAATATGCCGCCTTTTTATTTCCAATGGTGGAGTCAGCGCTGCCAGAAGACATATTGCGAGCATGGAATAGGTATCAAATAAACGTCACTACTGATGATAAAGGTAAAAGTCAGTTGACACAATTGTTACATTTTGTTCGTAATGAAGTAGAATCTGAAGAAAAATTAATTTATCACGAGGAGGCTTTGCAAACGTGGATTCAGTAATTCCTTCTGCCAGTTTTTTAACTACATCTATAAGGATATAGAAGGGAATAAAGAAAAAACTATTGCACTCTATAGGAATAAAGAAAAACTATTGCACATACCAATAATGAAATAAGAGAATGTGTGTGGTGTGCAAAATCAACGCATAATAGTTCGGAATGCAAGACACCGATCAAATGGAATTTAGAGGAGCGAAAAGATTTTCTAAAAAAAAGAATTCCTGTCTGATATGTCTTATAACTGGACATCATGCGAAGAAATGTAGGAAATATCCTAAATACGTCATCTGTGAGAAGAGACATTACCCAATTATGTGCGTAGAATTACAAAAGTCAACAAAAAAGAGTGAAGATGAAAAGTCAATGCTCAAACAGTCGACAAAACAGAGTACTGTTCTATTGCAAACCGTCAAGTTACATTTATTTCACGAAGATCAAGTTGTTACAGTAAGAGCTCTACTAGATTCAGGTGCTCAACGCTTTTTTATTAGATCTGATGTAATTGACAAACTAAAGATTGTACCTACAGGCAATGAACACCTAAGGCACAATTTATTCGGAGGGGTCTGTAAAAGTCTTGATAACAAATATAAACTACAAATAGAGGCACTCGAGCAAAAGACAATATGCGATAATTTGCCAAAGGTGAAACCAGGTATACTTTTGTCACAACTACAAGCAAAAGGTATAAATATTACTGATTGTGTTGATGAAGTGACTGAGATTTCTTTACTAATTGGTTCTGATGTTTTAGGTTCGCTGTACACTGGGCGATCAGAACATGTGAGTGATAATTTAGTGGTAATCGAGACGAAATTCGGTTGGGTAATTCAGGGACCTACTTCCGGTATGTATTCTATTTTTACTTCAGTACACGCTTGTTCATTTGATATTGATGACTTGTGGAAACTAGAATCCATAGGTATTAAAGATGAGGCGCAAGTAAAAAGTATTAGGAAACGCGAGGAAGAAGTCGAGAATTTCTTTCGAGAAAGTATAGTCAGAAATGATGAGGATAGGTACGAAATTAAATTACCATGGAATGATACAGCTGATTTATTATCTCCTAATTATAATTTAGCTTTAAAACGTCTTCATTCAACTACCAATAAACTCAATAAATTAGGCTTATTGACAGCTTATGATGAAGTATTTGGAGAATGGTTAGATAGTAATATAATTGAAGAAGTTGTAGATGATAATCCGCAAATTGGCCATTATTTACCTCATCAGGTCGTTGTTAAAGACTCTAGCCTTACCACGAGAATTCGTCCGGTATTCGATGCGTCTGCAATTACTAAAGAAGGTGTTTGTCTTAATGCTTGTCTCGAAAAAGGAAGTAATCTTATAGAATTAATACCCAAATTACTTATTCAATTTAGGAAGGGCGCTATAGGTATTACTGCCGATATAAAGAAGGCTTTCCTACAATCTATTCACCCAGATGACCGTAAATTTCTCAAATTTTTGTGGTGGAATAATCCCGGTAGCGCAGATAGAAAACTAAAAGTTTTTAGGCATCGTCGCGTAGTATTTGGTGTTACGACAAGCCCTTACCTCCTGTCAGCTACAATACTGTACCATCTTGAGAAATACGAATGTGAAATGGCCAGTCTATTGAAGAATAGTTTTTATGTTGATAACTGCATTGTTAGTGTGAATAATGAAGTCGAAATGGAGAAATTTATCATCGAAGCTTTAAATATTATGAATGAAGGTAAGTTTGAGTTACGTTTACTGGTCCTACTCTAGATATAAATCAAACAGACACTTCTGTGTTAGGAGTAACTTGGAATTCACAAACAGACGAATTGTATTGTAAAGTTCCATTTCTAAAACAAATTGATAAAAAACTTACTAAACGAGTACTATTATCGATGGCTCAGAGCATTTTTGATCCAATCGGGTTTCTTTGTCCTACTACACTGATACCAAAATTGTTAATACAAAAGTGTTGGGAAAGGACAATGGACTGGGATAAGGAACTTACTCTCGAATTAGAAAAGTCTGCAAAAGAATGGCTCCAACAAGTATCATCAATTGAGAAATGTCGCATTCCACGAAGATTGAGCAAGTGTAACCTGTCTGATTGTAACAATACCATTCATACCTTCAGTGACGCAAGTCAATATGCTTATTCTGGTTGTGTCTTCTTGAGGTCAGAATATGCTGGTGTAGTAACAGTGCAACTTGTGCTTGCTAAAGCGAGGGTTACACCAGTAAAGCCCATCACTATGCCAAGACTGGAACTTATTGCAGCCTTATTAGCTACTCGATTATGTACAGAAGCAAAATATGCATTGCAATTAAACTGTAAAGAGTACTATTGGACTGATTCCAGCATTGTGTTAGCATGGATTAGACGGGGAATTGGTCTTAATGTTTTTGTGCACAATAGAATTAAAGAGATTACAGATAGGAGTCACGTAGATGATTGGCATCATGTGCCTGGTGAACTCAATCCAGCTGATCTTCCATCGAGGGGTTGTAATGCTGAAAATCTTTTTAAAAGTCGTTGGTGGGAAGGTCCAGATTGGCTTAAGAAATCCCAAGAACTTTGGCCTTATTGTGAAGTTCCTCCTGATGAAAGTGAAGTTAATAAAGAAATAAAGAAAACATGTTTAACTGTCCAGGAAGTTTATAGATTTACTGACAGATTTCTTTATTTTGGAAAATACTCAAAAATTGTTAGAACTGTAGCATGGTGTTTAAGATTTAATAAATACGATTGTAATAGACAGAATAAGAAGGATATTACTGCAGAAGAGTATGAAAAAGCAGAAAATCGGTTATTATGTTTAATACAAAGAGAGACATATGGAGATATCAATGAAGTGAAAACAAGACTTAAGTTGGATATATTTAAAGACAGTAAGAATATTATTCGTGTAAAAACAAGATTAACACTAAGTGGTGATACAGAAGACTTCGTAACTCCGATGTTATTGCCTGGAACAAATTCAATAGTGAAGCGACTTGTTCATCGGAGCCATGTTCTTGGTCTTCATGCTGGAACTCAAACTCTAATTAATATATTAAGGGAAGAATATTGGATAGTTGGTATTAGAAAATTAGCAAAAACTGTCGTACGTGAATGCATTATATGTAAACGGCATAACGTTAAAGCTTGTACTGTACCTTTAGCCCCGTTACCTGCTGACCGCGTAACATGTAGAGTACCCTTTGAAGTAACAGGAGTTGATCTAGCAGGACCGCTATATCTTAAATCAGGTGATAAGTGCTGGATAGTAGTATTTACTTGTGCTACTTACCGAGCCTTACATCTGGAATTATGTTCTTCACTTAGTACAGAAGAGTTCCTTTTATCCTTAAAGCGCTTCATTGCTAGAAGAGGTAGGCCCAGAATCATATATAGTGACAATGGCACTAATTTTCGAGGGACGAACAATATCTTATCGACTGTTAATTGGGATGACGTTTCTTCCAAAATATCAATCCAAAAAATATCATGGCACTTTATTCCACCTCAAGCGCCATGGTGGGGTGGATGGTGGGAGCGTATGGTTCGTACTATAACAGAAATTTTGAGGAGAGTTTTAGGCAAAGCTGCTCTGTTAGAAAAAAATTGTTTACTGTACTTTGCGAAACAGAAGCTGTCATTAATTCACGTCCTCTAACTTATATAGTAAATAGTACTGAAAATTTTAAAGCTCTCACTCCAGCTATGTTTCTTAAGGTAGGCAATACTTCTACGTTTGATTTAAACCAAGTTAAATCACCTAACCTTACTACTCGTTATAGTTATATCGAAAAAATTAATACAGATCTACAACAAAGATTTCGATCAGAATATTTATCTTTACTAGTACAAAAGAACACTAAAAACGAGAACAATCTCCAACCTGGGGATATCGTGCTTATAGGTTCAGATGATTTGAAGCGCGTTAACTGGCCTTTAGGTCTCATTTTAGAGATATGTTTAGGTGTTGATAATGTCGGTAGGGTAGCACGTGTTAAAACAGCAAAGGGTGAACGTGTTCGTGCACTGCAACGTTTATTTCCTTTAGAGTTATCGAGGTTAGAGAGTATTCAGTTTCCACAGTCATCAGGGTCAAATGATAAAGTCGCAGATCCCGCTCTTGAGCCCGACAATCTTTTGAACAAAGACAACACATTCTGGTCGTCCTGTGAAACTGCCTCGACGTCTAAACCTGTGATTTATTTTTATTTTATTGTTGTTCTTTAGCATTGCGCACACGCAAGGTGGGGTGTATGTTATGAAACCTCTTTTTAGTTTAATTTTTATATTTAAAAAGTAATGTATTATAAAATTATTATTGCAAAAAAGTGACATTATATTTTTCTTTCGGAATTTCCTAAAATATTTTATTTCTATATATAAATCCATTCGTCCTATGTACCTGCTGTCCCAGAACCTATTATCATATATCATATATCACAACATCATCGAATTATCCAATCCATCACATTAAGTTTATTTGAATAAATGATTTTCTTTTCTATTCTATTCTATTCTATTCTATAAATTACTTCTCTGATTTTGATGGGGTGTGGTTTCTGCGAGAGATGTTTTACACCCTAACTTCCATTAATTCAGAATAATTACCCCTTCCGTTTCAAACGTATACAGTTTCCAGTGAGTTTGTGTTACGCGTTATGACAATTAACAAAACCCAAGGGCAGATGCTGCGTATTGTCATAGGGACATAGATATCAGTTTCAGCGCTATCTTGCACAGCCAGCTCCATGTAGCTTTTTCCCGTGTAAGTCAGCCAACCTAATCAGGAGGTTAAAATATTAATCGAAGGAATAACAAATACCACGCGGACAAAGTTGCGGGTATCAGCTAGTACTTAGTAAAAGCAAACAGCAAGCATATGTTATATATCTAGTAGATTGATATATCAATCGCAGTTTATCGTACATATCTATTTAAAAATATAATTATTATTATCACTGATGATGATCAATGTTACTTGAATTAAAAATTATTTAGTGCAAATGCTATTTATTCTAAATCTATATATCGTGTTAATTGCTTTACTAAAAACATCGCCCAAATATATCCAGGTAGGTACACAGGTTTTATCGAGATATATTTGTACGAAGTCGTCAGCGTGGATACCTCTATATTATCTATGACAGTCGTCAAGGAGTCTGTTTTGTATAATTAAATTAAGTGTAGGTAATTCAGTTTACAACTTTTTATAACTTACAATACGTCGAGAGAAAGTACTGCTAAAAGCAACCTAAAATACGAACGAAAAGATTAAGAGGATTCTGTCCACGCAATAACATTACGATGTTCGTTCTATCTCTATTCAGACACCTTGGGACTCCCTCACCCAAGCAGTACTTTCAGTAGAAATTTTGCCGTAAATATTCACATTCCGCTCTACAAGTCATTATGATTCCAATATCTAAAACATTTTTTCAAATATTTAAACTGTTTTGTATTGTTCTTTGAGCTAAAGATTGGTTCTTTTTTTGGTGAAAATAGAGTTTTTCATTTGTTGTAATTCTAAATTTTTTTAGAATTATATATAATTGTAAAACATAACATAAAATAAGTAGGTTAATAGGGTAGGTTCAAATTCTATGGACAAAATTTCAATGAGTTTAATTAGTTATTGTAGTAGAAAATTTTAATAGTAGCACGAGTTGTATGAGAATCAACATTAAGGATGGGGATATACATCCTTAATGTTGATTCTCAAACCTATTAAAATATATTAAATAATGACCTGGTCCATAACAGATAGGTACACCGATTCTTTCAATGCTTGTTGCAAAGATAATAATACTAAAATAATCAATAAATGTACCCTAGCACTGATTAACCTTATCGTTACAAAGTAAGTACATTTGTTATCGATATCTATGAAAATGATTATGATTATTCTTCGTTGAGAATAATTTGTGAATAGTATATTGGCAAATGGCATTGAAACTGTTAGTGTAGTGTTGTTTATCTTTCGTTATTTTGGAAATCTACACGTAAGTAGTGTACATATACCTACTACATATTCACCATGAGTACTTACTATAGGGTACAATATATTTAGCTATAATATTATAAATACACTAATGAATTAGATTTAGCGGTACTGTTAGACAACTGTGTTAATTATACTAGACCTAGGTATTTAAAAATAATTTTTGTGTAATAAAATATTGGTAAACCAATATTACGTTTTTTTTTGTGTAAAATCACTATATTTCTGAGATATAACAAAACATTACTGATGGTTTGATGCCCGATAGACAGTAACAACCTTCCAAAAGGCGTATCGTCTCAACCTTTCATACTCAATATTCCAATTGTATAACAATAATAGTTATTTAGATCAGTTCTATCAGCATACATACGTAGGCAATACATGTGATTACCAATAAATCTTACCACCCTATTCCAATATTTGCTTTTCAATTGCGATTTTCCCGCTACAGGAAGAATTTTATAATTATTTTTAAGCATTTGAAATAAAACCTGAATGTGTGAATTGGGTCATAGAAGTCAGTCAATCTACCACCTTCATGATGCTGCCGTGTGCCTACATTTCTACATGAGGGCTTAGACTCTACGACACGTGTTTGCCGTTATACTAGACATACAAAGAATTTTATTACTTATATGTAAGTACTTAATACCAAATAATACTACTTAATACCTATGTGTAATTTTCGTTACGCCTTGCGTTGGCTTTAATTAATTTAGGTTATCTATTATTTGTTTGGTTGCATGCAATTGTACAATATTTATACCTATCTTATATTATTTACTGCTATGGATGGAATTACATTTTCGACTGCACTAATAGCGTAGACATAAGAAGTGGTTAGGGTACTTTTATTTCAACTGGAAAGCAGATGCAGTTGCATCTGCTTTCACTAACATCTTACAATGCAGTTGTATTGTAAGATGTTAGTGAAATTACAGGATAAGAGGTATAATAATGATTATAAATGTCTTAGAACAACATGACGGCCACGGTGGTTTAGCGGTTTAGCACACCGCTCTCGATTCCTCGCACGGTATCTACCAACATTTGTATTCATAAGTAAATATTAAGTACATATACATTATTGTTACAAAAGCATATTATTATTGAGATATTTACCTAACTTAGGTAAATATTAGGTTCTTACATATGAAATTGGCGTTTTGTAAGGGAGTAACCTAAATCAAAGTATGTACCATTACTATTTATGCACTTTTGCCATCTCAAAGGTAGTTCATTGATCACATTACTAAAAAAATATTCGGACGGGAATCAATAAAATCTTTGAAGGCGCTTTAGACTGCCCCATCGGATTTTAATTTTTTTTCGTGCAAGAAGTTATTGAATTTTCGAAATAAATGGTAATTTGTTGGAGCAAGATCCGGGGAGAATGGTGGATGTCTAGACATTCCAATTGAAGCTCTTCTAATTTGGTAACTGTCTGTTGTGCAGTGGTCTAGCGTTGTCCTGAAGCAGCAGTGGCTACGGCGTATGTACTACGGCGATTGACCAGCCTCGGTTGTTTAGCAGCTAGCTTTTCCATCATTGTTTGCAATTGCTAATAATACACATCTGCCGTAATCGTCTGGCCAGATTTAAGAAAGCTGAAGTGAACAACACCGGCACTAGACCACCAAACGCTCACAAGTAACTTACTTTGAGTGGATTTTCGCTTGGGGCAGGATTTGGCTGGTTCGCCAGGGTTCAGCTATTGCGATGAGCGTTTCCGATTATCGTACAAGATCTACTTTTCATCCCTTCGTTATTATGCCGGTTGACTAATGTAATACAGCAGTCTACGCGCGTTTGTCGATTTGGTCTACTCAATTCATGAGGGAGGCACCTTTCAATATTTTTTACCTTCCCAATTTGCTTCAAGTGTATTAAAACAGTTTTGTCACTAACACCGCAGCATGTAGCTAACTCGGAGGTGGTTTACGATGGATCTGCTTCCACAATTCAATTCTTTATTATCAACCTTGGACTCCGGCCGCCCACGGGGTTTGTTTTGCAGGTCGAAATTTCCAGAACGAAATCGTTGCAACTAAAAACGCATTGTGTATTATTTTGCGACATCACCGCCATACACATCATTAATCCTAGGAACCGTTTTTGCAGCACTGGCGCCACGGCGGAACTCGTACTCGTAAATAAAGCTATATTTTAAGTTTTACCTACATTTTGTAAACTGAGTGACGCAAAGATAGAAAAACAGATTGCGATTACGGTTTTCAAAAAACAGATGCATAAAGTAAAAAGCTGTATAAATTTGAAATTGGAATTCCTAACCAATGAGATATTTGAGATCAAAGTGGCCAGTACGACAAAACGCCAATTTCATATGTAAGGACCTAATACTAAAAGTATTTCTTTTCCCATTACGGCCCTTTAACCACTTTCTGTGTTTCCCAAATGGTTAGCTGTTAGGAATTTAGGTCGCCAATTGTATATTTATTTTAAATAGTGCAATAAAGAATACATAAAATAAATAAATATTCATAATATTAATACTAGGTTTAAAGACAAACTTGCTTTTCCTAACTATTGTTTAGAAAAAGTTAATAGATATGTTATGGGAATGGATATAAAAATTATATTATATATAAGATACCAAAGGATATACTGAAATTACCTTTAAGTTTTAAAATATTAGCTAAATGATATTTGTGAAGCAAAACCTTGTTATGTGCATGAAGCACGGGATTTCTATTAATATTATATGTTTGGCATTCAACCTATACGGGGCCATTATGTAAATAAATTGTTTTTTAAAAAAAGAAATTTAGTTAGTTTCTTGCCAGTTCGTCTCAATTGAATCTGTATACTGTACTGAACAGCAGGGAAAAATATGAATACAAAAAACTTGACGTTCATAATCGGCTAAAATCTCCCTACATGAATAAATGATTATTAATTTGATTATATTGAATATATTATTGATTTGATTTGACTCTGTATATTATAGCAGGGCTTCCAAAATTTTTGCGATATCAGTGTTGAGATAATTTTTGCAGCCTTGTGATTAGTCTTTAAAGTATTACAACAAATAACGAATTAATATAATTCAAACACTAGACGCAGCAATGGTGTCGTCTTAAATAGGTACAGTCCATAAATAAAGATGCGAGTGAAAGAAATATTCGGAAATTACAAAGAAAACCGAATAAAAAAATTATAATGTGTATATGGGTATTTACAACAGATAAGATAATATCTTTATTAATGAACTCTTAAAACTCGAGATCGAGATCGATATCGCAGTGTTGTTGCCTGACTCATCTACATTTTCTCTTATGCAACATTTAGTATTTTGTACTGAATTTGCCCGTATGGGGTCGTCTTATCTGAATGATAAGTATCTTTTTAATGACGTCATTATCAGATATAAGTAGGTACTTACTGAAATATTATATCATAAAATATGATATTGTTGTTTGGTGTCATTGAAGAGTCATCGATTGTGCTAGTCATGCTGACTGTCTAAATATTTCAACTATTTATATTATAATTAGTTATTTACGAATGTTAACCGGAGTAATTAAGCTTAAAATTATGAAAACTTCTACTAGCTGTATGTGCGAGTGGTTGCGTGTTAGCATGATAAAATCATAATGGATAGCCATAGAAATCTATAGCGCATAGCCTGTATGATCTGTAAGCTGAATGACAATGAGTTTACAACTGGCTACAACTAGCTGGCGAACCTGAGAATCGTTCAGCAGGAAATTTTGACGAGTTGCGAACTCGTAACCTTTTATGTACAGACTGATAGAATATTAGAATAATTTCCTTTCACGTGACAATAACAAATATGCCGTGAAGAGTAAATAATTGCAAATCATTTAAGACAATACTTTCTGTTAGTTAATAATTAATTACGATGACGATTAACGAAAAGTATTTTTATTACTAGTTATAACTTGCAGTTTTACTAGATTTCAAGATTTATATATTTGTATAGCTTAGTAAACTTTTGAATAAATATAGATTTGTAACATGTTTCGGTTGAAAGATGAGAAAATGCAGGGTTAGTAGGCATGACATCTTAATCGAGATACGAATTAATGGTGTCCCGGGTGTCACATGTAGACATTACGTTATATCGCTAAATTACTATCCAGTGAGCCGTGAGCTTATTTGTCATATCAATTACATTAAAAGGTATTATTTTTTCAGATACCGTCTCAATATGCGGCAAAAAAAAGAAGCTAACTCGTGGGTAAAGTTCCGCTTGTTGACGTGGAAGAACTTCCTGCAGCAGTGGAGACACCCTTGGCAGACCGTAGCCGAGTTGTTACTACCAGTTGTAACTCTTTCGCTTATTCTGCTTCTTCGTTGGCAAATCGAGCCAAGGAATGTCGATCTACGATCCTTTGAACCTGTACCTGTGCACTCTCTCACCGTTTCATCTTTAAGTATTCTGTAAGTACTTGGTCCGTTCCGTTCGAAGGCTGCTTCTATAATCCTTTTTTTGTACGAGTTCATAGCCCACCATCTTGTGCTCCACGAAGTTGTACGACACACCAGAAATCATAATGTTAGTTAATATTAGGCCATGAATATGGAGATATGTAGAATTGAAGTGATTGTGTGAATACTTGATGTAGTAATTCTAACTCTATTAGATATGAACTACATCTTTATCGCCTGCCCGCGGTACGTTTTCATTAAACATATTTTTCTGACTTTTCGAAAAAGCGATGACGCGATGCTAAATAACATAAAAATTAGTAGTAGGCTAGTATTAGAAAAACAATAAAAAATTGAGCTTTAAGTATTATTTTATTTATTCTGTAATAGGTACTTTATTTTAAGAAAGTGGGAAAGTTCTTAAAGATTTTCTGGATGCTATTAATGTTATCTCATATGACATAACCCTTAGCACTCACGACGACTGAAATAGATTAATATGAAAAGTTCTGTTGGAATTATATTTGATGTTATTTTGTTGAGTATTCACGGGTTTACGGTATATTTTACGGTAAAGACGGGTTTAAACACCCGTCTATTTTCCATTCCATTCCATTAGTTACATAAACAACTATTAGTACTATTAATTTCAATAACTATTACTGCAATGTATTTGTAACTAAAAATGTACAGTTCTACAAATTCACAAACAAAATCGTATTGACGGATAGACAGTCTCTTAAAAACGGCTTAGCAATACCGGGCATAACCTAACTCAGTGTCTATATCCCCAATAGCTTTAATATTTTGTAAAAACTGTTTTTATTGTCTTCGATTTGCACAATGTTTATACTAATATTTTTATTAACTTATGTTTTTCAGGGTTGGTATGAACTTGACAAGAATGACTGTAGCTTATTCACCAGAAAGCGAAGTGTTGGAGGATGTTGTTAGACGTGCCACAACGAATTTTTTCAGAAGCAATGTAGTAGATCTCATAAAAATTATATTGAAGATAATATTGGAAAAAATATTGGAGAATATGCCAATTCCGCCAGATATTACACTTCCGACAGATACGACAGATTTAAATTCAATTTCTATAAATAATTTTCTGAAATCATTAATAAAGATTGAAGCTTACAACAGTAGTGCTGATCTCAGAGGGATATATTCTAATGAAGTATATACTCGAAGGGTGCTGGCTGCTGTGGAATTCAATGATACTTTACACGGTGCGTGGTTATTCATAAAAACTAAAGCCATACAAATTAATTTAAACTTTTACATATTTTGTCACTTCTTTTGAAATGAAGAAAATATTTTATTAGAAACGTATTTCAATATAACAAGCGAGAATAGTTTCATTCGATTTTTAGCATTTTTTGCATAGTCTGATAACTACGCAACTGCCTACTTTATTACTGTATCAAGTCCCATATTAATAAAATTAACGTATTATTTTAATACCTTAATTTTATTAAACATTTTTAGGTGATTTCGTTTGTATTCGATGAATGTAACATATTACTATAACTTTATATTCTAGCTACTGCTAACTAAATGCTACTTAAAACTTGTTTATTTGCAGGAGCAACCGAAATACCAAATAATATAAATTATTCCCTAAGGTTTCCTGAAAGGCCTCGCTTAAATTCATTTTACTTATCTGGTGGTCGTAGTTGGCGTACAGATTTGATTTTTCCACTATTTGAAGTACCAGGACCTAGATCATCTTCATCAGTAGGTGGCAGTGATCCAGGTAAATACATAATTGTATACTACAATTACTCTGTAAGGGGAAGAGAGGGGTCGTTGTTAATTGTACTATGTCAGGCGACCATGATGCGTGATAATCTAGTTAAGTACTTCAGAGCCTCAACTACTGTGAAAATAACTACTGCTTCCTTCATCCACACTTAGATAATTAAATTAAATTAAAGTTAAGTGTATAAATGGCGGCAGGCAATATTACATAAAATTTCTTTGATGTGTATTGACTTTTTAATTATTTCATTTACTTACATCCATATCTAGGCGGCTAAAGTTGGCGGCCCAACAGTGTTAGATAGTGTTAGTTATGCGGACGATACTAAGGTTGCATACTAATATTAGTATGCATGAAATATATATATATATATATATATATATATATATATATATATATATATCTTTTCGTTGTGAAGGTAAACCACGTACAGCCAGTATCTGAAATTGAGAGTACTCTTACACAAGTCTCTGATTGGGGGCGACTGAACTTAGTTCAATTAACCCTAACATTCACCGCTACGAAAGCCCCTTTGCTGTGTAACCATTTACCATCAAGTGGGCTGTATCCTTGATTGAACCTTCGTAGTATAAAAAATACTACCGTTGTTTTTCTCTTTATTTTAGCAACAAATAGTCTTTGTATAATTACGCAAATAAACGTATAATTAATTCACCCATTTTTAGTAAGTGAAGGATAGTGTAACAGTTCTTTCACAAATTTCCAAATATTTAACGGTTACAAGCGATATAGACGGACATGTATTTACTATCAATACACAGTTTAATAAAAAAACGTGCTTAAATACGTTGTTCAAGCGAGAAAGCAAATTAATTTCAAAGTAATGATTCGTTAGGTACTCTGAGTTTGGTCATGTAACTATTCCCAATAACCAGTAACTAATAAATAAGATGTGCTGCAGATCTAATCAAGTTTAGATCTAAGTCACTAAATGTACATAATTTTGCTTTAATATCGTATATTTGTATATTTCATAGATTCTAATTCTTTAGTGATTAATAGCAATGAACATCATTTAAACTAGGTAACATTTATATATTGACTTAGTGTTTATTTTTTTTACAGGATATGTACATGAAATGTTTGTGCAACTACAACACTTTATATCTATGGAGTTGATATCTAGAATAACAGGAGAAAACTTTAGAAGATTTAATGTGAATTTTCAAAGGTTTCCCCATCCAGCGTTTGTACAAGATTTTGCAATAGAAGTGATGCAGGCCCTCTTTCCTATATTTATAGTCATAAGTTTCAGTTACACAGCCATAAACATTACTAGAGTTGTTACACTTGAAAAGGAATTGCAACTGAAGGTTTGTAATTAGATATTTACTAACAAACACCCGCGATTTCGTCTACTTTTTGATATAGAAATTAGACGAAATCGCGAAAGGCCTATATTCGTGTCTGTAATATAAATTAGATAGGTATTTTTACGTCATATTTCATTAAGTAACATGTAAAGAGTTCGTAGTTACATAGCAAATTTTTACCTCTATATGCACGCGAATTTAATTAAAAGTATTTGTCAAATAATCCAGGATGTGGTTTATCAAAGTGCCAAACATCCAAATTCATGTATTAGGTCATAGTACGTATAAATAACTAACATAATCGCAATACACAAAATAATCGAATAAAATATCAAAAAGTTTCATAAATATTTGTATATAAATAAGATAACAGTAGGTATATATAGTACGAATGAATGTCATTAATTAATGTCACTGATACGATCACAATAAATTTGTTATATTATCTATATACTATATAGTATGCGCGTGTAAGTTAAAATTTATCCCTCAAATTAGTTGAATTGTTATTGTTACACCATCTATAGATAGATTCATGGTTAAAACATCTTTCTGACTAATGTCTGGTAACGGAGAATACGGATAAAATAATCCGAGGATGCTTGCCATGGTTGAAAACTTTGTATAATGACTTTGTTAGGTTAACGGTTTAGCGCACTGGCATACTTTCCTATGGCCGTGTGTTTTTGCGCCAACCAAATACATTTTGTGACTTAATTAACGTAAAACGTAAATGTTTATATTCTATATCTACCTATATATTATATCATGCAGTTGCTTATTATGATATTCTGGGTACCTATAGAAAAGAGTGGTGATCATGATATTACCGATTAATAAGATTTGTAATGTAGCAGTAATAGGTACTGCAACTGTAATATTTACAAATAAGTAAACAATTTTTATATTACAATACGTGTAGGTACATATTATAGCTTGTACAACAAAGGCCTTTACATTCTTTACATTCTTGTATGAACATAAGACAACAACAAATAATAACAAAACAATTTCGTGAATTTTTAAAATTTTTGGTTTGTACAAAATATTAATCGTAAACAGTTTTGGGTTTAAAGAACCTAATTCCGAATACAATCCACAGGCCTCTTAAAATGATTTGCTACAGATAGCATTGAATAGAGATAATATAGTTTGAAGATATAAAATATTTCATTAAATATTTATTACAACTTACAGGAATCTTTAAAAATAATGGGAATGCCTACGTGGATTCATTGGTGTGCATGGTTTTTGAAACAGTTCATATTTCTTTTATTGGCTACTGGTCTTATCGTGATTGTTTTGAAGGTAAATAATGTAATCATATCAATACATATAAATTAATACGCATAATCAGCAATTTTAGTCGCCAATCAATTTACTTTATAAGCTGTGTGTCGGCTGAAGGGTGAGATATGCCAGTGAAATTATAGGGTACGGAAGCATGACACGTTAGTCCTTCGGAATTGTTGTGATGACTTGATGTCTGTATTTTTAATACACAAGTATAGTGCGGAGGTTGGCACTTATGAATATAAATGTGGGCCATCGTCATCTAGGTTTCCATTCCATATCACATTAAAATATGTATTAATTAAAAACCCCAAGTCAACAAATGTCACCTTAATAGGATAACTTTTACTGAATATGTTTTTATGTTTTTGCATTAGGTACCCTGGTTTACTACTGACGAAGGTATAGGTGACTACGCTTTATTCACGCAAACTCCTTGGGATGTGCTATTTTTCTTCTTGGCCTTATATTTGTTTTGTACAATATTTTTCTGCTTCATGATCAGTGGCTTCTTCTCAGTGGGTAAGAAAATAAAATAATTACGTGAATTAAATACTTTTAATAAAATTTTACGTTGTTTTGTATGCCAAGTGCCGCGAATTGATAATTGATTAAAAATCAATCACCAATTCACGTAATAAATAGTTTTTCAGGATTTTGCCTTTGCCCTAAAACTTCCGAAAAGCTGCTTAAATCTTCTGTTCTTTGCTTACTTTTTACGTAAGGTGTTTGTTTTTTATACGAAAACAAATATAAATACATATTTTTAATAAATCAATTGTTAAATTGACGTATATTGCATTTCTGATTTATTATTTATTTATTTTGCCTGGTTTTTAGAAAGTAAAAAAAAAATCTAGTAAATATAAAATATATAATAGTATTGTTGCTATTGTATATTAGTAATTTATGGTAGTAATTAGTAGTTTAGTAGTAAATAGCTGACAAAACTGTACAATTTGAATGATTGAAAACTCTTTTGTTTTAGGCAGCACAGCAGCGTTGTTTATGGGGGTTGTTTGGTTTCTATCATACATTCCTTCAGTGTTATTGATGGCAGATATCAATTTGTCAACTGCAGGCCAAATAATTTCCTTTTTTAGCATAAACACAGTAATGTCATACGGTTTTCATCAATTGCTGGCCAAGGAGACTTTAGGCGGTTAGTATTATACTCATAAACCTACCTATATATAGGAGTTCTTGTATTCATAGTAACAATAGAGTAACTTTTATGTTTGTTTACCGAATTAAATAAATATTAAATGTTATGCTGCTATACATATATCTATGATAAAAATTTCAATCGAAATATGACTCATTAAAATAAGTAGACAAAACTTTAGTTTTTAATGTAGAGACATAGCTGATTTTATTATAATAAAGACTATTAATTCTATCGGTGGATGCAAGTACTACGTAGGTCCATTAAAAAATGACCATTTAACAAGACTGATTTATTTTATACTTTTAGGTATGCAATGGGGGGAGTTCATGTCAGTCACAGATTTAAACTCAACTCGTTTACCATTTGGATATGTGGTTATATTTTTATTGATAGATTCGTTAATATATATGTTAATAGCACTTTATTTGGAGCAAGTTCTACCCGGGCCATATGGCATACCAAAGCCTTGGAATTTTATTTTTCGAAAAGATTTCTGGTGTTCACAAGATACGGGTAAGCATTTTTTTTTGTTTATAGATATCTGGTGCTTGCTCTCGACGTTGTGCACGTTTGCACGTTACTTCTGTGTAGATAGAATTCAAATGATTGCCAAAATTGAAGTTGATGAAAATCTATCTTAAATATATGTATTTTATATTACTTTGTTAATAATTTATAATTTCTGTAATATATTATTACAGAAATGATAAATTATTAACAAAGTAATTTATGTATGTATATTATTTCACAGATGTAAAAACAATTGGTCCTCCTGAGATGGGAGAAATAACCATGGAAAAAGATCCACCTGAACTTACCATAGGTGTTGAAATTAGAGTAAGTATAGAAGTCAGTAAGAATTTTTGGTGATTATTTTTGTTGAAAATGGAAGTAAATTGAAATCATAGTATTACGTTAGTATAGAGTGAAAGTTTAACCAATGTCCATTCGGAAAATTTGTAATCTACTATACTATATCGATATTCATCAACAAAATAGCATATCCGTTTATAAAGCTGGCAAAACACTGAAAGTTTCTGCAAGCACCTGTAAGAGGTTACAGGTGCTTAGCACACACCATCTGTTGACACAATATCCTTTGATATCACTGTCTGATACAGCCCCAAATATCACCATCTTTGAAGTGGTATTGTTCATAATATATTTAATATGTTTAATGCTTTGTTTGTAACCACGTCTCAGGTAGACGTGTGGTCATGCTTATACTCAGAATAAATATAGTTCTCTATGGAAGTAAGTCAATATAGAATATTTCAGTCGCTTATAATCTTTATAACTTATACACATACAACTTATAAAATGTCTCTAATTGTAATTGTAATAGAAATAGAAATAGAAATAATCTTTATTCAAATAAACTCATTACAAGCACTTTTGAATAGTCATATTTTGATTCTACCACTCATTCGGAATGCAGATTCATCACAAGATCAGTGCTATGTAATTAAAATTTTTCTACAAAAACATTATTATCGTTAACGAATTCTTCAATTTTATAGTAAACTTTTTTGCAAAGGAAGTGTTTTATTTGACATTTAAATCTTTTTTCTGGCAGATTTATAACAGACTCTGGTATTTTATTGTAAAACCTTATTGATATAAATATGATCTAACAGAAGTTTTTACAGATAGGATGTAATTAAAATTTTTCTACAAAAACATTATTATCGTTTTAAAGGAAGTGTTTTATTTGACATTTAAATCTTTTTTCTGGCAGATTTATAACAGACTCTGGTATGTTTTTTCTTTACCTTTCCTTGACTTTTTCTAAACGATACTTAGGAACAGCAAGTTTGTCTATAAAATGATAAAGAACCATGTTATTATTATTCCGTATTGAATGTAAAATCTATCTATAATCTTTATAACTTATACACATACAACTTATAAAATGTCTCTTAATAGGTTTATTGTCCAATTGTAATTGTAATTATAATAAATCTACAAAGTGTAATATGATTATATGCTGGTGTAGTTAATATATTGTTATTGCTGTTGAAGTAAATAATAATATGCAAATTATAGTTGCTTTACTAATTTGAGCATCAGTGCAATTTATGTACCTAATATTATAATATTGGTTTTCAATCAATAAATTTATTTATATACAAATTGATATAATTGTATATCTATAACATATAACAAAAATCCTTTTCAGAATTTGACTAAAATATTTGGTGCGAACACCGCCGTGAATAACTTGTCTTTAAATATTTATGACGACCAAATTACTGTCCTACTCGGTCATAATGGTGCTGGAAAGTCTACCACTATATCAATGCTAACAGGTTTGTAATTAATTGTTACTAATCAATATTGATAAAATTATTGCCATACTATTAAAACCTATTTGTAGCGAGAGCATCAAATTATATATTACTTCTGTATTAGCTACTGTCATCATCATCGGCGTTTCCTTATTTATTTTTCTTTGTTATTATCTCTGTTCGCAGTCATCGTTATTCACTCTGTTTGCTACCACAAAATCTATCACACAGTTCATCCATCTCTATTGTGGGCTCTTATTCATCTGCCCTTATAATCATGCACATTTATATATAACATTTACCTTCTTTAAAATATTATCTTTATTCATACGCATGCTCATACCAAGCCATACATTTATTCTTTATTTTCTTAATCCTTGTCACACAATCCATACGCATTTGTTGTATGTCTTTCACCCGTCGCGTTTACAGCTTTTAATTACTTTTACTATTTTGATTATTATATATACTTTTTTTAACTTCTATCACATGAGAAAAATACTAGCCTAGTGTCTGTTAATGTCTATGGGTAGGGGTCATGGTCTACTTGTGTTTCAAACGTTAAGCCTTTGAAACAAGATATGACATATCGCAAATTATCAACATCACATGCGATGTAGAAATGTAATTAAAGTTTGTGTGTACATTAGGATAAAATTAAATTTATGGCACAATGATTTTGAATGAATGTTGAAATTAATCAAATGATGAATTTGGTCACAATTGATCTGAAAATAAACAATAGTTTTAGATTTTATATTTATATTTGTATATCGGTCGCCAGGTAATTTGCCTGCCACTCGAGGTTCGGTAAGTATCGCAGGCTATGATATGAAGAAACAAATGAAATTAGCTCGCAGTAACCTTGGCCTTTGTCCACAACACAACGTCATTTTCAATGAACTAACAGTTAGAGAACATCTGGAATTTTTTGCAAGACTCAAGGGATTCAAGGGCAAAGAATTAAACAAAGAAATAGACACTCTTATAGACGACTTGGAATTACAATCAAAGGTAAGTTGTGTTAAAAATGTTACATATAAAGAATTAGTGGATTTGGACGGTTTGTTAAAGAAAAATGTAATATTTAATTTGAATTCAATGATAATGTAGATTCATAAAATGTTTAATTTTATTTTCTCAGCGCAACTATTTAGCCGAAGGCCTGTCTGGCGGACAGAAGCGCCGCCTGTGTGTGGGTATAGCTTTAAGTGGGCAAGCTCGCGTCGTCCTACTGGATGAACCCACCTCAGGTATGGACCCATCGTCGCGCCGAGCACTTTGGGACCTTCTACAAAAAGTTAAAAAAGGCAAGTCAACTGAAATTAAAAGACATAGAAATTATAAGTTTTAAACTGTTTTTCATTGTACTGCCTACTACAGTTCCTAACTGTTTACATAGTCTCTCTGTCTTTCTTATTTTAAGACTTACGCTCTCTAAATAACATATTTAATAACGCACTTCTCCAAAAGTATTATATTATTATTTCTAGTTTAAATGGACCCTCTACCTACTACTTCGCTTATGCAAACCTACTCAAAGAAAATTATTCATTAAATAAAAAAAAGTGAAAGTCAGTCAGTCACAGCTAGTGTTGCGAATAAATATTTTATAAATATCTAAGTTTTTAATATGATAATTTGTGTGTAAGGTATAAAGAATAAATGTTTACTCATTATGTTCTCTTTAAGGTCGTTCTATAATTTTGACGACCCACTTTATGGATGAAGCGGACATCCTGGGAGACCGAGTGGCAATCATGGCCCATGGACAGCTCCAATGTGTCGGTTCTCCATACTTCCTAAAGAAGCACTACGGCGTTGGATACACTTTAGTTGTAGTGAAAAATGAAGAATTTAATCACAATGCATGTACTCTACTAATCAATAAATACATTCCCAATACTGAAATTAAAGAAGATCGTGGTATGTTATATTATATTTCATATATTCCAATTAACTTGCAATTAATTTCATTAATTTATTTTTATAAGTTTCCAATTACAATCCAATTATTATTTTAAGTCAATGATAAGTCAAAAATTTTTTTTTTTAAATAAGCAGATAAGGCCCTAGGAAAAATATATTTGTATTTAATTTTAGGTACTGAGCTAACTTACAGCTTGTCAAATGAGAATTCAGATAAATTCGAAACTATGTTAAACGATTTGGAAACCAACCGAGACGATATTAAATTTAAAAATTATGGTTTGGTAGCAACTACTTTAGAAGATGTTTTCCTGTCGTAAGAATATTTTCATTATTTATTAATTAAGTATCTACCTTACCTCTATTTCTTTTAGAATAAACAAATGATATACATAGTCCTATGCACAACAAAACTCTGCAGATTTTGCCAATCTCAAGAGGATACGCCGATGTATTAATCTTTAGCTTTTAAAGCAAGCTACTACCCGACTTAAAATACTTATCATCATCATTTATTTTCGTAAAAATATGTATTCACTTGTTTTATTAAAAATAAATTAGATTATGTAAGTTCTTTTAGTAATTGTATGTACTTTAAATATAACAACCATATTTCCGTAAAAATATTGAATCCGTGGAAATCTTCTTGGAAAATACGTAGTGAAAGAATACGTTGGTACAATCGTTTAGCGTTGTATTATTCAACGATTGTATTATAGTTTGTTGTTAAATATGTTGTAATACTTTGAACAAGTATTGAAATCATTATTTATTTCAGAGTGGGCTCTGATGCCGAATTAGCTTCTATTTCTGATGAAACTGATACAATCGCTAGTGCAAATAATATAAACGCACAAGACTTGGACACATCGTCTACAGATCAGTGTATGTATTATTTTATCTCATAACCCTTGTCAATATTATACACGTTTACGTTTGTAATTATTGGAGTTTAACTCAATCACGCCTAGGCACTAAATTTAAGTGAAATTTGGTATACAGATAGATGAAATCGTGAATTAACGCAGTACTCTAAATAATTTATACCCGAACTCATGTGGCAGGCCTGATGAGTATCTATTTTAATATTATTACTGAAATTGTAATATATTTGTATCTTTGCATATTAATAGTTGGTGTCAACGAAGGTGTTTTTACGTAAACTAAATTATAAGTCTGCTTATAATATGAAACCGTATAGATACAAAAAGTAATTGACACTGCATTAAGTATTGCTCATTTATCTTTTAAGATCACTTATTTTTTTAATGGCTTATGTGCCAAAAATCTTTCACCTCTCGAATTGATATTCTGCAAACGTCGCCAGTGTTTTGTAATTTACCCAAAGTTTGGGAAATATACTAACTAGATATCAAGTCGGTACCTAGTTTAGTGTATGTATGTGTATGACTATGACCTATGACTGTTTTAGTGGTTTATGAGGAAGTATTGACGACGGGGATACAGTTGTTGAGGCAGCATGTTACGGCAGTTTGGATGAAGCTCTGGCTAACCAAAATACGATCATGGACTTTAATTTTACTACAGTTTTTAGTTCCTTTAGTCCAAATAGTAACGTCACTTGCAGTATTGGAATATATAATGTCACTGCAAGGTGATTTACAATCTCGTCCGCTCAGATTCACTGAAGGGTAAGAAAGTAGTACTTGTTCGTTATTATAATAGTATTTTAGTTCATAGTAGATAGCTAATAAATACATCGTTGCCAGAAGGTATATTAAAGTATTTAGGAAATAGATACATGTACTAAACATAAGTTACAAGGTAACTTTTTTTTTTATATTAAGTAAGTTGCTTGTTGACGCTTTTATCAATACAAAATACAATATATCGGGATCACGTATTTAAACGACACATTCTATATATATATATATATAAAGTTAGATAAAAGTTCTTAGATAAAGGTAAATAAAAGTTTAGGCAATTTTTTTTATGAAATGACGTTCCTCTCACATTTAGTCAGACGGCGGCACCTGTGAAAGATAATATGGGAAGTAGGTCACGATTGTCAGATAGCCCTTTATGAATAAGTCAGCGCAATGGTACCCTAGCCCCGTTAGAGTAGTTATATGGGTGACAGATGTCCCCAAGTTTCCATGACTAGTCCATGATTTTATATTTATTATATAATACAAACTACACGAAAAAAACGTATTAATAGTAATTGTTATTATCCTTAATAACAAAATTGGTAGATATTACTCAAGTCAAAGGATTGAAATAAACTCATTAATTTAGTTTTTGTGGTATTATGTGATAAAATGTCAACATTGAAATCACCACACACTATAATTTTTTTGTTAATATTAAATACTCTTTTTAAAATATCCTCCATTACCTCTTCAAATAAATTATAATCACTATTTGGAGGTCTATAAACACATATAACTATATAATTGTCTAGTTCCACACAGGAAATTTCAATACAACATTCAACAGAAAGATTGCCAATATCACTACGTTCTTTTACTTTTATATTATTTTTCACCAATATCATAGAACCTCCTCTATTTACTATTTTTCTATTAAAGCAGCTGACAATATTATAATTGTTTAAGCTGAACATCATATTGCTCACTTTGAGCCAATGTTCAGTTAAACATAGAACATCTATATTATTTTTTTCTAAAAACAATTGAATAATTAATTCACAGCCGAGAAAACTTTGTATGTTCTGGTGAACAATTTTCAATTCTGATAGCTTTCCCTTTGTCTTTTTCAGCAGTTTAAATCTGCAGTCATATTTAAATTTTTGTAAATAAAAGGATTCTTACTAGAATCAATATTTATGTCAATATTTTCAGTATGTTTAGTATTAACATTAGTACAAGTACTACTAATTGGATTAATGCAACCCATTATATTACTTATAATGGGGTCATTTATATTATTATATTTGTTATTTGTTTTTTAGGCAGATAAAATCTATCTCCAGTCATACAAAAGTTTGTAACAAATTTGTTACTATCAAAAAATAAAAAGTCATTATGAAAACATGTCATATTATAAATTAAATTATTAATATAATATATGAACTTATTTTGTTCAATGGTAAGACCATTTGAACGGAAATCTTTAGTAAAAGGCAAAGATTTATGCGTTTTGAAGAAACCAGAGTATATCTAATACATATCGTATTTAAATTGCAAAGTTATTATTTTATAGTTGACGAAGATCATCATTAATACTAATAGTGTATGTTTTTATCCGTAGATATGCCAGCACAGAAAGTCTTTTAAGTTTCAATGGTACAAATTCAACATCCAGAGGTGCATTAGCGAAGACTGCTTACGAGCAAATGTATACATCGTCTGATATAGATAATATGGACCTCACAATTGTTGACGGACAACTGGTCGATGATTACTACTTACAAAGGGTATATTAATAATGACTACCTATATATTTCTTAACCACAACATAATAAAAAAGGAAAAATTTCTATATGTAAACAAACTGTATATCTTATATAATATTTCTAAATGACCTCGGTGGTCTAGCTGTTCAGCATACCACCTTACATCCGATCGTCGCAGGTTCGATTCCTCGCACGGCACAAACATTTATATTATTGAGTATTGTTTGTATCGGTCTGGGTGTTTTCTATGTATATTATATATATATATATTTACAAGAAAATAAGTATGTTTATTATTGATATCAGTTGTTTAATACCCATAACATAAGCTCTGCTTGGCTTAGGACTGTATGGGGTGAGGTGAATTGTTGTGAGATATTATTGAGGCAACATAAATATTGCCTAACATTTATCATGTACCTATAATTTATATTACCTATCCAATATATATATATATATAACTGAATGTAACGAAATGCACATACGATAAATTATAAGGAATTAACTATTATTGTCAGTACTCTAAAACTCGATTCTAAATATAATAAATATTATAAAGGCGAACGTGACGGGGGGCACGGCCAGCATCAGACATAGTTTACTGAGCGGGGCTACATTCGGCGATGAATCAGCAACTGCTTGGTTCAGCAACTTTGGGTATCACGACTTACCCAGTTCACTTGCAACACTCCACAATGCGCTGCTTAAGGCCTTCCAACCCGATGCTGAGATCAATGTCAACAACCATCCTCTTGAAGTTAATTATAGAGATCAAGTAAGTTTTTAGTATCTGTTATAGCTACTGTTCATTGTTACAGGAATTTGGTACACAGTTTGATCAAATGTGAATTAACACAGTAAGCTCATAATAATTTTACTATGTATGTATGTATTTTTAGTAACTTTAAAACATTTTGTGATAACGAAGGTATCTTTACGTAAACTAAATCATAAATCTGTTTATTATATGAGACCGTTCAGATACAAAAAGTAATATTAACACTGCATGAAGTAATTACTCGATAACAGATCTACAGAATCAGATCACTTTATTTTTTTTTACTGCTAGCTTTATCTATTTTCTTCTTATATTACAGCTGCTATTATTTATTTCAGGGTCATGTAAATAGGTACATACTTTTTTATGTGATCATGCGATTTTATGCAAGTAAGCTAACGGCCTCCCTGATTGTATGTTTCAACCGACACAGAAAAACCCCAAACTGATTACTTTGTACAAAATCTACCTCGGTGACTACTGAGTAACGATTATTAAGAATTTAAACTATCCTATCATTATTATAAGTAAATATTGTATAATCTAATGAAAAAAGTAGTAAAGTAGTAAGAGCCCTGTCTAATTTTAAAGAATTCATCTTACTACCTATCTTGCAACGCACTTTGAGTACATAGATCTATAAACAAACAAACGAAAAAAGTCGTATGTAAATATAAATAAAAATATGTAGTCTGTAGTCTTATATACAACATTTTGTTTCAGAGTGACATGCTGGCAATGGTAGAGTTTGTGTCATTCCAGTTATCTTTTTCGATTGGAAATAGTTTAGGAATAGTTACAGCGGTCTACATTATGTTCTATATCAAGGTATGATTATTCTCCTTTAAAGTATCAATGTCAGAAAATCAATTTCAAACTTTTTACTTTTATTTTCGTTGTGCTTTAAACGAAGGTTTAAAAATTTCAGGAGCGCATGTCTCGCGCAAAACTTCTTCAAAAAGCTGCAGGAATCCGCCCAGTCGTGATGTGGAGTAGTGCTGCTGTCTTTGATTGGATTTGGTTTCTTCAAATTTCCCTGACTGTTGTTTTACCTTGTGCGGCCTTCAGAGTTATTGGGTTGTCCAGTTTTGCCGAGCTGGGTATGTAATAGAATGCTATTACTAGTTACAAAAATCTTTTTTTTAATTCTTACAAACTACTATATTTCTTTTCATTGGGCAACTCAACAAATGTACTTACTTATTATGATATTAATTATTTGTTAATCACAATAATGAAATATCGTTGTAATATTTACCGCATTATATGTATTTAAAAACGAAAAATTATAGCATTTGGAAAAAAAATCTTAATATTTTCTTCTCTTCCCTTTCTTATACTTCTTAGTTAGTTAAACCTAAAGTAAGAAAATATTTAATTCCGAATCTATATTACGATTGGGGCGATACAATTTCTATAAAAAATGGCTATTTTTATAAAAATTATATCGCTCCAAGATTTAAAATTTATTTGAATAAAAAAATTATACAATTTACATTTTAATTCAGTATATTTTCCGATGTTGTGTATTATTACACTAAAATTATTCACCGATTGTTTGTAGGTCGAATGTACGTGTGCATCATGGTATATGGTGCGGCAGCTCTACCACTGCATTATCTGTTCTCATTCCTATTCACCGGGCCAGCGGTCGGCTTCGTTGTCATGTACTTTATTAACTTATTGTTTGGTAAGTACTTTATTAACTTGTGTTTTGATAAGAAATATCCATTTAGATTTTGTTTAAAGCTGTCTGAATGGTTACCTGAGTTTGAATGTTTGAGTATGATAAAATCACGGTTTCGGTTGCATAATACTTTAATATTTCAAAATGGAAATGGTATTAGGGGTAGAACGTTGGTCTCGTATTCCTTGTGCTGCTCATGTACATAATCAACGGTTGGCACTTACCTAACGTCAGGTGGCCATTCTATCCTGTTTTTTGCCAATCCAGGTATATAAAAAAAATACTGAAGTTCAAAGTTAAAAGAGGAAAACTTCCTTCCAAGGCAATACTTTTTATTAAACTTTATTTTTATCCAGTTTTTTAATGCATGAAACGTAATTACATTGAGGCCTACTAAATAAGCTAAAAGTATTTTTTGATATTACTTACTTATTATTTCAATATTACTTAAGTCCACTATAAATTTATTCTATTCTATGAAATTATTCATTTTTATACCAACGGAAGGTACCTACATACCTATGTATCTTTTAAATACTGTGCGTATGAAAAGCGTTGTATATTTATACAGATTGTATTTTATTATGTATCTGCAGGAAAATTATTTAAATGTACCTATTGTTTATTTCAGGCATTATAGGTTCTCAAATTGTAGAAGCATTGTATAATCCAATGCTTGACACAGCTCATGCGGCAGACATTATGGATACTATATTGCAGTTTTTCCCTCTTTACTCTTTCGTCACAGCACTCCGGTAAGTACAGGATATATTAGAAATATATAACAAAAGCAACAGAAACATTTAAAATACGCTTGTTTGTTCTTTAATAAAACATTTTACATATTAGGTATTCGAATGGTTTAGTTTTACAAAAGGAATTTAGAATTCAAACTTTATTTGAAATAGAAATATTTTTTATTCAAATAAACTTAATATAAACATTACTTAATGGATTCATGTATTATGCAATTCAATTATATTACATGCAATATTAAAAACATTAATATTCATATTCTATCTATATTATACAAAAAGTTGCTTTCATGTCACCTCTATCTTATGAATTAATATCACTCGCAGCGTGGTTTGTATGCTGTATTCTTTTTTGATGGTATCGCATAAGAGGGTCATTACTGCGGGCATCAGAATATACAGAGAAACTTTTTTTTCCGAAGTATTTACAATTGACCATAGCTAGCATTTACAACTTCAGCAAATGAAAATGAGGGTAAGTGCAGACGACACTCTAAACCCGCGGAGGGACGTGGAGTGCCCTGTCTACTGTGTATGTCATATATATCCACTTCCCACCAAGTGATGTCCATCGGCTTGTTTGTCACTTTAAAGCCATACAAAATATATAATACGGAATGTATTATTTTTCAGCTCTTTAAGCGCGGTCTCTATAACAGAACATACTTGCCTAATGGCCTGTGATTACTTGGAAGCGGTGATAAATGTGCAGGAATGCAACATGCAGTATCTCTGCGAGAACAGAACAAGTGCCTGTTGCAGTTAGTACATATATATGTATACAAATAACGTAGAATATAATAATAATAACCTTGGACAAAACACACAGCGTCATTTAGCCCTAAGTTAAGCAGACCTTGGAGTATGAGTACTAAAAATCTGTTAGATATACTTAAATACATACATAATATACATAAATATTTGTATCATGCGAGGAATCCAACCCGCGACCCACGGAATTAAGGTGGTGTGCTGAACCTCTAGATCACCGAGTCTGTAATATGTATAAAACGAAAGCTTATATAGAATTTCGTATTGATTGATTATCAAGATCGTTTCTTCGAAATTGCCTTAAGTAATAAGGCCTCCTTTCGTTTGGCACATTTATGCAGTATTATTTTATCTGTAAAATATAAACTGGTATGTTATATATTTACTGGTATGTTAACATATAATATGTTAAATATTTACTGGTATGTTTAAAATCTATATTTGTACCCTACCTATAACAAATTATATAGAAATGATTTACGTATCATATTTTCTAAATATATAAACTTTAATTATAGTATATTACAGCCAATGTTCAGATGTAAAGTTTGATTTGTTCATAAAGTATTATATGTCTTAATTTATAATTACAGTACGTGAAAATCCTTACTTTGAATGGGAGTCTCCCGGAGTTCTTCGGTACTTAGTGGTAATATTATCATCTGGTGCCGTGTTCTGGATCCTTCTCATGATCGTCGAGTATAGACTATTTCAGAAGGTACTAAAAAATATATTATAAGAATTACATTAACATATTTTGTATGTTACCTGTATCATTGATATATTATAAATATGAAATTTATACGTAATTGTCCTCACGCTGTAATTCCAAATGGAATTATTAATTATTAGCTACTCGCTCCGGCTTCACCCGGGAGTACATGTATTATATATAAACCTACCTCTAGAATAATTCTATCTATTAAAAAAATCGCTTCAAAATCCGTTGCGTAGTTTTAAAGATTTAAGCATACATAGGGACAGACAGCGACATCTGCTTTGTTTTATACTATGTAATAATAACTATCGTTGTTACTACATATATATACCTATGTAGAGTTACACATCCCAATATTTAAGACCTTTCAAATTTATACTATGTTAGTAGGACTTCTAGTAACTAAATCTTAGTACCTAATTGTATTATTATAATAATTATTATTCTATAATAATTTAATTTATATGGATTGGCGTTTATATAGGTATTCACATTTACGAAAAAAGCACCACCTATCGATGTTAACACTTTAGACAATGACGTCGTAGATGAAGCTCGACACGTGGAACAAGTGAAGGGATCCGATCTTGGCAGACATAGCTTGGTGGCTAGCGGGCTCACAAAGTATTACGGGAAACATCTCGCAGTCAATCAGGTCTCATTTAGTAAGTATGACGGTAATATTTTAGATGCCAAATCAAATGATATCACAATATCTTTTTTCATATAGGTCTCATTGCAGACCCTTGTGAAAAGTAAAATCTACCTTCAGTTCTGTTTGTGGTTCGAGCCAAGAAGATAAGATAAGAAATTCTGCTCTCACTGTTTTCAAATGCCATTGTACATCATTATTAAAACTTATGAATACAGTGACCATTAGCATATGCTATTGAATTATAATAGATTAATTTTTAGATATTTTTTTAATTATTCAGCAAACACAACTTTAACAGACCAAAGCAACAGACAAACAGTACTCGTTCTCAAGTATGACGGATATAGAGTTTAGAGACGTAATATATTACTTGCAGAATTCCGTTGCATAATAGTAGTAGTTGTATTTTGTCTTGTATTATTTTATTATATACCTACATGTATTACCATCGTCTAATTAATATGGCATTACCTATTGTTCTATTTGGGTACGACTCTCGTACCCAAATGGCAATGGCTAAACAATATCTTAAAAAGAAAAGGTCTTACAGGCCAGGAGGCATATTTATTAAAGCACGTATGAATTTATAAAAGCTGTTACAGATTTGACTCTGCGTTGGTCTATCATTAAAGCAGGTTATAGACAAATAGATTTACATGTATAATGTATATATTTGTACTCGTACAGGATCAATACAAATTTATGCATATACTGAAAATTTTATGTTTTTTGTAGCTGTGAGCGAATCAGAATGTTTCGGACTTTTGGGTGTGAATGGTGCAGGCAAGACTACAACATTCAAAATGCTGATGGGAGACGAGACTATCTCTTCCGGAGATGCATATATCGGTGGAGATTCTGTGAAGAAGAACATAACTAGAGTGTACAAAAATATAGGTGAGTCGACATACTAAAGCTAAATTTTATATAAATAGCTGTACTAGGACGGGACAGTCCGGCGAATAGCATTAATTGGAGAGGCATTTAGGTAAAGTTAGGGCAGAAATGTTTTCGTTAAGTCACATCAAAGTGGGCGACTAGTACAGTAATAGTGATTATGAGCTCAGTCGTTAAAACTATAATGAAGTGAAGTCATCATTAGGCACTTTAGTAGTAGCACAGATAAGATGCAATAGTAATACTCTATAAGCAACTTTAAAAATTACTAATTTTATACAATGCAGATGTAATGATAGTACATTACATTATTAATGAATACATATTACTTTCAGGGTACTGTCCGCAGTTCGAGGCAGTGTTTGAGGAGCTTACGGGTCGGGAGACTTTGTACCTGTTCTCATTGCTGCGCGGCCTGGACAGGGAAAGCACTAATGTTAACATACGCATACTTGCGCACGCACTTGGTTTCACTAAACATTTGGATAAAAGGGTAAATAGTTTGAGCTGCTCCAAGTTTATTCTATGAGTACCAACATGTACGGACTTACATTAAATATACATAAATATGAGATTCTGGTACACACACATCACGTCAGAGATCATCATCACGAGAGAGATTTGTATCGTTTTTATATACTGATGGTGTAATATTTAAGTTAATGGAACTACTCCTGATGACTAATATCTAATATAATGGCCTCGTATTGAGCATGTTACCCGTCAGATTGACCATTGTTTACATTTCTCAGGTTCACCAGTACTCCGGCGGCAACAAGCGCAAGCTGAGCACGGCTGTGGCGCTGATGGGCCGTACGCGGCTCGTGTTTGTGGACGAGCCCACGACCGGCGTGGACCCGGCAGCGAAGCGTCAGGTGCGTATGTGCGCAGTAGAAGCAGTAGTGACAGTAGTGTAGCCTGCGCAGTAGTCGTAGTCCTACATGAATTTTTGATTTCATTTTATTTGATTTGGATTAGTAGCAGTGTGGTGCGCAGTAGTAGTAGAGCACCGTAGTAGTGGCAGTGGTGTGGTTGTGTATGCAGGTGTGGCAAGCGCTGCGCGGCGCGATGAGCAGCGGCCGCGGCGTGGTGCTCACGTCTCACAGCATGGAGGAGTGCGAGGCGCTCTGCTCGCGGCTCACCATCATGGTCGGGGGCGGCTTCCGATGCATCGGCACGCCGCAGCATCTCAAGAATAAGTTCTCACAAGGTTTGTAACAGAGCAATTAATAAATACTACTTTATATAAGAGTTGGCACCGTTCACATGAGAACGAAGCGAATATTTAATCAATATAATAATCTGAACCTAGTGTGTGATTTGCATACTTTAATTATGTATCGGTTCTATAATCGAATAAAATATATTTATATTTATAGGTTTTACGTTGACTATTAAACTAAGAATGGACGAGGCGGCGACAGATGTCTCAAAGAGAACATCCGTGGATAATCTGAAACAATATGTATGCTCTAATTTCACAAGTCCCAAATTAATGTGAGTATAACCAATGTCGACATGACCTGAATGTAAACTTTTTATCCTATTATATATTATTATTATATATGTCTAGAAATTATATATCTAGTCTATAATATATAAATTCGTATAATTAAAGTTAAAGTTAAAGTTAAACTATATATAGTTCTATAATTTATAGGACTATTTAAGCTTTAGATATTTTAGAGAAACGCTAAATAATGCTGCCTTATTCGTAAATTAGATTGATATAATCCAAGGTACTTTAATATTTTTGTCCATTTATGTAACAGTTTTAATGTTTGTGATGTTTAGAAGGGTTACCACTTTACATGAGGTGGGTTCGTTTCTCATTCGGAGTGGTATAGGAAATAGGAGTGTGAATGTCTAGGAACTTTAGGTACTTCTTTCTTTTTTATGTAATTGGAATGGCAAAGAAGCTAATATCCCGCCTGTTGGTAAGCGATATACTTGTACTTCGTCAACATAGAGAAAATAAAATATACATATGGCAATGTGTGGCAATTTTAATATTTCGTATTTTACTCTAGGGAGGAGTATCAAGGCCTATTGACATATTACCTACCAGATTCCACTATGGCATGGTCTAGAATGTTTGGAATAATGGAAAACGCCAAAAGAGAATTAGATGTTGAAGATTATAGCATCTCACAGACCACCCTTGAACAGATATTCTTGCAGTTTACCAAGTATCAGGATGCTGAAAATTCAGAAGATACGAATTCACCTATACACAATGGACAACCTCACGTTACTCATATGTAGTATTATACCTACATTTACAGCGTCTAAAATAAAAGTGTTGAAACCCACAAAGCATTGTATGACAGGAACATTTGTTTATTGTTCCGTAAGTATTAAGTCATTAACTTAATTAGAAAGAAGTTTGTTAAGAAAATGTTTGTAGATAATGCTACATTGATGTAGACTTTGATTTAATTATACAAAATTATAAACTAGTAGATAATTATTAGTTGAAATTATAGAAAATAATGTAAATACATGTATCTCAAAACAATTGTAAAGTTAAGATTAATTTAAATTATTTTAGATTCTATTGCTAATAAAATTACTGTAATTTTATATGTTTTATATTTTTTTACTTTAATAATAAGGAATATAAATATTATATTTTCAATTATTTGTGTTTATAATACTTCGTAAATCAAATCCTAAGCACCCAAGTCTCATATTTTTTTTTAGAGTTCACACTTGATGTTCTCTCCATGATATAAAGTCATGCATTAATAAATCCAACTGTGTTAACAGAGTTTTGCTTCTTGACTGTTTTTTGTTCACCTCACATACATTCCATACGGGGTATCGTAGTCCTCAGAATGTGTTTTCTTCCTACTAACCGCCATTGCACCACCTCGTTTATTTCTGAAAATAACCACTGCTGATTCCCGAGCGTAGTACAGTGGCGCCCCCATTCAACTTTCTTAAGATAAAGGCAAAAACAGTTCAGTTTCGTCAATACAACAATATTTATAAAAAATCATCACATAAATAATTATTACTATAATTAAATATATTATTTCATGAACATGAAAGTTCTCGACTAACTAAATACGAGTCTTTGACTTTATATTGATAAAGACGTACATCTATCAAAACTGAATGTCCCACTGATTAATTAATTAATATTATTAATGTTAATGATCGATTTTGCAATTCTTTTACTCCCGTTTAGGGTTCAACCCCCTTAGGTTAAGTTTCGAAGATTTCAAAATCGATTGTTTGTGAACAAAATCTTAAAGTAGGTAACATATATTATATGAAGCAGGAAATGTACGAAAGTACGTAAGTTACGTAGAACTGTATGTAGACATACATTGTGGCGAATCTACTGACAGCGCGCGGCAACACCGTTGCCTAGCTAACGTTTATAAACAACAATCAATAAGCCAGTCATTGCGGACGGAATCTCTTCTATTCTTTTATTTTAATATTTTAACACAAACAATGGAATACGCAAATAATAGAGACCATCGTAGCCGCTAACCACGTTTTAAAAATCACATTTCAATGAGTAAGCATCACATTTATATTAAAACTTCATATTACTTATGATTCATAGATGCTTAGTAAAATAAACAGTCATACCTATCATATCTTCGCTATCTTAAAAACAATAATGTGCAAAGTATCCCGTACATTCATTATTGATGACAAAAATAATTAAATGCCTTCAATATGCACTATGTAAGAAAATTAAATTAACTCTTATCCAGAAGCTATTCTTTATATTATCTATCCACACAATGTCATATTTTCGTTAAACTTATAAAATACGGGATAAGAGATATTTTCTCCCCGTAAAAACTACACCGCTGCATAGAATGAGATGAGACCCCTACAGAGTTTTAGAATATACTATCACTCTATAAGTTGGTCATAATATCATATTATAAGAATATATATAATACTTATGTATATTTCACACAAAATATAGAACTATAAGAAATACTACGCACGAAATTGTTCAATGTTTAGTTATGTGCTCAAGATATTATTAATTTGAAGACGATCTTTCATAAGAGCAGTATGTCAAAAAAACGCTATTTATTGTGCTTATGCAGAAAGTAAAGCAGTATGTTAAGCAGGTATAGACGTCGAGTTTGTCATGTATCCATACAGATATAGACACTAATGCCATCTTCTAGCTGACGTATTTAGAAATGTTCATATCTACATATTAACTGATAGCGTACTTTAGTGAAGTAGATATAAGTGATTCACAAGAGTCGTATAGTAAACTAACATATTGGCCGATACGGACATATTATTCGTATACAGGTAAGTAATTTTATTAAAACTTGTTGGAAACTTCAAATTTATTAATTAATATTACCGTATATTTTGTACGAATACATGTAAATTTGTTATATAAGAATTAAAATATTTTAACTGTTGTGATTTAGGAATATGTAGGTAGATTATATTATTTTTATAGCAAATAACGACTTGAGGTAGATGTAGAAAATGAGTCGTCTCAATGGACCTCTGTCCAGGGCTAGCGCTAGGGTCCTCAGCGCCCGCATGCAATTTTTATCCCAGAGCTCCCAATTATTTTAAAACATTTTTAATAGTTTCTTATCATTAAAATTATATATGAACTTACATTAATCTTTTTAATTACTATTTAATATATCTGGATTTAGTACACAATGGTTTTAACATCTAATTCTGCACACATATCATTCTCAATGCTAATTAACGCGAAACTATTTAGCCTATCTTGTGACATATTTGTTGTTAAGTAAGTTTAAATCAATTTCAATTTAGAAAAACTACGTTCACCACTTGTTACACTAACAGGTAAAGGTTATGTTCATCTTATCATCCTTCACTGGTGCCCCTCTAGCGTAAATCGCAGGCGTAGCGCAGGCGGGAGCACCATTCCATTATCATCCATAAAAACAGGTAAAGTTCTTAAGAAAAGCTAAATTATTGGATATAATATAAATAGGAATATCAAGGGTTTTTGAATATTAAAATATTTCTTCTGATAATATCCCGGTAAGCACAAAACTCATCAAATAACTCTATTGCATTTATATCTTTACTGTCTATCGTTCTAAATCGTTACAATATTTTCTTAAAGATTCATTATTAATTTCCGGTAATTTATCAAAAAAAATCGAATTTTTCAAAATATATCTTTAATTTAATTTTACAAAATGATCGTTTGTCGAACACATTGCAACATCTAAAAGCGTATAAAATACATTGATTTTAAATTTGTCTAGTGGAGATCGAGGCGATTCGTCGTGTCATGTCTTCTTTCATTATCGCACATCCGAACTATTTTTAAATTCGTGTTCTCCATCCATCTCTTCGCACAGTTCTTTTACTGTTTTTAGAACATCCTTAAATTTTAGATCTGATCGATAATCTTGCAAAAATATTTTTATATTTTTTATTACAAATAATATTAATATTAATATCTTGAAGCATTTTACTTACATTCTATTGAGCAAGTCATGCCAAATTATAAAAGACCAAAGAAATTTGTAGTCTTTCATTTTTAAGCATAATACTCGTGCTTCATGTTGGATTTCTTTATTAAAATTTTCATTATTTACAATATCAAAAAGTACAACGTAAACTTCTCCTAATTGAATCGTAGGGGCCGAATTGCATTAATCTTACTTTCCCATCTGTGGTATCTACTGATATCAGATTACAAACAAAATATGTATTTTATGTCTCGTGATGGCGCCCCCTTCGACGAGGCGTCCGCATGCGATGCATGCCCGTTTCCGCCGGCCCTGCCTCTGTCTAGGTAGACAACAACTAAAAAAGCACAGACAACTAGGTAAAACGGGTGTTTTAGATCATTATTCACTCCCTTTCTTACTATATGTATTATCATTCATACAATCCATTTCTTTTTCGGCATTCCTGTACCTTTATATACGCAATCATATATTTTCATTACAGGGTAATACCAAAACAAACGATTACTATTCAACCTACCGGACGCACCTGTATCTTTTTTACTTCCTCTGGTATATTTATTCTTTATCTTGTCCATTCATGTCATAGCATGTACATATATATCTGTTTTTGTACTCGTATTTCAGTTGTATGTCTCTCATTTGTCGTCATTATGGGCACGCACTCTGATTCACGCAAGATAACAGGGCGGATCATGAGAACACGATCTTTTGTCTAGTTATATATAAAAATTTAAATTGGGATTTAGTCTCTTAGTATTTATTTATTTTTAGATAAGGGAAAAATGTGTAACTTTATCTATATATCTTAAATGTAATCATTTATATTATTGGGGAGATTATTAAGATACTGAATTTTAATACTCAACTGGGCAACTTATGACTTTGAACTTCATAAATACTTTGTGCTGCGTGTCGTTTACTCGTCATCTAAGTATCTAACAATTTGTTCTTCTCTTCCATTTTTGGTAAATCATTGACTGACAGTTTTTCTACATTTATAATGTTAATATAGTTTTCATATTTTATTTTATTGCGGACGTTTTGATTATTTTATTACAGCTCTTACGGCTTAAGGATGAATATGGAGTGATGATATAGGTATTCTTATTCCTCATTCTGCTGAGGTTATTTCTTATTTACAGTTAAGAATGTCTGTTTTACATTTTATAGTCCATCAATTCGTATAATTTGCGTTCATTATTACCCGTTTTTCCTGCTATAATTGAATTAAATATTATCCCCAGTATTCAAAAAGGAGAAGGATAGATTTTAGCATAACTACTAAATTTTGTACTGGATTGTAATTACTTCATATTTAGGTAAGATGGCTATGGTGATCTTATTCCGTATTAATATGATACCATTGTGTGATTCTGCCATGAAAGCCTTTCAAACTTTAGTTTTATCTCAAATATTTTTTCTTTACCACCTTATGGGCCGTATATTTTGTTACCACCATAGTGGTATCAAAAATCGGAGATAAACAGAATCAAAAGAGGTAAACAGTAAATAAGTCTGTTAGTAAAAGGCGTGATATATATATATACATAGGTAATCGCTAACTCATTACACTTCAACCTAGTAGTGATTTATAGTTAGGAACAGGGTAATATTTTACACTATTACACAAAATATGTCTATTAAAATATTGAACATAAGATATGTTCAATATTTCAATATTCAACTTTATAATTATATACCTATATATGTATTTGTCCGTTTGTTTATTAATTTGTCCATTTAGGTGTATATATATATATATATATATATATGCGCAAAACCTACTTGTAAAGTAAGTTGTTAAACTGCTCCTTGTGGTCTTGGACCATATACCTAAGACATACAGTGACTAGAATATACTTTTATTTATTTTCAATAAAAACAATTTAATAGTACCTATTTATTCTATGGTATAAGATAAAGTAATAGCATTCAATAAACACTGATGCTACACTGTGCTAACTGAATTACAATTACTTCATGATATAATTACAGAATTCTTCATAGTTATAGAATGTTCAATATGGAACACAAGCGGGACGCTAACTCCTGGGTAAAGTTCCGCTTGTTGATGTGGAAGAACTTTCTGCAGCAGTGGAGACACCCAGTGCAGACTGCAGCCGAGCTGTTAATACCAGTTATTACTTTGTCGCTTATTCTTATTATACGTTGGCAAATAGTGCCTTATGATATTAAATTACAGGCTTTTGAACCTGTACGGGCACAATCCCTCAGCAACTCGTCTTTGATGATTTTGTAAGTAATATTTTTTATTGTAATTGGAATAGCAAACACGTTGACAGTACACCTGATATCAAGTAGTACCTAACCATCGACTGTATACATGAACTGATGTCGATCATGCCACGGACATCATGTTAACAAGTTACGCCCATGGTACCCGTCATCCAAATGCCATCCCAAATATATCTTACAAAACAGAAAACTTTGTGGCTTAAATGGTTGAGACAGAAGTAATATCTAAACGTCAGTACAAATTACCTTACAAATTAAGAGATAATAAACGAGAAGTATGTAGAAAGAGAGTAGACGAGAAGACATTTTGTATCGATTATTAGGTTTTCTATTTTCTGAACTAAATTGAATAGACTAGAAAAGAATAGAATAGAATAGAAAATCATTTATTGAAATAAACTTAATTTTAGCACTTTTGAATAGTCAACACTTTTTTAAATCTATCTCTTATTCGGAAAGCTGTCTCATCACAAGAAGAATAAGCAAGAAACTTGTGTGTTGCTCTTTTAAACGATTCTTGTAAGTTCACATTTTACAAGTCCAAACGTGTGAATACAAACTACCAACCAGCACTAATTTATTTAGGCTCAAATATAAAAACACAATAAGATTAAATCAGTCTAGTGATAAGAGCAGACCAGTCCCTACAAGCAGCACTCGTTCACGAGTATGACGGATGAGCCAGCCATCACTGCGCTCGACCATATTTTAGCCCATTGGGCTAAAATATGGTCGACGAATACCCAGCCCACCACGCCGCCACATGTCTGGACATTTTAGTGAGCATGACTACGACCACGTCAGAGCTGCAAAAATTACTATATGGTAGTTACCGTATTCGCACTTCACATGAGGATGCATGCGGCAATCAATACAAAAGCTGCTACGCTATCATATATCAAGAAAGCAATATGAAAAATAAATTATAACGTTGTCCGCAAATAAACTTATACTTGCTATATATTGCTATCATCTATAAATTCATCTATCCTATAATAGGCTTTTTTACATAACATTTGTTTAATATAAAATTTGAATTGCCTCTCTGTCAGATTTAGCGTAGATTCTGACAGTTTATTATAGAATCTTACGAAATTACCATAAAATGAACTAGACATAACAATGACTTTGTGTAGACGGCATTTAGGTAAAATTAGCTTATTTTTATTGCGTAAGTTTCTACTTGTACAGTCTTTAAGTTTCTTGAAACGATCTAAGTTTTTCCTTGTATACATAATATTACTAGAAATTAAATCTAAGAAAAATATTTTTATTTGAATAATATTGTAAATAATATAATAATAAATATATATATGTTCGGAGTGTGGAGGTCGTTTTTTCTAGGCCAAATCGTATTATTCCTTCCATTTACAAAATATATTTTTCTTTTAGTACGGACTATACGTAATCCAATAAGGACCATTCTATGATCATTTTTTCTCTATCGATGCGAGTCCTACTGATACAGCCATTTGATAAGATAACTCATTATCTAAGTATAATTTATGACGTTTCATATTTTAGGTTTTCGGTACACATTTTATTTTGAGTAATATATTGTCATGAGTAATAGATCACGATAGTGATGTCTTAACGCCTAGTAGTTAGTTATAAAGTTAAAATTTCAACTAAGGGGTAAAAGGGCACGATGTGTTAATATTCTGTTTTATGTAATTATCAATGGTTTGTATTTAGTTTCGTTTTGAATTTAGCTTGTAGTTATTTTAAAATATAAAAGATAATATGTAGGTAATACAAGTATTTTTACCGCTTGTGAGATAAAGTCTGACGAATCAGTTTGAGACCTATACCGATCAAATAATTTTACAATATGATCTTACATCTTTCTCTTGATTTCGATTTCATTATGTACTTGATGATATTGGGTTATGATCACTGTCATAATCGATTTGTAGTTGATACCTACTGCTTATCTATCTTCTGAGTATAATTAAAATTAGAGTATACCTATATTTTATTTACAGGAGTGAAATGAACCTAACTGATATATCAATTGCCTATTCACCTCAAAGTAACATATTAGAAGATATTGTAAGAAGAGCTATAGGAAATTTATTAATAGACAATGCGCAGTATCTCATGCCTATAATATTAGAATCATTAAATTTAACAAATATAACAATTCCGTCAAAATTGGGACTGAATTTAAACGAGATCAGTGAAACTATATCATCACCACTAATTAACGTTCAAGCATTTAATAATAGTGCTGATCTAGTGGGAATTTATTCTGATGAACTTTATACTCGGAAAACATTGGCTGCAGTGGAATTTAGTGACTCATTACTTGGTATGTATAACAATATAGATATCTTTATATTGATTTCTAAAATCATCTAAAGTCTGTGAATGTGTAGATAGCTATTTATATAAACTACCTAGTAGGTGAATCGTCTTCAGAGAATATATTTATCTAAACAGCAATGTCAAATAATTCTAAAGATTTATCCTGTCTTGCCTAGTATATTTATTTAATGTAGTTGAAATATTTTTTACAGGAGCAACTGATATACCAGATAAAATAAATTATTCGTTAAGATTTCCTGAGAGGCCACGATTAAACTCGTTTTTTTTAACTGGTAGTCGAAGTTGGCGTACTGATCTCGTTTTCCCGGCATTTGAACAACCAGGGCCTAGATTCCCATCCTCACCAGCAGGAGGCGATGATCCAGGTAATTATTGGTTTCCATTTGATAGGTAGATGTACCTAATATATAAAATAATTTATTTTTAAGTATCTACATAGGATTTGTCTTAACCAATATTAAATTCGTCGACATACCGTTGCTTTTTAACTTTGTTTGTCATGATTGTCGGAAAGTTATTAATGATTTTTATGACATGTTGAAAATATTACTTGGATTAATATTACTTAAATTCCATGTAAACAGTAAAAGACAGTTTCGACTCTAACCTGTATGTATAAAGTAAAAAACATCCATTTTCATTATTTATATTATTTTATTTCCATAGTTTATTTCTTTTGCAGGTTATGTATATGAAATGTTTATCATTCTGCAACACTATATAACAACAGAGTTAATACATACAATAACAGGCCAGAATTTAAGAAGTTTTAATATAAATTTGCAAAGGTTTCCTCACCCAGCTTATTCAGAGGATTTGGCTGTAGATCTGATGCAAGAACTTCTTCCACTATTTGTAGTTATAAGCTTTACTTATATAGCTATAAATATTACTAGAGCAGTTACACTTGAAAAAGAGTTACAGTTAAAGGTTTGTGTGTATTTTATTCGAACTTAGCTTGTGAAAACAGATATATTATTATTGCAGCGCAAGAGAAACCTACGCTAATAGTGTACGCTAATAATCTATACATCTATACATATAAATAAAATTGGAGTGTCTGTTTGTAATATTGAAATAACCATTTTTTACTACATGCATATGAATATAAATACGGTACAAACGACAAAAAACCACTTTTTAATTATTTTAGAAAAATAAAGTTTAATTCTACGCGGACGAAGTTGCGGGTGCAGCTAGTGCTGAATAATAATGGTATAGTGTACCTTGCGTGGATGGTGTACGCTGGTGGGACACCAGTGGAGAACGACAGGATGAGTATGCAATCAAGTCAGTTAGCCTATCATGACGAATTCCACCCTGGAACCACCGTAGAGTACTGCGTGGTAGTAGACTTGTGTGGTACATTGCTAGCAATACTCACAACTCTCCATTACTTACGATCCCCTCCCATGCTGACGGTATTCATTGCAGGGCAGAAAAATATATTTTTCCTTCCTGTCCTTTTCCCTCTGAAGAAAAGGCAAAACCTTCCACATATGAGGGGAGAAACTAGGTATATACATTAAGGAAAATCTAAAATTCTATAGTAATAAATTTATTTTTTACAGGAAACTTTGAAAATAATGGGCTTACCGACATGGATTCATTGGATGGCGTGGTTTTTCAAACAGTTTCTTTTCCTTTTACTTGGCTCCATACTTATCGTGCTTATCCTAAAGGTAAAACTTATTGCCTACATCCTAAGTATTCAGGTATATTCTCGCATTATGTTATAAATGTTATAATACATGTATACTTTTGTTTTCTAGATATCTTGGTTTTCATCTGAAGATGGTACTGGGAATACTGCATTATTAACATACACGCCTTGGCATGTTCTATTTTTTTTCTTGAATTTATATTTTTGTTGTATGATATTTTTCTGCTTCATGATCAGTGGATTTTTTTCAAAAGGTAAGAGCACTTAAATAACTTTTTTTTATTAAGGCTCGGCCCTTAGGCAACATAATACTTTTTAAACCTATGTACATATATCGTGGTGACATGTACATATGTTGGAATATTCCACAAAGGTTCTAATAGAATGTTATCACCACTATATCTGTTTAATGCCTCACAATATACACGTCTATTGATGATATGTGTGCAATGTATAAGTAACTGTATAAAAACAATATTGGAAGGTATCCAGTCGATCAACAGACAAACATTAAATTCGTTTAAATACCTATATGTACTACGTAACTTAACAATAATTAGATGTACAAAACTGTTTGCAGGAAGTACCGCGTCATTATTCATGGGTATTATTTGGTTTATAACATATATTCCTGCGATGTTGCTGTCGATGGATATCAACTTGTCAACTGTAGGCCAAGCTTTCACATTCCTCAGCGTAAATACAGCAATGTCATATGGATTTCAACAGCTGTTAGCCAAAGAAAACTCAGGAGGTATGAATCATTACTTCGCAATCCCTCATATCAATATTACATCCATAAAAAATATCTTATTTATTACATTGTAATGACGATAATCCCATCGTTTGCTTACTCACAATCTATTTTTATTTTATACTACCTGCGACTTCGTCCGCGTATCTATTAACATTTTTTTATTAAATTTATAAAGTAAAAGTAATAGTAGTAGTAACTTAGTAACTCCTTATAACATTAGCTATCTGTGAGTGAAAAAAGTCCCATCAGACCCTTAAATTTTATTTATTTCTAAAGATTTTGAAACTATTTTTTACAATGCGAAAGTAACTCTGTCTGTCTGTCTGTCTGACTCGCTTTCACGCCAAAACTACTGAACCGATTTAAATGAAATTTGGTACACAGATAGTCTAGACCCTGAGAAAGGACATAGGCTACTTTTTAATGCGAAAAAAGGGTTGTAAGGGGTTGAAATTGGGGATGAAAGATTGTATGGAAGAATAGTCATTTTTAAAGCCCTAGCCGTTTCAGAGATTAGCAAAAATGAACAGATAGTCTGTTTATTTTTGCTAATCTCTGAAAACCGGTAAAAAATATAATTAATTTGTTGGTATATAAGTACCATATATACTTTCATATTTTTAGTCACATTTTACATTTAGTGAAAAGCTGTTAATTTGAAATTACAAACAGACCCTTAAATTTTATTTATTTCTAAAGATTTTGAAACTATTTTTTACAATGTGTTCATGCACAATATTTAATGTACGGCGGTCATGAATATTATATATACTTTTTGTTACATGTATTTTAATGAAAATACGGCGGTCATGATCATACCAATACATATATTCTTTTCTGAGAGAAATATATTTCTGTATATTTATATACATATATATACATAATTTAATGGTCAGAGTATAAAACAATTTATTTCAGGGAATTAAAATATAATTAAGGAAGTACATCTTATTTTCAGGCATGCAATGGGGTGAATTTATGTCGATGACCGATTTAGACTCGACACGTTTAACATTTGGCCACGTGGTCATATTTTTAGCTGTGGATTGCGTGTTATACATGTTAATTGCACTTTATTTAGAACAAGTTCTACCAGGGCCATACGGGATACCTAAGCCATGGTATTTCCTTTTTCAAAAAAGCTTTTGGTGTTCAGGAAGAAAGCGTGAGTAACTGTTGCATTTTTAAGTACACATATTTATCTTTCGTTATATACTTTTTCAATTTAATAAACACACATACATATAAATAGTCAAAAATGATTAATAAATAGCCATTAATAAAACATATCTCGTAAATAAAGAATTTATTTGTAACATTATCATTTCCTTGCTTATAATTTTCGCTAAAATACTGAATACATACATAAATAGCGGTAGGTTTTACCACAGGACAGTATAAATTTATAAAATAAAAATATTCTCATAACTAATTTTCCGGATGGGATAGTCAGAATATAGTATTATCGATTGTTGATGATATGGTGAATTTAACACGTTACAGAATATTACATAATACATATTAATTATATATTTAACATTTGGTCGATATGGTACATTGATTAATGATAGTATTTTTTTGCAGAAAATGAAATTCTTGAAACAGCAAACTCTAGTAACCGCGAAATAACTATGGAACAGGAACCGACAGATCATACAATTGGCGTAAAAATTATAGTAAGTTAATAAAAATAGACGAATGACTCAGTGAAACCAAAAACATAGAAGAGGCCGAGGGAAACGATGTTTATATATAAGACGGTTTATGAAGGTGGAAGATACAAGATACATGAAATAAAAAGGTTCCTTGCGACTCGAATGAAAGCAATGACTTATTTAATATGTAACTAAGTGTAAAAGTGCATTATGAAAACTATGGATGCCTTGTTACATTCATACGTACTTATCATCCATATAGTGTGTAAACGTGACCATTTAGAAATTAATTCGTATGCCATGAGCTGGACATTAAAATATAGATTACTACAATACCTCTCGTTATTCTATTTATTTATAAAATAGTTTTACTTTTTAGAATCTGACAAAAGTATTCGGCTCTAACACCGCCGTGAATAACTTGTCTCTAAACATTTATGACGATCAAATTACTCTTTTACTTGGTCACAATGGTGCTGGGAAGTCTACCGTTATATCAATGCTTACAGGTATGAACCAACTTTATTATTCTTAGTCTTAGCTTAGATATAAATTTCTAGTCTTTTCCTTGGTCTGCAATTGACGCTGTGTAAACATTGTACATCGTAAGGTATTCCTTCTTTCTTTTAAAGAATATTAATCTGCAACAAAAATTAAAGTAAATTAGGTTTATTTTTAGTTCTTATTTATAATCCTTTTTTAAGGTAACTTGCCTGTGACAAGTGGCTCGGTGTGGGTTGCGGGCTACGACATGAGCTCACAATTAACCTCAGCTCGAAGCCACCTTGGACTCTGTCCACAGCACAACGTTATTTTCGATGATTTAACAGTCAGAGAACATCTCGAATTCTTTGCTAGACTAAAAGGATTCCAGGGCGTGGAACTGGATAAGGAAATAAAGACGCTCATAAATGATTTAGAATTGCAAGACAAAGTATGTTCTCATTTTATTATTCTAGTGTAATTTAACTGGTACCTAACAGCTATGTATTAGTGAAATGCGTCCATGTATTTGTACGTTCTATACGTTTTGATTAATAGGTACATTTTAATGCTAGTAGATGGAATCAGTAAATTAAGTAAATAATTACATTTTATATCAATTACATATTAATTACGAAAATAGGAATAATCACAATTATTTTATCTTTTTATCATCAAAAAAGAATCAATTTGTTTAATAAGAGAATTCAAATTTTGATAAAATGGTTCCTCATATGATATAGATTTTCTAACAATATTTAAAATTCCCATGAATGGGAAAATTTAGGGCTCCTTAACCGCGTATAAAAGTAAAATAAAATAAAAAAGAACCACTCCAGCTTCACTGCAGTTTAAATAGTGGATAACTAATAACTATACATTCTTCGATTTTATTAGCGAAATGATTTAGCCCGCGGTCTGTCTGGCGGACAGAAGCGCCGCCTGTGTGTGGGTATAGCTTTGAGTGGGCAAGCGCGCGTCGTTTTACTGGACGAGCCCACCTCGGGCATGGACCCGTCGTCGCGCCGAGCACTTTGGGACCTTCTGCAAAAAGTTAAAAAGGGCAAGTCATCCAGTAATTCTCTTACTGACTTATGTACAAAAAATAAAACTATCAAACCCATCAATTGTACAGAATTAATAGTACAAATTAAAGAAACAATATCACCTCATATTTTTACTGTTCAATTAAACAAAAAATAAAGGACAAGTCTTTTAATATACGTAAACAAGCTTATTCATTAATTAAATCTTTACAAATAAATAAAATTGTATTATCTGTTTGTACATATATTTTTAGAGATAAAAGGTATCTTATGTTCGTTCTTATAGTAGAATCTATCTTTACCACAAATTTTATTAAAATCCGTTTAGCCGTTAACTCATGAAAAGGTAACAAGTAGACTGATTCACTTTTGCTTTACAGTATTAAATATGAATTATGATGCCAGTAGTTACAATTACATATATTTTGTTTGAACATATACCTTGTATAAACAGTGTAAAGATATGAACTCTATTTTTAATACAGTAACCTATGTACAATAAATAGCTGATATAGCACGCAACAGTCGGATTATAATATAATAAAAAAAAACATTATTAAACTCGGCACATTTGTTTTCGAACCTTAGTCACGCTACCTAGCTATTTTATATCTATAGATAACTGATTATTACTAACTCATTGATTATTCATCAATTTTCCCTGCCTATCTCATAAGACACTTGATAAAGCTGTACAAATTTCTTTATTTGCTTAAGTAAATCAGGTAAATCAGGTAATCAGGCGCATTGTCAATCACTAATATGCTTGTTAATGCGCATATTTCACATGAATTTACTCTCTCAATCATAATGATGGGATAAGGACATATCATAATAATTATATACTGTAGGTATGTATAATAATAACAATGTTTTGTTTACTTTAGGTCGAACGATTATTTTAACGACTCATTTCATGGACGAAGCCGATTACCTGGGCGATCGTGTGGCAATCATGGCTCATGGACAACTGCAGTGTGTCGGCTCTCCATATTTCCTAAAACAACATTATGGTGTTGGATACACTTTGGTCGTAGTAAAGGATGAAGATTTTAGAAACGATGAATGTACTGCTTTACTAAATAAATATATTTCTAACACCGAAGTTAAAGATGATCGCGGTACGCTATTTTTTGTTTTGTGAAACCAGAATTATGTTTCAGTAAAACGAAAAGATTATAATAATATAACAATACATTTTAGGTACTGAAGTAACATACAGTTTATCAAATGACTATTCTTATATATTTGGTGATATGTTGAGTGAATTGGAAAGCAAAATTGACAGCATAAAATTCAAAAATTACGGTTTGATTGCAACCACATTGGAAGATGTGTTTTTGTCGTAAGTGCCATTTACATAATATTTCTTTTTTTTATTTGAAAAGTATATAGAGACAATCTGGTTATTTAAAACATCAATACTTTCTTCATATGATAAAACTATTTGGCTCATTTACGTACTTTGATACAATTATATTTAAGGATCAGACACAAAAAGTAAAACTATTAGGTATTTCAATTTATTTTCGGGTTTTTTTTACCAATCATAAAAGCATTCAAAACAAATTTAAACTTCGTATCAGTAATCAAACATTACTTTGTAAAATATAGCATTTTGCTCTGTTTGCTCTTTTCAAAATTATTAATACAATCCTGTACAAGTCACACAGCTCCATCTAGTCCCAAGCTACGCAGAGCTTGTATTATGGGTGACATAAATACTTAAATACATTTTTTTTTAAATAGATACATATAATATAAATAAAAAATACCCAGATCGATACAAACAATCATACTTATGTATAGAAATTTCAGTATTGTTCGAGGAACCCAACCTGAGATTTTCTGAAGTAAAGCATATATTGAGTTTTCTCTTTATTTCTTCTCTTCTTACTTATACTCAAATGTTTAAATCAGTCTCATTTAGTTAGTCACGGCATTACTTCTCTACATGTTGAAAACGTAAAAATAAATGAAAACCTTCTTCAATATTATGTTTGCTTTTTCAGAGTGGGATCTAGTTCGGAATCAATAAAATATTTATCAGAGGACACTGACTGTAATACAATTAATAATAATAATATAAATCAACATGATATGCCCACGTCCTCGATTGAACAGTGTAAGTATTAATTAATACGAATCGTTAGTCATAAAATAAATCCTTATACCATTATTGATTTTAAGATTAAGAACTAAGTTGAAACAATAATATCTTCGAAGAGTACTTAATATATTGTATATATGTAAATATTATATTTGGTCTCGGCAGATTTGAACCTTTCGCTTTTATAAAATAAAAATCGGGGTAATATTAAGTTTGGCCAAGACGCTTTTACATTTGTTTAAAATGTTACTTTGAATAACTTAGTGGCTGTAAATGATGTATTTACAAAGCAATAGAATTATTTACCTTTAAGTTTATCAGTTAGAAATATAGTATATAGGCTGGCATTAAAACAACAATTTCAGTGGACAAAGAAGAGATTGTAACGGGTGCCCAAGCGATATGGTTGCATGTTAAAGCAATTTGGATTAAACTGTGGCTGACGAAGATACGGTCATTTTCTATACTATTATTACAATTTATATTTCCGTTATTCGATATAGTATTGACACTTATTATTATGGAATACTCAGTGTCTTTAACTAATGCTATACATTCTCGACTGCTCTCATTCACTGAAGGGTGAGTCACTAATAAGTTAATAACATGACTTAATACTTTCTATTTAGTTTAAATTTTACACTATATCTACATTTAAGTAGCTATTAATTTTTAATAATGTTACCTAAATTCAAAGTAATTTATTGTCAGTAGTGCCCGCGATTTCGTATGTCGTACATTTGTACCTACATCGCCGTGGATGATAGTTAAACGACTAAAATAAATAAAATATGGTATAAATACAACGCCATCTATTATTTGATTAATAAATTCATTATTAAAATATACGTGTATTGAATATTTTTAAAAGTTAATTATTTCAGTAGATGTACTTTAGTACTCCCTTTTGGATTTGTTAGATATATGTATTAATGGTTGCAATACCAACGATCTGGTCAAGATCGCTGGAAGGCATTGTTGACCGATCGTCGTGGAATACCCAGCAGTGGACATCTTCCGGGCTGCGATGATGATGATACCATTGATCTATGCACTGAAGATACTTTCTACCTGAACCTATCGACTGATTTTTTTTTTTATTAATTTGTAGATATGCTAGTACAGAAAGTCTTTTGGCTTTCAACGGTACGAATTCGACATCCGTCGGAGCATTGGCGAAGGTTGCGTATGAAGATGTGTACAGCTTGTTAGATAACAATAATATCAATCTCACTGTTGTTGATGGACAGCCAATCGATACCTACTATTTAAAAAGGGTAATTATACAATTACGCATTATGAAATATATATTTTGATCCTTTTAATATCTACATATATAAGCATATGTTAAATCCTAATATGCTGAATAGTTACATAACTTATTCAACTTTCAATATATTATTTGTGTTAATTTTGTAAAGGTAAAAGATGTGTCTGAAATTATTTGTCTTATAAAGTTGACGTGTTTTGTATATATTAATTTAACGTAAAGTGATAGAATTTAGTTAATTTCATGACAAAAAGAAAAATTAATATTTAATGTGACTCCTTCAATTCTCGAAATAGAATCACAATTTCATTGTTAACAGACAACTTTTGTACACAGCTAAATAAATTTTACTAATTATATTTTATTATCTATCTACTTTATCTATGATTCAGGCTGAAGAAGGCAACATGGGACATCTAAGGTACAGCTTACTGGGCGGGGCTACTTTCAATGACGAGTCAGCGACTGCATGGTTCAGTAATTTTGCATACCACGACTTGCCCACCTCACTTGCTGCCCTCCATAATGCCGTGCTCAAGGCTTTCCAACCAAATGCTGAAATCAACGTGGCCAATCATCCTCTCGAAGCAAATTATGAAGATCAAGTAAGTATACCAATTGTAATACGTTTATAATTTTATTTGTGAGAGATCTATATGCGCAGTACGAGATAACACAAGATAGTAATTTACTCATAAACTGGGTACTATTTTACATTCAGTTTCATATTTTGTCATTAATTGATTTTTTACCAGAAGTTTTAGTTTATATATAAATATATGTACCTAAACCAAATAAAGCATACAAAGTTATGGTATAAATATTATAAGAAAATACATAATGTAAATTAAACAACCTAATTAAATTATTGATTTCCTTTCAGAGAGATATGAACATAATGCTGCTGATACTGTCCTTTCAGATATCATTTTCGATTGGGAATGGTATGGGAATGGTCACTGCTGTTTTTATTATGTTTTACATCAAAGTAAGTTGGTATCTACTAAGTCAGTTAGTGATCTTAGGGTGTAGTACTCTTTTCGTAACGATATCGAAGTGCATGTATGTAATTTCAGGAACGCGTGTCGCGTGCCAAGCTGTTACAAAAGGCAGCCGGTATAAAACCGATCGTGATGTGGGGTAGCGCTGCGATTTTCGATTGGTTTTGGCTTCTTGTTATTTCCATCACTATTGTCATACCATGTGTCGCCTTCAGTGTTATTGGTCTCTCTAGTGCAGCTGAAATAGGTAGGTTATCTTTAACATTTGCAACAATCGCTGACGCTTGTTTTCTATATTGATCTGTACTTAACTGTTTAATACACCACCATAGTTATCATGGTCATTAGGCTGTTTTTCAAATTGGTGAACAATAAATATTAATTCAGAAAAAATATACATTTCTACCTTATCTTAATAATATAAATACGATAGTTTGTAAGTATGGATGTTTGTTACTCTTTCACGCAAAAACTACTGAACGGATTTTGATGAAACTTTATAGTAATATAGCTGATGCATCAGAATAATATATAGGCTATATTTTTTATTGAAATTTAACGCCAGTGAAACCGCGGCCACAGCTATATCTAGCACCCATAGAATTTAAATTATTCTTTGCGCCAAGTGTTAGAAAATTATAGAGTTTATAGTACAACTTACAAGGTTGTGCTTTAACCATACTATAATGTCACTAATAGTTATAAAACGGCTTTATAATCTAACGACGATTTATTTTATTCCAATGCAGGTCGCTTGTACTTGTGTATCATGGTGTATGGTGCGGCTGCTCTGCCGCTGCACTACTTAGTTTCTATGTTGTTCAATGGGCCGGCAATAGGTTTTGTCGTCATGTACTTTATTAATTTACTATTCGGTAAGTGCTGTTTTCATTATACTCATATTATATATGGTTTCAATAACAATATTTTAATGTAGACATACATGACAGGTCTCATGGGATCTCAAATCGTGGAGGTACTGGCCAATCCATTACTGGATACAGAGAATGTTGCGAATATTATGGATGCCATTTTGCAATGTTTCCCGCTCTACTCCTTCGTTACAGCAGTTCGGTAAGTACATTAATTATTACTATTATAAATAGTATTTAGTTTCAATTATGGCTGCGATTAAGCGACAAGCAGAAGATATGTACCTATTAGACATTGTTTATGTCTAATAGGTACATATCTTCTGCTTGTTTCTAAGTAAATACATCTAACCTTATATACGCTTTTATACTTAATGTCAACGCATGCGTGACGACACATGCGTTGACATTACGTATAGAATCGTATTCTTCTTGACATTCCAAAAGACTTGATGAAATATGTGAGACTTATATACCCACACAGACGACTTTTAAATGTCTGCTTCTGGACCGACAACAAAACAAGCGAAGCAGAGATCATATTATAGGTACTAGACAACTGATATAAATAAATTGGTATATCTTTAAAATACATATATGATGAACATACATAGCAAACTTTGTTTGAATGTAACAAAATTACATTCTTTGTATCGGTATGGGTATACCGATACAAAGAATCATACTTATAAATATAAATGTTTGTATCCGAATAAAACCCGCAACCATTGGAAGTAAAATTTCTAAATTCTTTACAGTTCCATGATTTCGGTCACGATGGCAGAACATTCGTGTCTGGATAGATGCGAGCGTTTGTCGCATCTGGCACATATAGAGGAATGCAACATGCAGGTTCTTTGTCAAAACTATCCTGACGTCTGTTGTGGTAGTTAACATTTTTATTATTACTTCTTTTTAATTAGGTATTGGATATTTGTTAGTATAGAATTATTTCTTTCCTGTTCCTTTACGTTCAGGTATTTTTTTTTGTGAAATTAGTATGGTAAATAAACAGGATGCCCACCTGTTTGGGCTGTCTGTTTGGACGTAGCAACGTCTTCTATGAACAGCATCACGGTTATCACATCATGTGATGCCAGTTATACGCCTCATGCGTTGCATTCCGAAGGACTAAGAAGTAACGCTTCTGTACTCTGTAATTTAATCTTTATATCGAAATATAGCTTACGAAGCAAACTGCTTGGCAACAGAAATATATAACCCACACATATCTACGCAGAGGGCTTTGTTCAAAGTCGAAGTAATTTTCTAATATATTGTTAATGCTTATTACTGGACTTATTTTATACATTATATTAGAAAATCTTGTACAAAATATTATCTCTCTAGGTTCAGGTAGGTACTGCATCCTGAGTATAATTGTAGCAACATAATATTGCCTTGTGTTAAATATGTTATGTGATAAATAGTATCCTTATTGGAGTTTAATATAAGGACGTAATAGTTTTTTCAAATAAAATCTTCTGATACTAATATTTGAAGAGTAACCGTTTTGTACTTAAAAATATAAATTTCATTACAGTTTCCGACTCCGCTCACTTTAACTGGGAAAAGCCTGGTATTCTGCGATACTTGGTTGTTTCATTAATATCATGTGTCGTACTATGGATCATTCTTATGGTTATCGAGTACCGGCTTTTACATAAGGTGATTTTTTTTCTAATATTCCTTTACGGCTGTTTTCTCAGATGGAGTAGGGAGAGCACGGTAACCGTAACTTGACATGCCCAAATTTTGCTTATTATATTTGAATCAACAACCATCTGGCGGACACATAGAAACATAAACAGCTTTGTGTATCAAATTTTAATCTGACTGACTCACCAGCTTAGGAGACACCGTTACCAAAACCAAAAAAGTCGCTGCAGTAAAGTCGTTTAAATATATATAAAATGAGAAATTAACATAGCAGAGAAACACATATAATATATAGAAAAAGGAAAATATATTCTAACATACAGTGGGAGGATTGTCTCTGTCACATTGGATTCCAATAGTTATACCTAGCGAAACAAGGGCATCAAGTGTTGCATTCACTATGACGTCGACATTTGACAATGCCTCGGTATTTATATCACGTGCCACGTGATATGGTGTAAAATCCTCCACGTATGAAGCAGTGAAAATGCAGTTAAGAATCAAGTCGAATCGATATTAATTGTTGTGGTAAAAGGTCTCCACTAGAATAGTCGCCATCAGCAGATTGAATTTTGAAATACTAATTATATTAGAATTGATTAAAAGGAAACTTTGTCAGTCTGTCTGTTATCTTTTAACAAGTAAACGATTGAAATATTTAATACAATTCGCTGGAAAAAAATAGTAATATATGTAATTGCAACTTTGCTTAGAAACTAGTTCGCCTTTAGTGTGGTCATGTCCAGTTAGTCTAATTACCTACATTTTTATGTAAAATGCGAATAACATAGTCCTTTTCAGATGAAAAGGACAATGGATCTTCATGTAGCTCAATGTGAATATACGTTGATTGACGAGGACGTATGTAGGTATAGGCCATATTTTAAAAATGTAGACAAAGAATATAATTAGTACTGCATTTTTAATATATGTAATTGCAGATTCAGTGAATAAATACCTCTTACGTTTGACAGAACTTAACCCATATCATTACATAGTAGGTTACTAGGTACCTATGTAGTCAATTACAAGTCGTTTACTTATTTAAATTTACAGGTATTCACATTTACAAAAAAAGCACTGCCTGTAGATGAGAACACATTAGATGAAGACGTAGCCAACGAAATTCAACACGTGAAGCGCGTAAGGAACTCTGGTCTTGGAGATGACAGCTTGGTGGCGAGCGAGCTCACCAAATTTTATGGAAAACGACTAGCTGTCAATCAAGTTTCCTTCAGTGAGTATGCCTAGGTCTTATAGGTATGTCTACAAATGTTATCCATGCCTGTTGTGGTGGCATAGTGCCGATAACATATGACGTTTATTAAAATGGATCTTAGTCAAGAACAGGATGATAATCAACAACAAGCTGCGCCGTAGTTGATGAACCTATATTGAATTTATCGCCGAAACATTTACAGACAGATACAGTCCTGTTACAATATGCTATAATATACCTATATGTTATGTAAATCTTATTAATCTTGGAAATAGGTGAGAACCAAGAGGAGACCATAGAACGATATTAGAGAGTGTAAAAAGGAAGTCAGAGAGTTAACAAACAAAACTATAGACTACTCACTAAGGAGAGTTTACATTATACAATAGTTTCCATAAAGAATATCATTTAAAAAGCTAATTAATTACAACAACGTTTTGCTATTTATATAATAGAAGAACACAAAAGAGAAAGAAGTTACCTATTTACATATAAAGTTATATATTTTAGATATATTATAGATTTTTGGAGTTCAAGTTATTAAATATTTATGGCAAATAACAATCTTATGACGAGTTATGTTTTCTGTAATGGGTGATAGATTAGACAGTGGAAAATGCTAGAAATAACATGACTTGAGGTTTGTTAGCCAATTGTGACGACTAATTCACCAGTAATGAAATGGTTTCCAAGGGAGACCATGTGGTAGTCGACCTGGCATGCTACTCCGTGCTCCGCACCGCATAGTTTCAGTTAGCTATCTATATATATACATATATAGATACCTATCTACGTATAATTATATTGTTTATTTGTAGCTGTGAGCGAATCTGAATGTTTCGGACTTCTGGGTGTTAATGGTGCAGGCAAGACTACTACTTTCAAGATGCTGATGGGAGACGAGACAATGTCATATGGAGACGCTTTCGTTGGTACTCATTCAGTAAAAACGGATATCACTAATGTCCATAAAAACATAGGTGAGTCGATATTACAGTATATGTTCATGTAAATAAAGCTATCTCAGTCCCCTGTAATGACAATGTATGCATAAGTGGTATTACGGGTGTCACATGATAACGTGATGCCCAGCAATGAGATATGAACACACAGCGGTTTTACTAGATAAGAATCCCACAGTATCAATGGTTTATTTTTGAATAATTCCGCTCTTTAAAAAGAGTTGCTTTTTCATTACAAAGACATTTCTCCTTATATAGTTGGTTGTACTCATTATTATGATTATACATGAGAAGTGGAAACGACGGACAGCCGAGCAAGTAAATGTATTCAACAATATTATTATTATTCTATAAGTGTATATTATTATTGGGTGGTTTTCACCCAGATTATAATAGTCAATACCAAGATAGCAAGTGAATAAACTTTTTGGTTTGCAGGCTATTGTCCACAATTCGACGCAGTATTTGGTGAGCTGACGGGTCGTGAGACATTGTATATATTTTCGTTACTGCGCGGTCTCAAACCAGAAGACTCCTCCAAAAGGACTAATATTCTCTCAACTGCATTAGGTTTTACCGAACATTTGGATAAAAGGGTAATTTTGCGTGTTATGTTTAATGAATATCTACGTTAATTAAACATAAACAGATATTTAATCTTCACAATAACCGTATACGTTCCGTACGCACAGGTCCACCAGTATTCCGGCGGTAACAAACGCAAGCTGAGCACGGCTGTGGCGCTGATGGGCCGTACGCGGCTCGTGTTTGTGGACGAGCCCACGACCGGCGTGGACCCGGCAGCGAAGCGTCAGGTGCGTATGTGCGCAGTAGTAGTGGCAGTGGTATAACGTATGTGAGCAGTAATAAGTAAGATATATATAATAATATAAGATATATATAATAATATAAGATATATATAATATAATAAATAGTAAGAGGCAGTGGTGTAACGTGCGTATGTTTATAGGTTTGGCGAGCACTACGCGGCGCGATGAACGGCGGCCGCGGCGTGGTGCTCACGTCTCACAGCATGGAGGAGTGCGAGGCGCTATGTTCGCGACTCACCATCATGGTCGCCGGCGGCTTCCGTTGCATAGGCACGCCGCAGCACCTTAAAAACAAGTTCTCACAAGGTATTGGATTACATATACCAATGGCAGAGTTAATCATAGCATATCATAAAATGGTCGAACAATTTCGATCATTATAGGTTATATATATGTACTGTATATATGTATCTGTACCGGTGTTATTGCATTTTTTACATGAAAAAGTAATTATTGCCTGACAATATTTTCAATAGTCTTTACAAATTACCTTAATTATTAATTAAGAATTATTTTAACATGTTTACACATATTCAATTCCTTTTTATTCTAGGTTTCACTTTAACTATTAAACTTCGTTTCGTTGAATCGAATGCAAATGTCTCTTCAAACGCTACGGCCGCAGATGGTGTAAAAGATTATGTACGCACAAATTTCACAAATCCTACACTGATGTAAGTTAAATCTTTCAATATTTCTTTTTGCATCATCCCAATTTAAGTAAAATTGTGTGCTAGTAGCTATATATGTTCCCCATAGAAATACATATAAATAGTAGGTACCTAAATACCTAATTGGGGTCACTTGTCCTTACATTGCACATATATAGAAAATAGTCGTATTAAATTCTGTATATCTATTACAGGGAGGAATACCGAGGCCTACTAACATATTACTTACCAGATCGCAATGTAGCTTGGTCTAGTATGTTCGGAATAATGGAGAACGCAAAAAGGGAATTGGACATCGAAGATTACAAAATTTCGCAAACCACTTTAGAACAGATTTTCTTGCAGTTTACAAAATATCAGCAAAACCAGATTTTACAGAGTACAGAATTATAAATATACTAAACCTTGGTAAAACTTCCCAAAGCCAGAGTTCCCTTCAAGCTCTTTATCCTATAAAAAGTTATAGAGAGGGAGATTACATTGTGGGTACTTTCTACTGCCGATTTTGAAATAAGATCAGTCGTATGTCATCTAATTGCTTTTATAAAGATAATGGTAAACGATACGGTTAAGTACCACTAAAAAGAAATGTAATTGATTATCTATGTTTAGAATTATTGATACACTAAATATATATGGCTAATGAAGCGCAAGTGCACATTGATTATCATAATTATCTATGTATTATGTCTAGAGGGACAGATTACAATTATGTAATCTCTCCCTCTAGACGGTTTACTTAGCACGCATTTGTCACGTTTAATACTTGTACTTGAGGGTATAACTTTCATTGAACAATGCTTTAATTAAGAAGTTAACTACAGGCGCGACTTAGGTTTCTGGGTCTGAGTAATTATTTTAGAAGCTCTAATCATTTTGTGTCCAGGCAGAATTGAATGTCTAGGACTATTAGGAATGTAAATATCTATCCTGAATCTATGATTATCATGGATGTCATGGACGAGATCTGGAGGAGATATCATGGACTATATATGTATGTCTCCTTGAGTTTAGTTAGAAATAATAAAAAAAAAATAAGTAGATTATTATTTATAATTAAAATTAAGTAGAACAATTTTTTTACGTTGCTGAGATAACTTTTGTAAAATATATAATTCTTAGATAATAAACGCTTGATTATCGATATAATTATATTTTTATACATAAACATAGTATTTTATACATAGACAGTGGTAGTTATTAAGTAATTATATAAATTTTGATAAAATATTCATTTATTTCCAAAGCTACATGGTAGAAATGTACATATTTTAAGTAAAAATGATGACGTAAAACAAACAGTGAATAGTAGATAGTAATAATACACAAAGGCCATTTTAACCAACTCAATAAAATAGTTGATTTTGAATCACTGGCAATACGTACGTACAAGATTATTATCTCATTACATAAAATAATACTTTAATAAGTACTTTGATTGCGTAAAGGTTTCACAAATAAATTATATTAAATAATAATAATACAAAAATAATATCTATATGGCAATGTTTGTTAAGTTATACAAATTTAGATCACATGATATCACACGCTTATGTTCAACTAAAATATAACAATCTGCTAATTTAAATAACAGCCGATAAGAATGATCTTACATCATAAATAATATTTTTTGTTCCGCCTTTATATATGTGTGTATATATTATATTTTGTGTTGAAGATTATAATCACTAAGTGATTTCGTATAGACAAAACATTAGACGAAGTTAAATTACTGTAAAAATGCATATAAAAAGAAACAGCTACGCTAACTAACGGCTACTATTTAAAATTCAAGACTTGCTGATATTGTAATTATCTACTTGGTAAGCCTTGCCAATATCATGAATATAAAGATACCATTGTACCTTTGGCCTCATGTACAGTTTATCCAATCAGGAAACAACCTGTAGTATTTAGAATTAAGGAAAAGCTTAATTTGCATTCGAATTAGATTATCCAATTTAAACTGTCATCAATGTTAATATTTTGGCTTATGTAATAATTTTGCACACACTTTGACATTTTATAGAATAAAAACATAATTTTCGTCAAATCCTTGCCCGTTGTTACTTCATTATTATAATAATAATAAAATAAATATTACGTCACGCAACAATGTAATTTTATTGCTAATAAAATAAAATTTTACTAATTTAAAACATGAACAAATATTTTTTTTAAATTAAAATTTATTCTTTGGGTCTTTCCTGCGCATAGTCCTGGTACCTAGTAACAGGTCATCCTGGCTCTCAAGTAGTGTAAGGTTGACGACTACACTATCTTGGAACATAGAATATTATGTGGCAAAAGTAAGTAACCTTGTTACTAGTAGTTTACAATACCCAATATCATTGGGAGATTAACAAGTATTACAGTTTTACAATGGACTAAAAGATTTCTAAGAATCGGTACACAGTTTACGAAAATCAAACAATTGATGAATATACATAGGTACATTTTTTAAGTCGCTGTTTTAAACGACTTCAAAATGTATGTATGTATATTGCGCTTTAAGGAGGAATGTACAATTATATTAGGTATATTATACCAAATGCGCTGTAGCATGGTGCGGGTGACAGTTTCAGTAACATATGGTTTCACTCTTGAATGTTGCCGCGATTTACGAATTATGACTTAGTATTTCAGCTGTACTACAATCGTAATATTCATTAATAACTGTAGTAACTTAAATTTAACCCAGCTAGAATGTTCTAGTCTACAAATACAGACAATTGTTACCCGCACCATGCTGCAGCGCACAGAGTAGGTATATTTGGTATAAGTTGATTCAACTAATTCGCTCCAGATTTCATAGTTATAATTCGTTGTTTATATATACATATATAAATGTTGTAGTATATCCTACAATGTGATTACGTATTTCTACAAATATTTCTCTTAAATAAAATCATCAAAATTTAATTAATCATCACTGAAGTTATCACATAATATTGTTTTCCCTAGAATATACAACAGATTCTACGTGTTCATTTATGTTAGTAGATGTATACATATTATTTTCATACATAATAATTATTAAGAATTTTATGTAGAGAAATAAAGCTGCATAAAGCACGATCGTACATAATATATATGTATATATGTACAATACATTTTATACAATACAAAAAAGCACCAATGATGACTATTTTATTTTTAAAGATAACGTATTTGTACACCTCTTACCGTTAATAATATTACATTCTTTATAATTTGAGAAATGATTGTTAAGATTTAATTAGACAAAAATATTATTATATTATATTATTATATTAAAATATTGATATATTGGTATAATCTGTGCATATGTTACTATATTTTTAAAAACAAAGCGGTACAGTCTCAAGAGATCTATTTGAATAAATCTAACGATATCAAAGTACTATAGTCTGTTTTTTTTATTTCGGGGGCTTTTTGCGATTCTTAAATAGTGTAATAATTACCGATTTTATAGGTTATTCAGAAATAATGTGTTTATTTAAAACGTATTAACAAAATATAGTGTTCTTGTTTAAAAATATTATTTTCTTATTGGTAAAGTATATTTCAATAAAACATACATTCACATTTTTATTAAACAAATGACCTTAGTATTATAATAATATATATATAATATTGAATTATCATATAGCTGCAATTGTAATTCCATAAATATTGAAAACACCTATTATTTTTATGAGGTACTATAATATAAATATTAAATAACACTACTTGTTATTTCAATATATATTTAGTACATCGTATAACTAAATAGTACCAAAAACCATACCCACATACGTGAAAATCACACATTAAACATTTAAGGCGCAACGACGTATATCGTACTAATTAAGCATAACATGAAAACAACTTCATATATTAAGAATACCTACTAATACTTTTAAAATCAAACGACGTAAATACTCGTACTTAGTAACAAAACCGTTAATGTAGATTCAAATTTGCCGATTTGTTCGTTTTACACTAATATACGTATATTGTGCACCGAATTACACATTAGGATAGGATAAAATAAACTTTCAGTCTTAGAAAGTTTTCATGTCGTAATACCAATGGCACTGGTTATCGTAATAGATATTATTGGTATTAAATAATACACATTCTTGTAAAAGATCAAAAGAGATTCAGAAGGCAACATTAGCTACAGATAGTATCAATAAATATAATACTTACAAATGCAAGTACCATGTAAACATATAAACATTGAGTATTCGTGTAAAAATACTGAACAATTGATTATTCCAATTGAGAAAATTAAGTACTTTAATAGACTACCTTTTTAATATTTCTAGTTGAGTGGTTTATTATTCGTTGGTTGTCTGCTATTCGCTGGTGGTATGGATTCTTGTAAATCTCAGAAATACTTGTTCGAGCGTGGTCTGCGAGACGGAGTAGTCCTCTATTGGGAATTGTTTGCGCGCCTCCTCCATTACATGGAAAACACGCCACCACGGCAAGCCCACGTCGTTCAAATAGTAAGTACTGATGCCGAGATATGTTTCACTAGAACAATTTGTTTTCAATTCAATTATATAGCATACTAGCTGTACCCGCACCTTCGTCCGCGTAAATTAGTGACCTTGACCAAATAATGAAAAAAAATATTTATTGACCTAACCTAATAAAAGCTAAATGAAAAAGTTTCATCCTTTTTGTTTAAAAAATGACGACACTTCCATACATAACTCTTTCAACTTTTAATAGGCTAAAAATTAAACTTCAAGCTTCTAGCTTTAAAAATGTCAATATTTCCATATAAACATTTAACTCTCCTTTAAATTCTTTACAACCCATTTTTCTTTATCAACAGCCTCAAAAATAAGTTTCTGACTTAAAAAATGACGAATTTACTTAAAATCTTTCATTCCTTACTTTATTTTACTCTCATAAGGGTACATTTTTAAAAACTTTGAATATCATATTTAATCACCAACCTAAAATATAAGTTTCAAGCTTCTATCTTTAAAAATGATGATTCTTACGTACAACCTTGCATCTACCATTTTAACCCCCTTACAACCCTTTTTTCGCATCCAAAAGTATCCTATGTGCTTTCTCAAGATCTAGACTAATTGTGTACCAAATTTCACTTAAATCTGTTAAGTAGGTAGTTTTAGCGTGTAAGTGAGACTGACAGACAGACAGAGTTACTTTCACAGTTATAATATTAGTAAGGTATTTAATAAACTAACTCAAAAAGCCAATAAAAAGGTTTCATCGTTCTAATTTCAATAATGACGAATTTACATAAAAACCCTATTTTATTTTACCCCTTAAGGGTAATTTTTACAAACTTTGAATGTCATATTCATTTATATTTAATCAACAGCCTCAAAAATAAGTTTCAAGCTTCTGACTTAAAAAATGACGAATTTACATAAAAACTTTCATTCCCTATTTTATTTTACCCCTTAAGGGAACATTTTTATAAACTTTGATGGCTTATTTATTTATATTTAATCAACTGCCTAAAACAGCAGTTTCTAGCTTCAAAAATGACGAAATTACATAAAAACTTTATCCCCCTATTTTATTTTACACTCCTAATGGTACAATTTATACAAACTTAGAATGTCATATTTATTTATATTTAATTAACAGCCTAAAAAATAAGTTTCAAGCTTCTAGCTTCAAAAATGACGAATTTACATAAAAAAATTATCCCCTAATTTATTTAACCCCATTAAGGATAATTTTTTTAAAAACTTTGTATGTCATATTTATTTATATTTAATTAGCAGCCTCACAAATAAGTTTTAATCTTTTAGCTTCAAAAATGACGATTCTTCCATACAATCTTTCACCCCCAATTTCAATCCCTTACAACCCTATTTTCGCATTAAAAAGTAGCCTATGTCCTTTCTTAGGGTATAGACTATCTGTGTACCAAATTTCATTTAAATCGGTTCAGTAGTTTTGGCGTGAAAGCGAAACAGACAGAGTTACTTTCGCATTTATAATATTAAGTAAGGAGTAAGGATTTCAGACCTCTTAAAAATTCAGTAATCATTTTATAGGCGTTCTCAATTACAGTTTATTTTTATATATCTTGGGCTATTACTTTTTTTTTACTGAATAAGACTTCATTCCGTTAATATCATGCATTACACGGTATACTTCATAAAATTTCTTTTTAGATGTTCGAGACATGATTTCAAACAATTAGATAAAACATTCGAATCCTGATGAAGAGCCTGTCTCTAATATACATTTCTAGATTCGTTTGTATGTTCTTTTATAATTATTGTTGACTTCATTTTACTACTAACTATAAGATTATTATATACGTGGAGACATCTAAGAATAACAGTTATACTTATTCATACTCACACAAACTTCGCGTCTCTGAAATTTTCTATTATAAATTGATTAATTATTCGTATATCGGCCTCTCTGTTTGCTCCTGCTTTACACTTCACAACGAGAGTATAACCTGAAAATTCGTAATAACATTAAACATAATTTGTCTCTATATTTCCGGCGATATATTTCTTATTTCTGTGGTTTATTCACATACACCAGAGATTTCAGAAAACTAGCACAATAGAAATTGTGAGGTGGTGGTGAGGCGCGATATCGTCGACAAATTTTCATTATTTTTTTGACTGATAAATTATTAATACGCAATGACATTGACGTTCTTAGGGAGCATAGCGATTCTATTTATATTTTGGTGTATTTTACATTTCTTTACTATATTATCTTCAAATATCAGGAGATATCTTTTTTTTTATATTATTTAAATATAAGCGTGGGCCAGTACTTTCACGTCACCCAATGAACCTAAGTTTAGAATAAATTTAATAAATTATACTGTGTATTCTGTATGCCAATTTTATAGAATATCTATATAGTATCACATCTGTATCATCTTGTCACACTTTCTTTTACAATTATTAATAATAATATATTATAACAAGACCGAAAAATCTACGTATGTTCTTTACCTTGCGAGAATTTGCTTTTGAGGTGTTGTAACGGACCGAGGCAGTAGAGGCGACCGTTGACCATAATAGTGAGGCGTGAACACAATGCCTCGCACTCCTCCATACTATGAGAGGTGAGTACAACACTGCGGCCTGAAGCCACCGCCTCGCTTATTGATGACCATACTAGGCGCTTCGATGCCGGATCCATTCCTGTTTCAGTCATTACAAAAATAGATTCCATTTGATTTACGTCCTTGTATTGATTATATTAGAGTTGAAATCGTTTCCTATGTTACATATAATAAATGTGACTAACTGCTGTCTATCACGTTAAAGACCGCTTACCCACCGGTGGGTCACTCCGCAACGAAACTAAATTTAGGATTGATCACCCGTGGGCACTTTAATTGAAATAAATCTAAAGGTTAAATAATGTTTACCTCAAATTATTGTACACTATAACATATATAAAAAATAATATACGTAATTAACAATAAATAAAAAAATGCCAGTTCCTATGTGAGAAATAAGATTTTTCAATGCGGTCTTCAACGTGCTATACGTGGACATTATATGGAAAAAACTAAAAAATTTGGGGGTCTCTACCAACGTAATACGAAAACACAACAATTTGATAAGGTAATAAGATTACTAGATATTCTAACTCCGTCCGTTCGTCAGTCCGTCCGTGATTGGGACTCGTCATTTTACTCAACAATTAGATTTTGTTTTGTTTCGTATACCTGTGGTAGGTTCGTCCAAAAATACCAGCTGGGGATCACCAAGGAGAGCAATAGCTGTGCTGATCTTTCTTTTTGTGCCGCCACTGCATTCATGTACCTGTTAGAATATATATATATATAATTATAGTATTACATTTAATTTAGTATTACAAACTTAATTAACACATTTTACAAAGAGATTGTGAAATTTACTTTTTTAATGTAAACGACTATGAAATTTTAAATAATTTGAAGAAAATTTAAATTTATTTATATATAAATATCAGTGAATATTCAAAATAATTTATATCGTCAGGTAAATAATTAATAGCAGCAAGCATTATGAAAACCCACAAATCAATAAAGAAATTAATATTATAAAATTTTATCAAGAGAGCTTTAATATTACTACCCCACATATTTTTGTAGATCACAAACCTTTTTATCAAAATGTTTCAAGAAACCGAGACTTTTGGCGAGTTGTATAGCCCTTGCATTACCCACACGGGGTGGAATGCCGCGCAACAGACAAAATATACGCAGTGTCTCTCGTGCTGTCAAATTGTCTAATAGAGCATCGAATTGTGGACAATAACCTGCAAGAAATATCAATTCATTACAATATTATATAACTAAGGTTCATTTGTTTAATTAAATATGAAGTTTTTGCTACCAAACGCATGAGTTCTCGTTCTATACGAGAAAGCAATATTCAGCACCTTCCTCCTTCATGTGTTATAATAAAATTATCTCGTGTCGAGGGAGTGATCTAGCATAACGACGGCGTCAGGCAGTTTCTAAAATGCAAATCCATGAAAATCTGATGTCATCTGCACGCGTTTTCAATCTATAACCAAGTTTTCAAAGCTAGAACAAACATGAAACGGCCTCGGTAGTCATTTTGGGGCATTATTGCCATAGTCGCCAGGCTTGGCATGCGGGTTGGCAATCGCAGTATGGTGGTAGTTACTCAGTAGAACGCTGCTACCCGTCCTCTGGTCGATAAATACCTTAGTAGCGGTTTACGACACCCACGCGAAGAGATGAGGTGCTGTTGTTCTAACGGCGGCACCACACGTAGGTACTACTCTGATACTGGTACTATATTCGGACGTTATTACAAAGTAAAAGTAGGTATACTTTTTGTGTGCCAATATGTGTTCAAAGCTCTTCCATTATAAGTTCAAACTTTCTAAGATGTCTGGAATCGCAGTAAAATTCGTGATTTGAGAGCACTATTACAGCGTGAAAGTTCATACCGATACAGCGATGCACGTCCCGTATCTGCGTCGTGATGGAGAGGCCGTGAACGTGAGCGACGCCGGCGGAGACGGTTGTATCGCTCGTCAGCATGCGGAACGCGCTCGTTTTGCCAGCGCCGTTGATGCCCAGCAGGCCGAAACATGAACGTTTCTGCACAGCTGTTATTGAGTATTTATTAGTGAATTATAATTATAATGATAATAATAATTTTATTTATTTCACCTCACAAATATGGATGATAACAAATACATGTGGTATTTTGGATAATACCATGAATAATTTTACTTTTACAATTTCAAAACTGCTGTCTGAAATAGGTACAACTTGTAATACAGATCATCAGGCTCCCAACCGAATGAACATGTAATAATAAATTACAATATGTATATTACTACAAATAAACTATAATCGTAATATTTAGAGATAATTACTACAACTGATAGTATATATTCTTTATTATGTATAGAGTGAATCAATTATTGTGACTTTAATATTAAGCTTTAGAAAGATAAATGAAACAATAAGCGGTCATTGCCTCTCGTTTTATTATAAATATGTATACGATAAATCAATATATATCTACTTATAATAATCATTAAATCATACTTGACGACCTCTGTGGTCTAGCGGTCTAGCACACCGCTTTACGTCCGATGGTCGCGGGTTCCATTCCTCGCACGGCACAATCATTTGTATTCATGAGTATCATTGTTTGTATCGGTCTGGGTATTTTCTATGTATAATATGTATGTATTTAGGAAAAAAAAATATCTACGTATATGTATCAGTTGTGTAGTACCCATAACAGAAGCTTTAGCTAGTTTAACTTGGGCCTAGATGGCGCTGTGTGATTTGTCCTGAGATTATTATATATATAATATTTTGATAGCCTATAAATTGCAAATTATACAAACAGACAGAAACAACAGGTTTTTTGTATTTGTATCTATAGTTATAAATATATACCACTTACCGAACGTAAGTCTGTTCACAGCTAGAAAATTCTTGTAGTACTTAGTCAAATCTTTGGAAACAAGACTGTACTGCGACATTTCGGACTTCGTCAGCCCTTCAACTAAGCGCCGCTCGGTCACCACGTCACTATCCTCGTCTGAAGGGATAGAAGACCAGCGCTCTCGCCTTCGGCATCCTTTCAAGAATGGTATCTAAATTCACACATTGAGTGTTATTTTCTTTACCATCTCTTCCCAAAAGATAATTAATTCATATCCAAATAACGCTAAAAATATACTGCTCAGAGCCAGGTGCAACAAGAGTTTTATTTATATTAGACAGTATGGATGTAATGTAAGTATATGTCACAGTCATCTTGAATTCAGAGAAACTGTCACTGTGTTGTATTTATTATATAAACCCTTGCTTTAATATGTCTTACATTTAAAAAACTGTATATTTCACGAATCCAGTCATGCTAGTTTAATTTACTATAAATATTATTATAAGGTCAAATATATCTTACCTTTTTTATTAATTCATACTCTTTGATTAGGAGCAGAGTGAATGATATGACCCCAACGAGAGTCATTATAAACAAATATCGCCCTATACCGGGTTCACTCCATTTAAGGTAGGGGTCGTCCTCAACTGAAAACAGGTTGACATCTTACTAATTTTGTGATTAATACTTTATATATGAAAAATACTAATCGAGGTTTCTTAATTATGTTATAGACAGGCGAACAAGCTTGGCAAACAGACAGTTTAATTCCGATATTTACACCTAGAATATTTTTTTAACTTAGGGTAATTTATAGTTATCAGTAGTCAAAATAACTGGTTAATAATACTTATAAGAAAATTATTGCTGATCACAGCCTGACTATAACATAAACTGCCACCAATGTTTTGTTGACGTTTTTTTGGAAGCCTGTAGAACAAATTCAAGTATTGTGTAAGTACTGGACCCTATACAGGAATGTTTACTCACTAACTGAGCATTTTCAAAATATTAGATCAGAATTTCACACGGTAATGGTATATAATAGTTTCATGCAAGTCAAGAGTTGGGAAATAGCTATTAGAACAGTGACCCGAAAGTGCAAGACTCACTTACTACAACAGACGTCGATATGAAGTTCGGAGCAAATAGTATTCCGCGTGCAGTTTGGTATGTTCACGTACTGTTCGCACAGCCCATCGCACGCTAGCATCATGAACGACGACATGCTTAGGTCCCTGTTTGTTAAGAGAATTAAATTAAATATATATCTTTAAATATAACAAAGTTGTAGTAATTGTGATCGATATTGATATAATTTTATTATTAATTTTTGTTTCAACTATAGTCAATATCGATCGGTAATTATTAATACCAATATTACAATATATCTTTACCTGAAACTTCTGCTTATACAGTAGATAGGTAGAGGAGAGAATATCCAATCAAATAAATGGGCATAATATGGGTTTCCTACTTCAGGTAGTCTCAATACTTCAGTTATTAAGAAAGGCATGCATCCTAAAATTAAAAAAATATAGTAATAACTGTTACGTGTAATTTATAGATGGACTTAAATATATAACAGTAAGACTTACCACTGAATATATTAATGAAACACATTTTGGAAAAGCCGCTCGCAGCCGCTTCAAAATAAAACGAAGCGAGATAATGCAAAGGTATCGTCGCTATAGAGTATATTATGAGAACCAACATAACTCTACCTGCAAATAAAAGCTACATTCAGATAGTTTAGAAACGAACATTTAATAGAATATTTATTATATATGACAGAAAAAAAATGTTGTAACTTTGTATTACAAGTATACTTTTTAGGTAAAACTCCATAAAATAGGAAGACTGTTCTATATATAGGTAAACTATTATTTTGACAGTAATGTGAATTGAAAAATGTAACTATATAAATTTTAAAATATCTGTAAGTTAAAAACTCCAACGGCACTAAATATTTATATTTTAAACTGTATTAAAGGACGCACTGAACAGCTGTAATTGACTTATTGACATAATCTGAATAAACAACGATCTGAAACACACAACGAACACCTCCGCTTGAGAGCGAATAGGATGGTTATTAAACATCAGTCTATTCGCTCGAATATTATATTACACATTTGTCCAAGAGATGAAGTAAATATTGAATCAGAAAGAAAAAAAATTTTTTAACTATTCTTCTCTATATTACCTAATTCAGCAGGTGTTGAAAGCGTATTTTCTTGAAAGCAAGCAAGTGTGAGTACAATGGACAAGTAGACCATGAATAGCCATATCCAGTCCCATACAAACGCAGAGATCCACATCACAGCCGGTCGCACCCCAGATACTCTTTGTAGAAGTTTTGCACCGCTTATTCTTTCCTGACAAGTTTCGTACAATTAAACGTAAACAAACGGCATGATTTGACCGATTTCCTAGACCAATTTTTGTATATGATCGGCGAGCCGATTAAAAATAAATATAAAATGTGGTATTCGATAGGTTGATGTGCGCATGAGTGGAACGTTGCGTTAAACAGAGTGTGTGCGAGAGAGAAAGAGGTAGAGAGAGCAGGAAAAACAAAAGAAGGAAATAGGACGTAAAACAATAGAATAGAGACGGAGAAATAAATGGAAGATTGCAGACATAAGTAAACGCTATTATTTGTTCCCACTTAATCCTATATAAATATAATCGCCTCGTCGATTATTGTTTACATAAATATGACGTAACTTGCCTCCCCATATGGCTTTAATATAGCGCTTTATAAGGAAATTAATAAATACATTTAAATCATAATTTAAAGTTTATTATACAGACAGTAGTACATGAACTATATACTAGAAGCCACACTGTCGATTTGTAGTTTGTTTATAACTCATAGACGTTATTTGTTATTAACAGCCAATATAAGATATTACTTTTAGCTTAAATTTCGACATCGTGTTTGCGTGTTTGACAATATAAATTAGTCAACACATTGTAAGAGGTACAGTCTTCGAGAGAGAATAATCTGTCATCTTACTCTTCAAACTCAAACCTAATTTAATTGACGTATTTATTACAATGTACAAAAATTATGATACATTGTACCCTTACCTTTATGATAAATAGTACAATGAAAGAAGTGACGAAAGCCATACAGAATCCAATATTGAAAGCGAACTGAAATCCCATACTACTTCCAGAGGCCATTACTCGTACCTAAAAACAAATATTATATATTATATTGGATTTTTTTCGATTTCCTGTCCGCTTCACAGCTTGCCATTTATTGACATATGTTGCAGCTGTTTATGGTGATTTTCTTAATATAATTTTTAATGTTACTTTTTTTTTAAACTTTATACACTTCTTTTAAGTTGGAACTACACTCGATGGCGCGGTGATGTGATTATGATCATTTATTTATTAACAAGGAACTGTTTATGGTTACTAACCAAATTTTCAATCGAATATGGCAGCGGTGAATTGACGAAAGTCAACGAACTGCCTGGAGAAACTGCTCGCATAATGGCATTGTTGACAAGGGTAAGTGCAATGGCTGCGTCATGGTACCCGTAATTGCTGAACCACCCTGTTATACCATGATTTCCGAACGTAGCGCCCACCAATACTTCGTAGCGTACTCGAGCAATATCTTCCTCACTCTACAGGGACAATATTATTATAATTTAGACTGTTATTAACCACACCTTTCTAAAAATGAACTTATATTTTACAAAGTTGAATTCCTGGATTTTTTGCATATTAATATGCAAATTAAGGATAACAAGAAATATATACTTTAATAAATGTTAATAATAATGTATAGAACTAACACTAGTGGGGTATTAATATAATAAAAGAATCAATGAACCTGTGTCGATTAAAGTGAAACTTGTTAACATCCACCTTTTGAGCATTTCTTTTATCCAAAGAATTATGTTCTTAAGATTATACGAGTATACAATTCTCAAAAGGGTCCATTTTGAAAATGTTATGTAATGTTTAATAATAATATATTAATTTTAAAAATATAGTCTAGAAACTACTCACCAACTTCAAGTAGAATTTTCCCAAATTCATCGTGCCTATATCAGTCAGTGTCATGCCAGGATAATTTGTTGTTTTGAAATAATCTTTAAAAGCATTCATCGCTTTCACCTCTAGACTGCTATCTGTCAGGTTAATTCCTTGAGATATAAGTGTTTGTGTGTCTCTAAACCCACTCTCTAGACTAAGTTTCAGCGGCGGCAAATGCGACATAAATTTCCATGACCTTGCTATTAGAACTGACAGTGTTATATTAATTATAGGCGTCACGAATTGAATGAAAGACGACAGTTTGTTCCTCGTTGAATTATATGCAAGTTTAAGAAACATTGCTTTAATATGATTTTTAAGTAATTTGAATCCTCTCACCATCTCGATAGGTTCAGTTTCCGCTAAAAATAATATATACAATAATAAGGATCTTATAGATCAAACATTTCAGAGTATTATTTTATAGTGGTATTATTTTATATACTATATTGAAATATAAAGTAAGGAAACCCCCTTACTTATATTTCAATATAGTATATATAATAATACCACTATATTTAATTTATTTAGTAAGAAAAAACGTAAAATAAAATCTCTTGACAGATTTCAAATATTTAAAACTTTATTGAAAAATAAGACTCTTTCTTCGAATTCTCTTGTACTGATTTTAAAAAATATTGTAACCTTGGATCTTTTTATTCAGTATTAAGTAAAAGGTTAATTTTAGGTTACTAAAATTACTAAGATTGAAATGATTATAGTACGTAAATCCGCTTGCCAACTTGCAACAAATTAGATTTTGTGTTACAGTACGAGCTGTTCCCGCGACTTCGTCCGCGTGGAATTTAATTTAATTTTTTTTAAATAAAAGTAGCGCCAAAAACATCGCGTCAAAATCGGTACAACCATTTCAGAGATTAGCTGGAACAAACAGACAGACAGACGGACAGACAAAAACTGTAAAAAATGTTATTTTGGTGTATGTACCATATTTATATTCATATGCACGTAGTAAAAACGGTTATTTCAATATTACAAACAGACACTCAAATTTTTTTATATGTATATATTAAAAGAACTTGAGGTTACTAAAATTATTAAGTTGTTTGTAATTTGTATGTGTGTTGTAATTTGTATTAGCATGACTATGGACTACCTACGTATATCGTTATGATGACAATCTTCTGGAACCACAACGAACTCACTATACCCATTCGTATAGTTATTTCTTTTGGCGGAAGATATATCATTATCCTCGGCTCCGGCCCTAAAAAAACATTATAAAAAAATTAGGTTGAGATCTATGAGGTTGGCAAATAGAACCTTTCAAGACTCATTCAAGGCTCTTATTCCTATTTCCTAACTATTCTCATATACATTCGATAGTTCAGAATATTCATAACTTCTTCCTTAGATTAATTCATGATTGATCTAATTGTTATCACTACCTACATCCTTCCACCGGGGGGAAGGGGATTGTTAGTAATGTGGACTCATGACCCCATTACTAACAATGTACCATGTCAGCTTGACCTCCACGCGGTGTTCCTGGTGAATTTGTCACGATGAGCTAACTGACCTGACCTCATGCTCATCTTATCTTTCTCCACTGGTGCCCCGCCAGTGTAAACCGTTAGCGCAGGCGGGTGCACCATTCCATTATCATCTATAAAAAAAAAGTACATCCACCTTTTGGGTTTCCATTTCGTTAATCTATTATATCATCCTAAATTCTACAATATTTATTGATACTTTACCAATATGTGACGCGTAATTAAAAACTTACTTCATAAAGACTTCTTCAAGGCTGGTAACGGATAAACCATAGCTAGATACGCGTAATACATCATTTTTTTCTTCAAAATCCTTAAGCATATCAGGGAATCTGCTCACATAGTCATTCGGTAAGATGTAGGTTAATTCAGAACCTAAAACATATATTATAAGAATCAAAGAATTAAACAAGTATTTACAAAAAAAATCATTATAATCCAAGAATAAGTAGTCAAGAGGCAGTTTACTGAGGTTATAGTAACCAAAGTAAATTTGAGAATTTTGTGAAAATTATATACGTCTCAAGAATATATTTCCATATTAATTGATAAGAATAACTAAACAATAACAACATAATTGAAATGATGCATTCAAATTTCTGTTACATAACATCAAAGTTTATAACTACCACTTATTTGCCATAAACATGCCATATAAAGAGCAATACGAGTCTTTAAATAAAAATAAGGAAAGCTCATATTTTCATTTTGTGTTTGGTGAGAATGAAATTTCACATGTAATTCCATACGTAACTATACTTACCTATATTAGTGTTTTCTTTAATATCAGTCACATATGTATTGAAAAACTGTGTGACCTCGTCTACATTACAGTCATTCGCCTTCACTATAGTGAGTTTATAGCCAATTCCGTAATGTTTCTTGAGAAAGTAAGGTGTGCCGACGCATTGTAACTGACCGCCTGACATTATAGCGATGCGGTCTCCTAACACGTCCGCTTCGTCCATAAAATGTGTTGTCAAAATAATAGTCCGACCTAAATATACAATCACTTGTTAGAAATATAACGAGATACTATGTAACGCATGTGTAAAAACCTAAACACATTTAACATATTATAGAATATGTTGTTTAGAATTTACATTTGGATACACTATGTACAAAATTTCAGTCAAATTTGTTCATTATGTATTACGTGAAATACTAACAAACATTCATACATCGATTATTACAACTACTACTTACTGATACTTCCACGTTAATAATAGATGTTATTATTTTGGGGATGAATTGGAGTGATATTTATCATAATCTGTCGATATATGGCAGGATATGATAAATTTTACTGTCATATCCTGCTCTTCAAATTGAAATGCAGCTTATAAAGCAAGTTGCTAGAAGGCTGAAATGGATGAGACAGAGGTACCCCGCAATCTACCTCGGTATTTTAAATATTTGACGCATATTGAACAGTTACATCTATCCAAGAGCAATGAATAACTCATGCCTTTCTTTTCTTTCTGCAATAAATCCCAGAGAGCACGACGGGCGGCGGGGTCGAGGCCGGAAGTAGGCTCGTCCAGTAGAACTACGCGCGACGAACCACACATAGCAGTGCCCACAGACAGCCGCCGCTTTTGACCGCCGGACAAATTCTTTGATAGCACGTCTCTCTACAACGGTTACGATAATTATTAGAGCAATGATTAATGACAATTAACGTGGTAGTAATTTAAATGTACTTATTATATTGGTTATAAAAATTAAATTAAAACAGTAATGATAGGACGCAAGTTTTTCATGTTAGATTTTACACTCTCTTCAATAAATTATTCCTACCAAAAAAAGCGTAAGCGTAAAATCAATGGCAACATTAAATTTACCACTGAGAAACATCGGGTAAAATAGTCTGCATGGAGTGTCTCAATAAAATCTGGCGCTAAGCACCTTGATTTGTAAACTGTGTGAAAGATGGGGTACGGTAGTAATAACATAGTTTATACTATAGAGGCATTACACCTTAGTCTTCAGGAATGGTAAGGAGGTCACACAGCTATGTAATATTCATGAAGATATTCACGTATACTATTATATAGAGCCGACAATTGTAACTTTCAATCAAGTGTGCTGTTTGTTATAAAAAAAAGAACGTACAAGACATACTAATTTGTACATTTTAAGTTTTTCTATTTAACTGTACGTACCTTCGGTTCAAGTTCCAGCAGCTTAACGAAATGATTGACTTCATCATACAATTTTAATTTTGGAACGCCTTTTAACCTAGAATATAATATAATATGTTCTGCCACAGTAAGATCCGGGAAGAGAACATTATGTTGAGGGCAGATTCCAAGAGACTTCCGTGCTAGTTCTGTTTCAGTCACTATATTATAACCACTAATAGTCGCTGAACCAGACGTAGGGGGTACCATACCTAAAATAACGATTTCGTTAGCTTATCATGAGTGTATAGTAATAAAAAAATAATAACGTAAATCTATTACATTCTATATAAGTATAACAATATATTGAACAATATGTAGGAATGTGTTGGAAGATAGAAACATATGGTGATACTTATTCCAATTTCGAATTAGTTCCAAATTAATAATTTACATTTTTACAAAGCGAAATATAAATATTAGTAAGTAAAGTTTGTGAGTTTGGATGGTCGGACTAATCTCCTGTACTACTCATCCCCATTTTGAAAGTTTCATGTTGAATTGCTCATCGAGAAAGGCTACATCACTCTACGAACAACAGGGTCGTATCTACATTGTAAAAAATTGTAACAATGGGGAAAATGTGACGCGGACGAAGGAATGCGGGTCATCTAGTTATAAATTACTTTATTATTCATATAATACGTAAATAAACGTAATTCACCTGTAAGCATAGATATGGTGGTAGTTTTTCCGGCACCGTTATGTCCTAATAATACCGTGATTTCATTTTCATACATTCTGAGATTCAAATTATCGACAGCTTTTTTTCTTTTTTTATATATTTTAGTGAGATTCTGAAAAAAATATAGATTTGTAATAATTAATATTACATTTTAATCTTGCCTTAATATTTTATTATAAGTTTCAGGAAGAATATAATATTTATATTAATAATACTAATATAATAATATTCTTGGACAATTCACATAACGTAAGTCCCAAGACAAGTAGACCTTGTGTTATTTGGGCTAGAAAACCGATATAAATAATTAGATATTTTTGATTATTAGAATTTTGTACATCCATACATAATATACATAGAAAACTCCCAGACCGATACAAATTACATATGGTTGTAATGTGGTTAAATGTTTAAATGTTTGTACCGTGCGAGGAATCTAACCCGTGACTATCAGAAGTTAAGCAATGTGCTAAACCCATAGACCACTGAGGCAGTCATAGTAGTAAAATAATAAATTAAACCAGTATTCCTAAATGAGTGCACAATTAGTTTTAATTCAATAATTCGATAGCATTAGTAGCAGCTTAACTATGACGTTTACACAAACAGATTGTGATTGACGGGCAGAAGAACAGACGGCTATAGTCGCATGTCGCATGTAAGAAATTCCGATATACGTTTTGTGTTCGGAATTCCAAAAATCATTTAAACCATTCTTGTATTTACGAACTGTAATAGATTATTACCTACATGCATATAAAAATAGAAATAGAAATAATCTTTATTCAAATAAACTCATTACAAGCACTTTTGAATAGTCATATTTTGATTCTACCACTCATTCGGAATACAGATTCATCACAAGAATTCTTCTTGCAAACAAGAACTTGTGTGTTGCTCTTTTTAATAGATGTTTTTTTATATAAATAATTACAGTATAACAAGTAAGAGGCATGCGATAATCAACATAGAAATCGCTACGCACACATTATTAGTGTAACCAGATAATATTGTCATGGATAAAAAAGGATTTAATAAATAAAAAAGTTTTTCTATAAAAACATTATTATCGTTAACTAATTCTTAAATTTTATAGAAAGCTTTTTTGCAAAGGAAGTGTTTTATTTGACATTTAAATCTTTTTTCTGGCAGATTTATAACAGACTCTGGTATTTTATTGTAAAACCATACGCAATTGCCATAAAACGAATTACTAACTTTAGCCAAACGACATTTAAGTTAAAATCAGTTTGTTATTGTTACGTAAGCTTTTATTGGTGCAATCACTAACTCTTTTGAAACTGTTTATATTCTTTCTGGCATAGATGATATTTTCATAAATGTATTGAGAAGCAACGGTGAGTATATTTGATTCCTAAAAGCACTCTCGCAATGATTCCCTGGAACCCATATCATAAATGGAGCGAATGGCCCTCTTTTGTAAAGTAAATATTGTATTTATATCAGCTGCTTTGCCCCATAACAAAATACCATACCACATAATGCTATGGAAATAGCTAAAATAGACAAGTTTAGTCGTTGCCACGTCTGTTAATTGTCTAATTCTTCTTACCGCATAAGCGATAAGAAGAATTAGACAATTAACAGACGTGGCGTGACAATTAAATACGATATAAAATTACAAAGGAGAGTAGATTCATCAATGTAAACCTGACAGGTGGTAAAAACATAAATATTTTAATGTGATTGAGTTTATGATATTGTCATACGTGCGTCACCTGTATATCAACGCCCATCGGCACGCCCTTCGGTTCCTCGTCGTGGACGACCTTCAACAAAGCATCGTTATACTCCAGATCAGTGCCCTCCTTTGTAATAGCTGAAGTGGAATAGGTCAATCAATATTAGAAACTTTGTAAGCGGCTTCAATAGAAACTATGATACGATTAAATTATATAATTTGAGTTATTGGTGTTATTACAATATAAAACTTATTGTTATGTATGAATTACATTGTATACTTATAACAGTAGGAATTGTAAATAATATTATAATTCTGTATTTTTTATAGATAAGTTAATAGATTTAAGTTTGTTGCAAGGTAGGCAGAAATAACAGGTTCTACATAGAGCTAATTTCAAATCTACTTTCTTAGCTCTTTTCATACATAAATGACTTTAAAATAATAGTTCCTAAACATCTAATAGTAACAGTTACTCAGCCATAATATATTGTATAAATTATAACATAATAATAATGACGTGTCCATGCCTTCTAAGTAATACTAATTTATCATTTTATTCGATTAATCAATTTATGACTAACTACCATCAATGGTGGTCAATTAATAAATTATCTATCCGCAAAAAAGGAATGATAATATTATAGTATCACTGTTGATAACAAAGTACATTTTAGTACTGTCCGATTATATTACCGATTCATACAATAGGAATTATCTCTTTCGTAACTGCTCGGAAAACCTAGAACTTAAATTTATCAGAGGACTCTGTATGATAGTCTACATGGGTTGCAAATTTCATCCACAGCAGTCATCAAAAATCTTTCATGGTATCGTAAGATGACAGCGTTTATATAACATCGAAGCGGTAATATCTATGTTTGCTTGTCTTTCCAAACAAGTACATAAACTAATAAATTAATGTTAGGTACCTGCAACCTTCTTTTTGTTGGGCATCCAAAAGTTTTTGGTGAAAGGAAAATACCAAGGCAGTGGCACACCGTATAGACCTGGTCGTATTTTCTCCACATACATAGCAATTAACATGTAGATAATTGAGTCTAAGATGAGCATCAGGACAACATGACCTGGCTTATACTGATCATGGTAAGAAACCGGATTGAAGAAGTCACTCCATTGCAAACCTGGGGAAGAGACAGCTAGTAATTAACTTATATTTATTAACGTATATTTGAAGTAGTTACGTAAAAATCAAACTAACTACTTACGTTACGCAATCAAGTCGTGGTCCATTAATAATGATTAAAAATAGTACCTAGGTACTTTTAATACGTATTATATTACAAGAAGTTTAATATAGTGTGATGGTATTATATTAATAAATTAATGTTTACATAAATAATAACATCGTCTGCGTAGAGTGAACAGTAAAGTACATATAGGTACGTCATATACATTTTAACTGATTCAATGAAAATTGGTCCAGACAAAAATAGTATTACAAATGAAGGAAACTAGGAATCTGTTAATATTATATTATAGAAATAAATCATAAAATTTACCAGATACCTTTCGAAGTTCCTTCACACATGATAATCAATTGGAAAGCATATCCCATTGCTGTGTTTGATATTAGACTTAATAGAAGTTTGGTAGTCAATGTTATATCCTCGTATAGCATTTGAGTGAGCATGAACACCGAGTACGTAGAGAACCATGCTAATCCCATGAATGATGCGGCAGTATTTGCTATAAAAAATAAATAGTCATCCATAGTTTAATCAATTGTATTTCAATGACCTTTTTGAGGATACCTTACCTACCTTAGTCTTCGGTTACTAGGGAAATTAATATTTTCATAAATTTCGTTTGTTATAAAATAAAAGACACGCTTATTACGAATATAATATATAAATAACTATGCGCGCCGTACTCGATGATAGAATATGAATTGATTTTGATAAACATAGGGGCCCGTGATGCTACGTTGTCATCATTCTGTAAACCCGTTTCTTGAATTAAAGACTTTATTTTGGACACAAATGTTATTGTCTTAATTAGATAGATACATTTTTTATATCGGTCTTATGTAATGTCAATAGATTAACAATGCAAACCGACAAAGACATGCTAAACCAAACGATTTACTGCAAACGTGTAGTGTAAAAATAAATTCTTTATCGAGACAAGCATGAAATATATTCGATTCCCTTTATATTAATTTAGGTACATTTAGCGGTAATATGTTGTGTTAACCGTTAATTAACTTTAATACTGTATTCTCGTTACTATCTCCATTTGGTTACAAATTTATTCATATATATCATGACCTTTTAATTGACTATCGGTATGGCCCTTTCGCATAACTTTTGTTGCTTTTTAATTCCAGAGTGGTAATAATTACCTACAATTAGTGTACGTCACGCGATGACTCGACAACGAACTCCACATCAGTTTTCAAAGAAACGCCTAAATCCCAAGATAGTTCATGGTCATGCGTAAATTACAACTATTTATAAACGTTGTGATGTAGATTACTCCTATTAGCTCGTATTGGTTTATATGAAGTTAAGTTATATAAATCTATATACCATGCACAATGACCCAATATCGTGATTAGGTTGACATTTTTTATGAAAACAATGAAAACGTAGCCACTGTCGGCAACGAACGAAAGTACCTACCATTAGCGGCATTGTCCGTCAAGTTTTATAAAACTGATTGGAGAATCAAATTAGGAAATTAGAGCGATTAACCCATTTTTTAACCTTTAGTGTAGTAAAATGACTAATGTAAAACATATAGTTCTTGTAACTTTAATAGCAAGTCACGAATATTTCGTAAATATTTGTTAGTGAAATCACTGTGTGTTCACTAAATGATCTCTCAAATATACTAATATAATGAGGAAAACTTGGTAGGTTTTTGTTGTTTAATCAAAAACAAGAGTAAATATTATATACATATTTATTTGGATTCTTCCATGGGCATTATTTAGAAACACATTTTATATTAGGTACTTCGATTCATTAATTATTGTCGAATTCCTACAAGATCGAAGGAGACGAACATTTGACATTAACTTAAATGTTACCTTTATATAACGTTACACTAGGCATCACATCTGAATGCACATTTACATTTTAAATACACTTCTTCATAGTTCTCTCTTGTCTTGTCTCGCACGGGCGCTGTTAGGACCCAAGAGATTTTTGATCATAAAATTGAATGACAATTGCTTTTAAGCTTCTTTTTTTATTTATTATAAAAGACAAATTAATAATACACTTCATTATTACAGTCATATAAATATACTAACAATCCCCTTTCCTTTTAATTTGAGTATATTAGGTGGTACTCCACGAATATTGACCAGCCTAAAATAGGCGCGAATGATCGTGGAGTAAGTGTCTAGTAAACATGCTAAAATTATATTACTACTTACCCTTGGAAAAAAATATGCTGACCATGAAACAAAATGTGAGCGAGGCAACGACAAACAACGACATGAAGAATAAGAGGACTGACCATGGAGTAAAAGTAAATAATGCATAGCTCTCTCCTGACTGGGTCCAGTTGAACGGTATCTAGAATAATAAAATACGTTAAAATTTTTGTTAAATGCTGCAATAGACCGCAAATTTCGTCCGAGACACTCTTATAGTCTAATTAAAGAGGTTACAAATGTACAGGCATCGTACATATATCATGGCATATACCCGGCTTAGTCTAATTTGTCGCATGATCTCGGATTCGATGACCTGATATTACGTATCAGTATATCGAATTGCATTAGTAGGATGTTTTCTATTGAATATTACGCATGGCTTGTCTTGTGTATAAGACAGACGCCTTACCTACAAGCTCTGCCTAGTTTAAAAATATATAGTACTATGGATGATTAGTGCTTCTTGTAAATCATCTTCTTATGAAGTATATTAAGCAGACCGCCACGCAAACGGCTTTCTCTTATGGACATAATTTCCCTTCTCCATGTTATTCTTAGATATTCAGAGGTCTTAACGTTCAGCCTGCACATGTCACCCGCCCTTAAGGAACCTTAAGGAGTGCTGTGCACATATGTTTTGGGTTATAAAATTTATTAAACTACAAAAACAGTGGCTAATATTCTATAATACAATACTTACCTTAAACAGTATGACCATAAGTATAACTGATATAAATAAAAATGAAAATTGTTTGATGAACCATGCGAGCCAATGTAACCATGATGGCAAACCCATTATCGTCATTGTTTCCTAAAACAATAATACTGTAGTGAATAAAATAATAAACTATTAAAAGTCAAACATGTTTAGTAAACATATGAAAACTCAACTTTTGCTTATATAGAGCACGACAAAATTATCAACATTCCTTGATATGAGTATTAGTTATACATAATATTACGATAATAAATTAATTTCATGTAAAATTTTTAAAAGCAAATTCACACAACAGAACGTTTCATATTTATATGTATGACATAGCAATCAAGAAATTCTATCATTATTGTACTGATTCTATAGCCTATAGACGAGAATGGGGAGAATGTGATAGCAACATATATTTAAATGCAATAAATTATATTAGTGGATACAATTATTTTTTAAGTAAAACATGAAGTTTATACCTTTAGTTGTAATTCCTTTTCTGCTGTTACTACTCTCACTGTATTCACAAACGTGTAAGCAAAACAAAGCATTATAATCATTGATACAAATCTCTCGAGAGCCACCAATAATTGATCATCTCTATAAGCAAGTTGCGGTAGGCGTTGAAGGTACACTTTCGTCTTAAACGGCTTTTCATATTTCTGCTTTATTAATTCTTTAGATACAGCATGTTGAACAGCGAGAAACATTTCATAGGAGTAACCTAAAAGTAGCAATGATTGATTATAATTCAATGCATATATATAATTAATAAAAAACCAATGCCTCAATACTAAATTAGTGATTAAATAATAAATTTGTCTTACAAGTTCTGTCTATTTTTTTTAATATCGATATATGTAGTAGTAAATTAGTAGTTAGATATGAGAACCCTGATTGTATACGTTTTTTTGCCATATGATTAGGACTTGACAAATATAGAACCTGGAGTTTTGCCGCCATATATATCATCCGGATCTCGGGGTCCAGGTTTGGGAAATAATGGGAATAATAGATTCGTCCTCCAGCTGGCTCGAATGGGATGTTCAACCATTGGAGTCCTCATAACAGCAGGAAATCTTAAAGCCACCACAATGTCATCAGGCCACTTTGTAGCATCTGAAATATTTTATTTCATTAGGTACGGAAATTAATTCTCCACAATAGCACTGCATTCGCGGCTTCATGGGTGTCACGTGTTAACATAATGTCCATTGTGGTGTTAAAGTATATAAACGAATACCATCAGGCCGACAGCTAGTTTGCACTTCAATTGCATAAAATAAAGTTATACAAAGATTATCAAATAAATTTATATCAATTACATAATTTGGCAACATCACAGCACAGTATATAGTAGAGATGAGTTAGTGGTAACATTATCAATCTGTAAACATAGGTACAACTAAAAATGTACATGCAAAATCAATTAATAATGCAGGCGGGCATTTTTGGTAGCATAATTAAAGTTATTGGCATGAAACATGATGTCAATCCTTACATCCTAATAATAATATTATAATTGCGAAAGTAACTCTGTCTGTCTGTATTGCTTTCACGCCAGAATTACGGAACCGATTTCAATGAAATTTGGTACACAGGTAGTAAAGACATTGAGAAAGGACATAGGGTACTTTTTAATACTAAAAAAAGGATTGTAAGGGGTTGAAAGATGGTATGGTATGGTATGGTAAGTATTGTCATTTTCAAAGCTAGAAATTTGAAACTAATTGTTTAGGCTGTTGATTGAGTTGTATGGAATTCTGCTTTTTTATTTTTGCTAACCCATAAAGGGTTAGATAACAATATTTTTTTTCATTATTTGATCAAGGTCACTATTTTACAGGGATGAAGTCGCGGTTACTGCTAGTGACGAATAAAAAGTAAAAAGCAAATATTAATTACCACACAATGTCCTAAATTTTGTCAACTTACCTAACTTTTACTGACCTGACTGATATTTTATTGCAAACATATGTATACATCCAGGGTCGGCGGAAACGGGCATGCAACGCATGCGGGTGCCTCGTCGATGGGGGCGCCATCACGAGATTCGGATATGTAGTATAATTTTATGAAAATATAGAATCTATAGAATACTTAATAAATTATAATAAATAATGTTACTTAACTATGAATACAGAGACATAAACGCGCTAACATAAAGACGCTGAGGACCCTAGCGCCGGCCGTGTATACACCCTGTAAGGTTGCTTCTGAACTCGTTTTGTTTAAGTGTTAATATTGTATCTTTCGAATTAATTTACTCACTGATCATATTGTCATCAAATTGGATTCCTACAAGAATTTGATTCATTGCATCGGGTTGAGTGAGAGCCTGTTCCATCTCATGGGCATTTTTGTATCCTTTAGGTTGAGGTAGCATATTTGTATCAAAGAGAAATGCAAGGACTCCATTAAGATTATCCAAGGCCACTGTAGCCATTGCATCTTCAGTCACTTTTCTTGTCAGGGGGTTATCAGGTGAAAAGGCCAGAGTACCATCTCTTTTACCACTTGTTAAATTACCTCTAAAAAATAATTTAATATTTATTTTATATTTATCAATATTTCAGTTATACCTATATAGCAACATAAGGATGGACATTGACTATATTTAAATAATATGTCAACACAATTTACACAGCGCCATCTAGTTCTATGCTAAGCAGAGCTGTTAAGGGTACTAGACAATTGATAGAAATTCTTAGATACATTTTTATACATCAATACCTACATTGTACATAGAAATCATCCAGGCCAGTGTCAGAAATTGAACCTGCAACCATTGGAAGCAAGGTGGTGTGTCAAGACTATCAACTTACTATGCTAGACCATCGCTAGACTACTGAGACTCTCAAAAAAAAAGACAGATACATAAAATAGTTTAAACATAATGTAAAAAAATTATACTTACAAACGTTGTCCAGTGATATTGAAATAAGTTGGCATGAATGGTGGATATATGACATCTGGTTTTGATACTGGATCCACCAGACATCTTACTAATATAAGAAACAATGAAAAAATCACAGGTGAGACTATTTCAAATAATGTTTGCCATTTATGTCTTCGTTGCAGGAGAAAATTTTTCCAAATGAGCAGTGTCAATTTGTCAAAATTTGTCATTGTTTAGTCCTAAAAAAAGAAAGCTATCAAAATATCATATGAACCACTGAACTAGTTCTATTATTACATATTATCCGTTTTTTAACATACAAATTGTTTAACATGTCGACTGCCAACTATGTCATAGATTGCATTATTTTCTAGGATGCCAACTATGAGTTATCTCATCCTGTGTTTATTTGCCATTTTTGTGCACCTATGATTAAAAGGGAAAAGAACCAAAAAACCAATGCAAGAACAGAAAATTTATTAAAAAACAAACAAAAGATATAAATATAAAATTTAATTCAGATTAAAGAAGTAAAGAAACACTTTATTTCATGTGGAATATTTTAAAAATCTATTTTTTTATTATAACTATGCAATAGAATTAGAGTGGAATAATATATTATTAAATTAAATTGTCATTTTAAGGCACATACATATTATTTTTCAAATCTAAACAAATATATAATAATTATATTAAATATTATGATTAGTGAAAGAGCTGGGCAATTAGTTTTTAGTACTTGTATTAAAAGTTATTTTGAACATACCTCTAACTCTTCAGGTCTATTCTGAGAATAGTTATTAAGGTACATTTAATTATTTTTTTTCATATTTAATGAAAGAAAGTATCCATTCTTGTTATACTTATAATAAATAATTGTATTATTTATTAAGTAAAAAACGCAGACATTAATTATGAAATTATAACAGAATATAGCAAGTGAGGGAAAAACACGACCTTCACATTACTAGTATTATTGGTATTCTAAGTAAACTATTACCACACAGCTATTAAATTAAAGTAATAAACCCAATGGATTAATTTACATCGTTTGTAGCATTTTAATGTCAAACTAAATCAATTTATCACAAAATTGATCAGCATAATAAATAATTACGAAAGACCTGTAAAATAATTGAATAGCAATATTTATTTATGTAAGTGGGATAGGAAAACTGAAAATGAAATGAAAATCATGGAAATTCTTTACACTATTTGACAGTTACAGCAATTACAGCAATCTTTGACATAATAAAATAATGACATTATGAATAAATGACAGCTTAGATGGCTGTATAGGCTGAGTCCTTTTGCCTTTCCCTGAAAAGGGAAAAACCGAACAACTATGGAGGTATTACATTATTGAAATTTTAAGACATAAACAAATTTCTATTTAATTTGACTAAACGGTATAAGTAGGAAACAATAATGTATCACCGTATTTAGATTTTTAATTCACAGTATTAGACTTTGGTTGGAGTGACCATAATAATTAAAGTTTGCATCACAATGTTGCTTTGTTTATTGTATGCGTTCGTTCTTTTGATTGAATATAAATTATTTTATGCCTTTGAACTGTTGATATAAAAAAGAAAAGCATTAATGACATAATAATGACAATGATGGTTATGTCCGTAGTTTTATTCATATTAAATTTTAAGTCTATGTATTATTTTGAAGTATAAACTATATTAAAGTTTCATCAAAATCCGACTAGTTGTTATTACTTAAAAAAGCAACAAACTTCTATCTATTCACCTATCCATTCATACTCGCAAACTTTCGCAATTATAATATTAATAAGAAGCTTTCAGAAGAATTCATCGCCACACGCCGGAACCTATGTAAGTGGTCTCGGACAGTGCAGGTTCAGAGGAGCTTCCTCCCGCGTACACTTTGATTGTGGAATGAACTACCTGCCGAGGTTTTCTCGAGAGACTACAGCATGGGGTTTTTCAAGAAGGGTATATTAAGGTTTCTTAAGGGTCGGCAACGCGCATGTGACATACCTGGTGTTTCAGGCGTCCATAGGATACGGTAACCGTTTACCAACAGATGGGCCGTATGCTTGTTTGCCACCGGCGGCGGCACTAGACGGCACAAGAAAGCAATTTTAAGACTGAAGAATAAATTGTATATTTATTATTTGATTTCGTCAAGCAAATTTAAGGCTGTGATAACATTAGTGTGTGAAAGTGTGAAAATGTACGTAATTCTATATAGTTCTATTATTATATGACTCTACAAAGGCTAAAGAACATTTATCTAATGTCCAATCCATAGATATAAAAAAACATACTGTAATATAGCATAGACAAAAAATGGCGATTGTAGCAGTGACATATCAATGTTTTCTAATTGGTTTTTTTTTGTTATAACATAAGTACCTATCTAATAAATGTAAAATAATAAAAATTCTTTATTAATATGTCTACCAATAACTTATCAACTGTTTTAAAATCGTGTTCAGAGAGTGAGTTAATTAATGAAATTTCTGATGCTACTAATATGACACCAAAGCAAGTTGAGGGATCAAGACTTAAACGTACCTTTACATTGCCTCGCAATCCCTTTGGAACTGTTAAAGCTACATCTAGCAAGAGTAAAAGTAACGAGTGTGATAATAAACCGTCAACTGCTATATCTGAAACGGGAGAGTCTCAAAAGGATGTTGGTGTTATTGAAAGGAAGTTGTTCAGAAGGCCATCATGGAAAAGGTTTCTGAATAAAATAGCTCAACATATGAGTACTGTTAATGTATCGGGAGTAAGTATTGCATAACTATGTAATCAGAAAGTATGGGTTAAAAGTTAGAAATCAATGTTCTCAGTAGGAGGAGGTGAGAGTGATGGTATGGATAAAGGGGAGGAAAGTGCAGTAGGATTAAAAAAACATTTTTTTAAGTAAAATTTTATTTTAATCTAAAATTTTTAATCAACTTCATTTAGCATATTATATTATTAGATATATATATATATATATATATAAATATCCCCTTGGGCACTTTGTGGCTCAGACGTGCCGTATAGGTAGTTTTTTGTTGATCCATTTTCACTTGTTGATCCGGAGGCCTTTTGTTGATTTAATGCCAGCTGACCATATATAAATGTTGATCCGTTTTGAGCCACAACTGTCACGACGAGTAATAATAATAATTAAGCGATTTATACACGATTTTATACAAATCCACCTTTTTGGCATACGACCACTTCTTGATCCAATTCAAACGGGCCAATCAGGGTGCAGCATTTGCCAAGGGCTTCCTCATTGGCACGTTTGGGCTACTACATTATGGCTACAGTAACTTAATAATGTCTAGCTAGTATTTCAAGAATAATAGTCTATCTAATCTAAATATTTATAGAAATCAGTCTGGAGTAACGTGACTCCAGATCAAACTTCAATACTTGTTATTTTTGGACGGGAATTTTTCCTTTTGTAACAACATACTGAGCGAATGAAGAGAAGACGCAACAGCGGATCTAGGGGGGAGCGTCATGGAGGTCTTGGGAGTCATGGGGGGTCATGACTCTCCCCCCGCTTAGCCCAGGACTTAGGTAGACCACTAATTGAACTAAAAAATAATGAAACAGCAAAATTTTTTGCACGATCGGAGTGTTGGTGCAGTAGTATTAATTATAATTAAACATTGTTACTTAAAATATAACTAACACTTAAAGTACTATAACACTAAAAGCAAAATAAGTATTTTCAAAATACTTTTACAGAATAAATTACCTTTTGAGTTTTTGTCCAAACCTCAGATATTTTATTTATTTTAGGTATATCAATCATTACATAGTATAGTATAAAACAAAGTCGCTGTCGCATCTAACAAGTACATAAATAAAGAAAGATGACTTTTTGGCTCTGAATATATTTCAAAAGTCAATTACTTGTGTTAATCAATTTATATACTCGTTCTTATTTCATAGTATTTGTTTTGATCGAATGTATACAGATACCGTAACGGTCTATTAATTATGAATTTATTATACCTAACCTAGATATTTTATTTTGACGAGACTCCGTGTAGTAGTAGTATCCGATAAGGGTATGCGAACCCTAAGTATTATTTCAAAATGACCAGTAATTTCGAAGAAATAAGCCTTTGAATTTCAAATCAACTTACCAAACGGACGCTCAAGGTTCGATTCCCGCCACCGATTTTTTTTTTGTTATTTTTTTTTGTTTTGTCTTTATTTTATATTTTAAATTAACTATTTTAATAATGAAATGAATTTAATCGAACAAAACGTTGTTAAGTATTAAATTAATTTTAATTTACATTACCTAGAAAGTATAATCTTTCTAAATTGTAAAGCAGCTAACAATTATAGTAAGATCTTATAAATAATTAACACAACAAGTAAAACATTTTAAATGTATTTTCTTTATTATCACAAAATATTTTTTATGCATAATATAATAGTTAATATCACTTAAAATTAATTTAATACTTAACGACGTTTTTATCGATTAAATTCATTTAATTATTAAAATAGTTAATTTTAAATATTACTTTAAAAAAAAACAAAAAAAAGCCAATGGTAGGAATCGAACCCGGGATGGCTGTGTGGTAAGTTGGTACACAGGTACATTCCTAACTAGTAAAATTAATTTAATGCTTAACTACGTTTTTATTATAAATTAATAGTCGTATAAATTAAATTGATTATTAAAATATTAAATTAAAAAAAAAAACAAAAAAATAAATAATAAAAGTAAACGGACGGAAAGAAATTCGAACTCGGAGTGTCTGTGTGGTAATGTGGTATTGGTACACAGGTACACTACTAACTAGGCCATATTGGTGTTGCTTGTTATGGTGAAAAAACTAGTATATATATAAGTTACACGTACAATTTCAAAGACTTATTTCTTCAAAACTACTGGCCATTCTGAAATAAAACTTTAGGGTTTGCATATGTAATGTTTGCATATAAAATAGGATTAAAGGTTACCAGTGTATTTACACTTTTACTGAACAAACAGAGTTGTTTAATACTTAAAATATTGTGTGGAAGGCATCAATTACTTTCAGTGCATTTATAGCTTTGCTCTTTTTTCTAATTATTATTATTAAGTTTTAAAGTGGTTGAATTTTACGTAGAGTGTTTTTATACGTTATTTCTAATTTACCATTTATTTTAAGTTTTTTAAACTCTATTCATCGAGACCTATCTAATGAGTCCAAACACGATATTTCTGCTGTAAGTTTTCGAAGAGTATGTTCATCATCTGATAATACTGGTGCCAGCATGAAGTCAAGGTTAACAGATAACTAATTACTTTTATTTCGTCAAAATTTTTAGATTACGTATAATAAATTCATAATATCGCTACCTATTCAAATCAAAACAAGTATTAGGTACTTCATGTACTAGTATATAAATTCATCAACACACAAGTAAATGATTTTTAAATATATTCAGAGCCAAAAAATCTTTGTGCATTTAAAAAAAATTGCCGATACGGATTCACTATTGCAGGAAATTGTTGAAAAAATATATATCGAGTATAGGTATCTACTACTATCGACGAATACATTTGGCAACAACGCATGGTCTCGGTCGGAACGGCAACATCGCATATTAGAATACAAAGATAGTGGTAGAACGCGGAACGGCAACATGTTGCCGTTCCGCCACGCTACCGTTATAGTGGTAGAAAGAGAGAGATAGTGGAATCAGCAATATCTACGGATCGTGGCTGGATCAACTAAGTGTGCAAGTGTATATATATATATATATATATATATATATATATATATATACATTTGTCTTTAATTCAAAGGAAATGTAAATAATGAACGCATCACATTTAAAACAGTAATAAGTACGTACGTAATATTATCACATGGTAACAGCACGTATTATGGCAAAAATAAACATCGGCTGATTCGAAAAGATTTATTATAGTAATAATAGTAATCTCAGGACAATTCACACAGCTTCATCTAGACCCAAGTTAAGCTAGCTGAAGATTATGTTATGGGTACTAGACAACTGATATAAATACAAAGATTTTTTTTCGTAAATACATATATATTATCTATACATAGAAAACACCCAGACCGTTACAAACAATCATACTCATGAATACAAATGTTTGCAGCGTGCGAGGAATCGAACCCTCGACCACCAAGCAGGAATCAAAGCGGTGTGCTAGATAAATCGCTAGACTACCGACAACTAGCTGTACACGCGACTTCGTCCGCGTGGAATTTAACTTCTTATATTTTAGAAAAATAAAGTGAAATTCCACACGGACGAAATCCCGTGTACAGCTAATCATCAATAAAAAAACGCGTAGGTATCTCTAATATATTATACACTAGCTGTTCCCGCGACTTCGTCCACATGGTTTTTAACTTTATTTTTCTAAAATAAAAGTAGCCTAAGTTACTCCTTGTTACATCAGCTACCTGCCAAAAAAAGTCCCGTCAAAATCGGTCCAGCCATTTCAGAGATTAGCCGGAACAAACAGACAGACAGACAAAAATTGTAAAATATGTTATTTTGGTGTATGTACCGTATTTATATTCATATGCAAGTAGTAAAAAACGGTTATTTTAATATTACAAACAACAGGCTTCAACATTCTCAAGTACCACAAAAAAGATGTTTTTTCTATCAAATAAACCGTTTTTATTAAAAACAAGCTGTTCCCACGACTTCGTCCGCGTGGAGTTTTATATATTTTTTTTTTTAAATAAAAGTAGCCTAAGTTACTCCTTATAAATCAGCTACCTGCCAAAAAAGTACCGTCAAAATCGGTCCAGCCATTTCAGAGATTAGCCGGAACAAACAGACCGACAGACAGACAGACAAAAATTATAAAAATTGTTATTTTGGTATATGTACCTTATATATATTCATATGCATGTAGTAAAAAACGGTTATTTCAATATTACAAACAGACACTCCAATTTTATTTATATGTATAGATTATTATTTATTTATTTATTTATTCATCCAAAATAATACAAATTGTGTAGAATAACGTAATAGTAACATTACAGTAAAATTTTGTCAATAACATAATAGCAACTTAAACATTAAATCTCGGTATATCTATAGACTAGTTGGCCCCAGCGACTTCGTCCGCGTGAAATTTTATTTTATTTTTCTAAAATAATAGTAGCGTAAGTTACTCCTTATTACATCAGCTACTTGGCAAAAAAAGTCCCGTCAAAATCGGTCCAGCTATTTCAGAGATTAGCCGGAACAAACAGACAGACAGACAGACAAAACTTGTAAAATATACCGTATTTATATTCATATGCAAGTAGTAAAAAACGGTTATTTCAATATTACAAACAGACACTCCAATTTTATTTACATGTATAGATGTATAGATTAAAAAAAAAGTAACAGTCACAAGGCTAGTCGTATGCCTAATATATATAATAATGTAATAAATTCATTTAAACAGAAATTGCGGGAACTTTATTTAAATTTCTAACTTTTTTACTGTCCTTCTCCTTTTTTCACATCTTTCTGATATATCCCTATAGTTCTGTCTATATTTTCTGTTTTTCTTACTTTCAATTTGAGACTGTACTTATAATTTGATTATCGGATCATTATGTATTTATTTATATAGAATATTTATACATTTATGGGTTATATTTACATATATATTTATGTATGTATATTGTTATTTTTTTATAAAAATTTACATTTTTGCTTTGTATTTATATATCTTTTTTTGACATTTCTTATTTGCACTCATAGTTGCCTGGTAATTAACGCGGCAAGATATTACGTCCACCACATGTACAAATTTTTTTGTGCATTAAAGTTAAATAAATAAATAAAAATACACTACTGTTTAATGAAAATGCGTATTGTCTAGTGCTTTGAGATGTATCAATATAAGGTCAACAAAAAAGTCCGTGATGGTATATGTCTATCTCTTAAGGATAACCAACAATAACCATTTTTTATCTTTTACTTTTTACGGGAATTTTTTTTATCGTATGTTTCCCTTAAAATCATGTAAACTATGTTATTACGTCATAATCTAAAGAAATAATAATATTTTATAGTGAAATATCCACTATAAAATACCAAAAAATAGCAATGTAATTCGTTACGCGCGAATCAGCTGTTATAAGGTCAAAGGTCGGTGCACCCCGCGTATTTGATAAATAGTGCTTCTCTGGATGTCTTTAAGAGAAAATGGCAGTATGTACGTGTATATGTACAAGTCCTTAAGTGTTAAGTTTTTTAAATGTGCAATGAAGAATAAATATTTTGAAGTACAGTACTTACGTACATTAATATAATACCTACTTTTTACTTGTATCTATTGTTATCAAAATTAAATTATAAGTTCTTAAGTTGACCACGACTATGTGACCCTCTCTTGGCGCCAAAACGAATGAAAAAATGAACAGCATACGACGACGACGCAGTTAACTGATTCGTACCTATAGAGTGGAGCAACTGCTTATTCAGTTTTATTCAACTATTTAGTTCATAATTGATAGACCGTTACGGTATCAGAGCCAAAAAGTCTTCTTTCTTTATTTATGTACTGTTAGATGCGACAGCGACTTTGTTTTATACTACACTATGTAATGATTGATATACCTAAAATATCTGAGGTTTGGACAAAAATTCAAAAGGTACTAAAGTTTTTGAATTTTTTCAAAATACTTTTTCAAAATAAAGTACCTTTTGAAAATACCTATTTTGCATTTAGTATTTGAAATACAAAACACAAAACTATTTTTGTTTTTAGAGTGACATTTCTATGAATTCACTGTCGATGACGGTGACTGACTGACGGTGCGATGGAAAAAGATAACTGTTTATAAAAAATATAATAAATAGCCCTGTACAATTAACACAGACTGATACTGAACTGATATAAATAGATATTTTTATTTTGTAAATACATATATAATATACATATAAAACACCCAGACCGATGAAAACAATCGATGACCGATGAGTACAATTGTTTGCACCGTGCGAGAAATCGAACCCGCGACCATCGGATGTAAAACGGTGTGACCACCGAGGCAGTCGAAATATATAAATAATCTTATGAATTTAATTTATTCTAATTTGTTTGTGTGCGCGGGGTGCGGTGTACGGTGCTCCCCCCTGCCTCCACCGTTGCTGGAGCTTGCATGTATGGAGCATTGCGAATATAAAATATCTAGATTAGTAAATTAATAAATTCATAATTGATAGACCGTTACGGTATCTATATATATTCGGATTAAAATAAGTATCGCAGTAAGGACCAGTATATAAAGTGATCAACACAATTAATTGATTTTTGAAATATATATACGGAGCCAAAAAGTCTTTGTGTATTCAAAAAATATCTAATTTGTTTGTGTGCGCGGGGTGCGGTGTACGGTGCTCCCCCCTGCAACGGTGGAGTTACTGTGTATGGAGCATTGCGAATATAAAATATCTAGATTAGTAAATTAATAAATTCATAATTGATAGACCGTTACGGTATCTATATATATTCGGATGAAAATAAGTATCGCAGTAAGGACGAGTATATAAAGTGATCAACATAATTAATTGATTTTTGAAATATATTCAGAGCCAAAAAGTCTTTGTGTATACCAAAAATTTAGCCGTTCGGAGCCAGTCATGCACGAATTATTAGTAAAAAATGTGTCGAGTATATCGTACTATCGACGAATATATATGGCCACATCGCAAAATGGAATGCGACGTTGCCATACCGCCTGAGATATACGCGATAGGAGTCAAGTTATTCAGTGCAAAAGGTGGAATCAGCAAGTGTTTAGGTTGTGGCGTGATCAACAAAGTGCCCAAAGAGGTGTTTATATATATATATATATATATATAGAATTCTATAAAATTGTTTATATTAACAGTCAGCCCACAAATGGATGCTCTTAGTCTGTTTATAGTAAAAAGTTACAATGTAAATTAACAAACCAAAGAAAGAAAACTTTATTTAATAACATAAAACAAATACAGTAAGAAAAAGATTAACAGTTAGATAATTAACATATTTTTAGAGATTAAAGTTAGTAGAAACAAAAAGTATTTTTCATACTTATTAATTTACTTCAAGGTTAAATCTGCACCAGCCACTTTGAATGGCGAAAGAGTACCGTGTAGTGGGGATCCACCATGGCCTCCTGGCTCTACTCCAGCTGTGACTGGGATCAAGAATCATGGCAACACTTGTTACATGAATGCTGTATTACAGTGCCTTTCTCACACAGATGTCATTGCAGAATATTTCGTACTAGACCATTATAAAGTAAGTTTAAAGTGTACAATAAGAATTAGTTTTTGATTTGCTATGTATTGAATAAATATGTTCACAGATTTGATAATTGTGGTGATTTTATATTCATTGTAATGTGAGCCCACAAATACAAATGATAGCACCCTGTGATTAATTGAACCTGCAACCATAAAAAATAAATGTACTAAAGTGCATGTCCTCTGAGGCAGTCTGAATTGGTGTTGTTTTGAAATATGTTTATAATGAATTGAACTTTCTTTTCCACATTGAGTCTATGCATTTTATATGACAATTAAAATATGTTTTAGCTATAATAATTTTATTTTTACAGGTGGATTTACAGAAACGAAACAAAATAAATTCAAAAAAATATGGAACACGAGGAGAAGTAACTGAACAATTAGCAGCTCTGTTAAAATCACTTTGGGCTTGTCACTACTCTCCTGATATGAGTACTACCTTTAAGGTATATATGAATTTGGTATAGATATTTCACAAATTATGATCCACCCACTACATTTAATATTACATTAGTTGGTGTACTATCAGATATTCACACAAATCCTAAAACAATTATTACATTTGCTCATATCAAATAACTCTAAAAATTTTTGGGGCAGTTACAGTTTATAACTACACTGAAGTTATGTCAGCATATTTAATATTGTAAATGTAATGATTTTATGTTGTTAGGGTGCAGTTGAAAGGCATGGTACCCAATACAGAGGGAACAGCCAGCATGATGCGCAAGAATTTTTGTTTTGGTTACTGGACAAAGTTCATGAAGATTTGAATACTGCAACAAAGAAAAAATACAAAACAATTAAGGTAGTATGCATGCATGATATATTAGTTCTCTGGACTGGCAAAGCATGGGTTTTTTTATGGATGATAATGGAATGGTGCACCCGCCAGCTATAGCAGTTTACGCTGGCGGGGCACCAGTGGAGGCTGATAAGATGAGCATGAGGTCAGGTCAGTTAGCCCATCGCGACTTATTCACCAATTTATCATGATGGTTTCCAGAGAGAACTGCGTGGAGGTCAACCTGACATGGTACATTACTAGCAATGGGGTCAACAGTTCACATTACTAAAAATCCCCTTCTCCCTGCAAAGCATGGGTGTTGTCCTAGCTGTCACATGGTAATTGTGATGTGCCTAGTGCAGTTTTTAAAGGCAACTGAACTTAAGGGCCATTGGATGGGCCATAAATCTGTTGTCATACCAAGTAAAAAAAGAAAATTAGAGGCATATTTTTGGGCCAATTCGTAAATTTAAAAATATTCAGTATGAAATATGAGATATATGAATTCATCTAAAATTAAATATATATAATGTCATTAATGTGTCATGTATACAAAGTACTGTTATACCTCCTTATGTCTCTATAATTCTGTAAGTTTTGCAATGGATTTTTTATCAATATTGTAAATATATTTGTGGACTTATATTTTATATAAAAAATAATGGAATACACTGGAAATAACATATTTCTAAACTTATTTCCTATTACTATTAAAAATATTTTATTATTTTTTTCAGAATACTTGTGGGAAGCCCGATGAAGTAGTGGCTGCTGAAACATTGGCTAATCATGCTCGTAGAAATAGCTCATTTGTTCAAACTGTTTTTCAAGCTCAGTACAGGTAATATTTAAATTTAGTGGTTTAGAATTAGATTATTCAATGAAGAGTGAAAGATGAGTGAAAATCGTAAAGTTAAATTAAAGTGGGTCTGGATATTTCATATTAGGATTACTTGGTTATAATAATTAAATTTAGACAAACTCAAAGATCGCATCAAAGTATTTAACTTTGAGTTACAAAGATTTGCAAAGTTTGCATGTCAAATTCAATTTTAGCAGGATAAATGTTCAAATATTACTTTCATTATATGCTTTTTATGAAATAAATAATATATTTGTATGGGGCAAATAAATGATTTTATAATTTTTATAATACTAATACTACTATGGTATTTATCAGGTCAGCGCTGACATGTGCCAAGTGTGATCGTACGTCATGCACGTTTGATCCGTTTCATTGCGTGAGTGTGCAATTACCTTCAAGGTTGGCTACAGCACAGCCATCCCCACTTCCTGTTAATGTGAGTATTTATTGTTAGGTTTAATATGAAATTGTATATTGAAAATATTTCATTTCACATTAATGATGTTTTTTAATTGTTTATCTAAATTCCATAACAAAATGTATTAGACATACATATTTAAAACAATGAGTGCATCTGATTAATGGAAAAATAGTTTGATATTCCTTGAGGGTCATGAACTGACTGTATTTTACTTTTTACAATAGTTAGTCATATTATGTATTAACATACATAATATGACTAACTATTGTATTCTATTATTATATTTATATATATTGTTATTATTATAACTATAGTATTATTAGTCATGTTAAGACTACAAATTGTAGAAAGGAACATAAGTAATGCAAGGTGTTATCACTCACAGGTAGTTTACGTCAATCAGCAACCTCGCCAAGTGCGTATTGGCGTAGAACTTGCACCAACCGCTACTATGGAGGACTTGCGGACTACATTACACAGTGACACCGGCATTGATCGCGACCATATAATATTAGCAGAAATTAATGAGACAGGTAATTGAAATAGAAATAATCTTTATTCAAATAACTTAATACCAGCACTTTTTCTTCTTCTTCTTCTTTATTTTAAATGGCCGCCACCAATTTCGATCGGTGATTTTGCCAATGTCATGGTTTGAGAAACACAGTGTAATTTGTAGCTGTGGCTTATTTTAGTATACTCGGTTAACTTTGACAGTTTCGTTCGGGTTCGGTATATTATAGTTAAGGACAGCACAACAACTGAGGGACAACAAACAATTATTAGTAGGGTTTATTATTTAAACATTATTAGGTGGACAATACTAGTTAGTAGGACAATACAAACGTAGACACTTAATATTAAATTGAGGGGAGCCGGTTGGGAATTACAATTTCAGATTATTGTTAGTTATAAATTTAGCTAGTATTCTGAACCAGCACTTTTGAATAATCAGTGAATAATAGACACTATTAATTGCTAATTACATTTCAAACAATAAAAAACAGGGAATATAGAATTTGGATAAGTTCTAATTTAAATTTATAAGTATATAGTACAAACACATCTTTGGTTGGATTAATAATAATGGATTAATGCATATTTAGTTTTTTGGCTGTATTATTTTCAAATCACCCGTGCGATGGACCAAGTCAAAACAGAGTGACATAAGTGGTCCTCTCTACAGTACCAGAATGGCAGGCAGTAGGGAGAAATGGTGCATTGTCTTAAGGCGGATGACATCTGCCTGTCACTCCATTATATAATGTCCACAGTAGTTCTGTCAACAGTATACAAATAAGAAGATGGTTTTTCAAATCCTACTGTTTTTGAAAATGCTTAATAATTACTATGTTTAACTAAGCTAACATACGACAAGACATTAGACATTAGAAATAAGACATAAAAAAAACAAATATATAATTTAAAATGTATATTCTTTGGCAGGGTGGTGTAATGCCCGAGCGAGTTGGGAGGTGGCAGGCATTGATTTCGGCGCTTTGTATTGTATGGAGGCACCGCCACTATTACAAACTCCAACTACGCCGTATTTATTGCTATTATGGGTTAATATGCTTGATGGCGAGAGATTTGGTGAGTATTCTTTAATTATGATTTGTTTTGTTTTATGCTTAATCAGGGCTCTGTTTACTGTTGCCTTTTGTCTTTGCCTCTGATTTACTTCTGATCTACTAATTTTTGTTGTTTGAAATCAATTATTCTAGTAATTATATTGACAGTCTCAATGTTACAGCAGTTTAGTACTCTGCTTCATTCTGATGGTTGCGGGTACAATTCTTTGGACAGTAAAAATATTTATATTCATAAGTAAGATTGTATGTATGTATTGGTTTGGATGTTTCCTATATATGTATATCTTTACATATAAAAATTACTCTTACATCTCAATTTGTAGTCGCAATATTTATTATTGCAAATAGCCACAGCAACGCATTGCCGGGTCTGCTAGTATAATATATATGTATTTGTAAAAACATGTATTTAAGTATTTCCATCATTTATTTAGTAGTTTATATATTACATACATATTTTAAGACTAAGTTTTGCTGTGAATTGTTTTGGGTAATTTTTATCATTATTATTTCCAGGTTCACCTTATGCAATGCAAGTACCTCGTGAGATTTCTTATGAGGATCTTCAGAAATTGATGCTAAAAGAAATGTGCCAAATAGTGGCGGAACGAGTTTTGGAGAATGTGCAGGGTTCTGATATATTTAAGGCTAGGATTGCTGAAGCACATAGACCTAAAGATCCAGCATATTTGCAACCCGAGGTAAACTAAAGTATTTGTTGATATACAAACATCTATTATATATTTTGATCTCTTGCTCTGTTATTTTTTGTAATTGTAATAATATATCATTGCTCCGTGTATGTGTATTGGTACCATGTTTGCTGTAATGTGGTACATCTAATAATTTTGTTAATGGAATAGACTTTATAACTACAACAATACATAATTGAAAAACTATAAAATCAATAATTCCTATATTAATTAAAATTTACCATCTGATTTTTGTGCTGATTTGCACCATGTATAGTTAAACAGTAACTTATCTCAAAATTTATTCATCTTAAGTTGCCGCACCCGTTGTTCGCGCTTGACGTGGAGCAAGCTCTGTGCGCACACGACAAACACTCTCACCTTCGGCTTGAACTACTGTGGGACCCCGCGCATAGAGATAGGTAAGTATCTACATTCATAAAAAAATGGGCTCAACATTATAAATAAAACTGTTAACAATTAAATTTGATTAAAGAAAGTCGATGTTGTAGTATGGTTATAACACTGAAACGGCATCAAGAAAAATATTACAAATTGTGCATGCATATTATATAGAATTACAGTTTTTAAAATATAAATTTCTATTTTTAATGCTATTTATTATATATTTACAAAAAGTAATAGATTCTTATACTGATGAAGTTAAATAATGACCACTATAAAAGAATTTAAAAAATGCGTTTATTACAAACTTCAACAATGAAACAGTCATACTAGTGTCAAGATGCATAAATTGCCGAGGGAAACACAAAAGTTACTATATTTGCATTTACAATTCTCCCCCGTTTTTTTTTAAATATATATAAAATACATGTAATATAGAATGTGTGTGTATGTGTGTGTGTGTGTGTGTGTCAGCATAATCCGGTGGGTGGGCGAGGCGTGCGAGGTACACGTGTCTGCGGGCCCGGCGCCGCTCACGCTTGACGCCTGCCTCACGCACTACACGCGCGCTGAGCGGCTCGCACAGGAGGATGCCTGGAGGTTCTTCTTCTTTATTAATACCAGTTCTATATTTCAATTCAGAGGGTATTTATTCCCCTATTTGCGGCTTATACTTTTTCACGCAGGAAACAATGTATATAGATAAGGAGAACGAGAAAGATCTCGTGCGCTGCCAGCTCGCACATTCTCGCGATTTTCAATATAGCGTGTTTTAGCGCCTTTTTTTTAATAATTAATTATAATTTAAAAATGGTGGACGTCTGACTATGGAAGTTAATTATGGAGTTCCAAATCTTAATAAATCTTAAATGTGATTAATGCTGTAGTAGTGTGAATAATTATATATTTATCCTTTTTAGTTTTAAGTGTATTATCAATTTTGAGATTTTTTTTAAATGGTTATAGTTGTTTCATACATGTTATGCTGCTTGCTATTATAACACATTATTTTTTTATTCAGATGTCCTCAGTGTCAACGATATATGCCAGTAGTAAAAACCCTCGGTCTTTGGTCACTACCGGATGTTCTAGTAATACACTTGAAGAGATTTAGACAGTAAGTATATATATTTTTAATGCAGATTAATAAACACAACAAACAAATATATTTTCAGCCAGGACTTTTCTGGATAGGTACATGGTGTTGAAAGCCTTTGTGCTTCTGTATATATTTGGTTTAATTCACTTCATAATTCAGCTGATAACACTTTACATAAGAAATAACGTAACTTGCAGACCTTACACATACATATTGACTTATGTTTTTTTAGGCAAGCCAAAGGTCGTACGAGTACAAAATTAACAACTATGGTAGAGTTTCCTTTGAACGACTTCGATATGACGCCGCACCTTGTCACACGGAACTCGGCGACAGCTGAATCACCTGGACATTCAAGGTCACCACGTAGAAGGCATTCTAAAACGCCAACCTGCGGTTCAGATGAGAATATGTATGATCTGTACGCCATTTGCTACCATCATGGCGATGACTTGGAAACTGGACACTACACCGCAGCTTGCAAGAATCCGTACGATGGTCACTGGTACAAATTTGATGATTCCAGGGTAACCCTGGTCAATGATGAGAATGCATACAGCGAATTGGTAGATAATACGGCATACATGCTATTTTACAAACGGAAAAAACCCAACATATCACATTCTTATACTACAGACGATCACAGTAGTCATTGGGCGTTACGTATGCCTAAATACGTAAAGCAAACGAACGACACATTAAACGAGCTTACGGAAGTCAAGGAGGAGCATGTTGATGACCTAAAAATTGAGATACCGAATAATGAACCGGAGTCAGAATCTGACGCTACCGCTCCGACAAACAGCCCTTTGTCCAGAAGTGTTGAGAGTCTGCCCGACGATAATATGAATGTACCGCCGTCTCCAGCGAAAGTAATAACCACAGTTGTTCACAATACAGCTTCTATAATACAATCACCTACTTTGCAGCGACCATTGATAGTCGAAGTAAACGGGAATAAAGCGAACGATGATGCGAACGAAAACGAGTTAAGTGTATCCATTGAACCTTACATTCATAAAGACGTACACGTAAACCCCAAGATGACGCCAGTGGACACTAGGCGACCGCGGTCTGTCGATTATCCCGCCAAGTCAAACGCGACGTCTACTAGTCGAGACTCGAACAGAAACTATGAGAGTTCACCGTTGGTCGCCAGTATAAATGGAGTTGAATATAATCCAACTACAGAAAATCTGATGTTGTCCATGTTTCAAGAGTCCAAATATATTGTCCCAAGGCATGCCAACCACATCGCAGGGGAATCTCATAGAGCAGGTTAGTTTGCATTATATGTATACTCCAAAGATCTCAGCTATTACTTATTTAAATAGCATAAGTGGATTTTCACCATGTGAAGTAATTAATTTTGTTTAGTGCAAATGTGTTAAAAGATAACTAAGAGCATTCTTTAGTTGTTAAACCACATTTTAGTATATAAATTTGAATGTTGTCCTTTCAATTTAGATTTTTGCATGTTATAACTCTATCCAGTTCTTCAGTTGATGTACATAATAAACATTGTGGACATAAAATAAATAATAAGACGCCCGCATAGCTCAGGACCGGTGCTCGTAACCTACCAAAAGCGCTAAATTTTCTCAGAAATCTTAAGTATAATTACATAATATCTATTTAAAAATGTACATATTATAAGCATTATTCGTGCATATAAATTTCTAGCCATATTCGTATAATGTATAGGTACATATATTTACTTCAATATTTTTCAGGTGAGAAATCATCTGTGTGGAAAACTCGAATATCCACATGAGAACAGATAGTTGTGTCTGATGGATGTGACCAGCCCTCTCCTATGTTAACTCTATGCCCAAAATTAGATCTGGTTCCAAATAGTTGACAGTTAAGTCATGATTAATTAAGGCGTAAATGCTGTGAGTGTCAGTGGATCCGAATACGACATCTTTATAACTGCCTTCCACTTAGGGATGTACGATATTGGAAAAAGTATATTTGTAATGCTCTATATGACCATAGGCTTGTTATAATGCTGCTTGGCTTATTTATTGTGATTATTTTGATATGCAAATATTTCTTGGTTACTTGGATTTTTAATATTTTAAGATTTTTGTATTATGGTCAAGGATACTTTAACATTATTACGACCTTTTATGGTAATTTTGTATTACATACCAAAGATTGGTTGAAAATATACTCATTATGGGGAAGGCAAGTAAGTAGCGTTCAAGTTATATCATGTATTATCTATTTATAATAATATTATACTCCCTCATGGTAACTTTATCCTAAAGGACCAAGTTTACACAGTACCTATGTGATTCGTATGTTCTGCTTGTCTTCCTCAATATACTAACAAATTTGATAACATGTGTGTTGTAGTGCTGTTACTGAGAAATCTATTTATACATTGTGTAGATATAATGTCACAGAGTAACTAGTAGGGTTATAGTTAGCGGGCGTAATAAACGAATTTTCGTAACACACTTGTGCCTTGGCCCTAGGGATGTTGTGATTTTAAAATTTAACCAAAAGCATGATGAATGCATGCTACAATAAAATTTAATTCATAATTACGTGTAATTAGAATACACATGTCATGGAATACTTCATAAATAGATTGTGATACCTGTATCATGGGATTTGAATATAACACGACAACTATTGTTTATATCTTTTAGTTTATTTAAATTATTATATTACGTAGGCATAATATTACCAATTACACAGATAAGAAAAAGTGATTCGAATTGCAATTTATTTGTGAAATATTGTATATATATAATGGTATATGTGTAATGGTTTTATTATAAAACAATCTCTACAAAAATGATACTCGTTTGGGAAAGTGAAGGTTTTGTAAATATTGAAATTGTAATTCAAAATGCACATAATTAGGTTATAATATATATAGCACTTTGTGATGAGATATTTTTTTATAATTTATATTTGATTTGTTTTTTTAAAAGACATTGTATTTATGGAATCACGGTTATTATTCAATAGCAAGTGAATAAGCATGTATACCTGTGATCTATTATTGCTTTATCGAGAAACGAGCGCTTACGTTAATAATTATTAATCAGCAATAGATGTATTAAAAGATAATCCAAGCGTCATTGGTTTTAAAATACTGCACAAGTAGCAATATTTGTCACTATATCCCAGAATTATTTTCAATATCTATTTAAGTAATTATTACTTAATCAAATTGTATATTGCGCTAGCGTAATTAAGTATTGATTGAAGAAAATTTATTGAGTACTTGAACAATAAATTTAATTAACACATAATTGATTGATAATGATGTGAGCTTTAAAGTCAAAGTAACTTTGATGATCTTTTCTGACACGCTCACATGCGTAAATTTAAAAATTTGTAATGAAAAATAATTTTAGTTCCCATTGCATTTTTTTAAAAGAAGATAAATGAAATGCTGCCAACTTTACCTATTTAAAGTAAAATACATTTTGTATGATGTCATCTCACATTATCTGTGGAGTGACCAAAATTGCTAACTTGACATTGTATTGCCATTAAATTTTACACATTGTAACCAAAATACAAATTAATAGTATTATTTTATTATTTTTTAATCTTAATTCTTTTTACAAATGGTTCATATAATCTTTTAGAAAAACATGTTTGTCGCCACGGGTCAAACATGTCGTTTATTCTTAAACGACTGAAAAATAATAACATTAAATGAAACAGTAGTGTATAAAACACTCACAAACAACTACTGTTAGAATTTTTGTTATTATTTTTTCACTTTATATATTTACACATTATACAAACACTTATATAAAAATTTATTACCGTCATGTTGTTTTTAATTATAAAATAACAACCCATATAACCAGCAGTCGGCCTACACACAGGCAAGTTGCGTGAACTAAAAAGCGCTCATGAGCTCTCGAATTTATGTAAACTTAAAACTGTCGTTCCATCTTAAATTTTGTATTATGTTCGTTGTTTAATTTAAAGATGTTTATTATAATTTCATAATGTTATGTTTAAAATATAGTGTTGTATACACATATCAGCTTTTTATTGTCTCCTAAACATACTTTTAAAATAATTTTAACATTAATAGAACTGGCCTAATTATATCAAATGAATAAAACTGTTATTTTGCGGGTTGCATTATTAGAGAAAAACACTACTTATTGTTGATTATTTAATTACTTATTGTCAGTTATTCAACGTTAAGCAATTTACAATAGAAATATATAGATAAAACAATTTGTCAGTACATAAGTATTTATCTGTAATAATGAAAAAATCTAATTTATGTGAATAATTTAAATTTTCCCTATATAACTAATTCTATGGTAGGTAGCTAGGTTACTATGTACGGTGTCACCGTAATTGGAGTCGAGGACTATTAAAATCTGCTTCAAGGGGTCCGCAGTTACTGATGTGGGAGTCAGTCTTGGGCCCGGGGAGTGAATGCTGATGAGATTAGATGCATTATACGTCTCCCGGGCGTCCCATGACAGAACATCTGCGCATTCAGCATGTCGCAGATAAACGTGGTGAATGTCGAATCCAAGGAGTACTACTCGCTTGGAATGCTCGCTGAATACTGAAAGATATAGATAATAATATGAATTATGAAATAAAACTAGTTATAAAAAAGGTAGAGTAGAAACAATGAATGGGCCAAGTATCATACTTATATCGCACATCTGTTCATTTGTGTAAAAGGATAAAGTAGATAAAAATAGACAGATATACCTACATAAAATACATAATCTGATTGAGTACTCAATCAGATGAGATTTTAAATCAAACCCAAGTCATGATCATGTAGTAAATATATATACACAAGAATCCTTCTTTCTGAAGGTTTATCATAATGCAAATCGCGGAATATAAACTACAAACAAGTTACAGTAACTTGTTTGGATTTTATATTCCGCGATTGCATCTACAGCAAGATTGGTTATTGTTTTTTGATGATGATAGTGGGACGCTGCACATACAGCGGGGCACGGGGGCAAATCTGTCTATTAGTACGACATCGCGAATTCACTTGGAAATAACCACAATCGCTTCTGCAATAGGGGAAACAAATTGAGGTTAGCATGATAGCAATGGGGCTGCTAATTACCGTTAATAACAATTTAAGCCAAAGCCTAGGAAAATGCTTCAAACACACACAAAAGTTGGTTGACTAAGGAGCAATAATTATAACCGCAGTTACCTCTCAGTGCTGCAATTGAATTCTTCCTTCGTAGCGTTGCTGTGTCTAGTTCTAACAATCCTTGATTGTGGAGTCTGACTAGAATTAGTATAGTATTTGCTCCTCTCTTCATGAGGGCTAATTGTAGACCAGTTACTGGGGCGCATGCTAGTACAGACCACTCGGCATTATATGTGACATCATAGACAATAATTGCACCTCTTCTAGGATCTGATATATATCTAAAACAAAATAATAAACAGGTAGAATTGTAAGTTATTAACATAATACCTCTAATGATTGAAGTCGTAAGTACTTGCACAAAATTGTACGTAATTATTTTTCTAATGGATAATAACGGAATAGTGCATCCGCCTGCGCTAACGGTTTACGCTGGCGGGGCTTCAATGGAGGATGATAAGATGAGTATGACGACAGGGCAATTAGCCCATCCTGGTAAATTCATTGAATTTATCATGATGGTTTCCAGAAGAAACCACGTGGAGGTCAACTTGACATGGTACATTATTAATTTTCATAGTTGGAAAAAGAAAATTACGACCAGATTTTGTGGGCATGTGAAACAAACTCAAATCCTCATTATTATTATTTAGATGTCTTGTCAACATTGTACACAAATTTTTTAAAGTTTCACCTAGTAGATTTGACATTGTGGCGAAAGTGAGTGAGATTATCGTTTTTCTTTCTTTAATTCGTTAACGGTAGTTCTTTCTTTAATTATCTTAAGCAGTTAAGCTGGGCTCTAATATATCTAAATCTAAATATATTGCAGAAGTTCCGCCTGGATAACAAACTGTCTAGCACAGGGGGCTTGGTTAGTATTATCAATCCTCAAATAACAAATAAGGTATGTACCTACTTCCTAAAAACTCGGAATAAGCCATTATTAAAAATTTTGTATGTAGACATTATTATCGAAACTGCTGATTTGCATTTATCAACTTATTACAACACGTAGGTACGTAAATGTCAATGTAATTAAATTATATATATAGGTTGCTATAAATTAGGTATAAACATTGGCTATCAAGAACAAAATATGCGGCAACATATTTAACGCAACGCTTGACTGGTCAGTTGAGTCCCCAAGATCGAATTTAAATAAGTAATTTAATCTATATTAGAAAAGAACTTTGTGGTTCTGGCCGGCAAAAGAAGAATAAAAAATAACAGTCGAATAAAGGAGGAAGTTATCTAGTTGAATAAAAAGATTTTTTCGGACTACTCTACTGCTGTTGGCCGCAGCTGGCCTTTATAGCTTCATCGGATGAGCGGCTGAAGGCCTGACGGATACGACTTTAGTCTGAGGACATCGTTAGGGGTTCGAACCTCCGCTCGTCGTAATTTCGATCCCCGTTTGAATTGGACGGGGGATCGATATCCGATCGATCCCCCGTCCCGTCCGATCGGGCGAATAAAAAGTAGGTATAGATGATTACTTACTACATATTTTTAATTAGTAGGTAAGTACAGAGGTACAACACTATAGTTCCTTGGAGTGCATATGCATATTCGAAACGGTTATTATTTCAGTTAAATAAAAAGACATATATGTAAAGGTAGATAAAAGTTACCGAAGTAAGTAATTTATTTTTAAACTTAAAATCTTTCAAATCATGGTAAAGGCGAAAACGGATATGTACATAATTATAATTAAAATAAATAATTAAAAGAAATCATTGTGGAATAGTAGGTAAAACTAATTGTTGAAATTATTGTAATGCATAAGTATAGTTATTTTTAGCGCTCAGTACGCACTTTCTACAATAGAAAGACTGATGCAAAATGTAAGCAAACAGACGCAGATTCGCGAGAACTACGATTAGTAAGATATACTTACTTACTTAATTGGATAAATGTTAAATAGCATACTTTCTTTCAAAATATAATGAAGACTAAATATTTTCATAGCTAAGGTAGGTAACTACACGTTCCTTTAGTACTGGCGATTATAGATAAAGAATTAGTTCAATTAGTTCTAGATGTTTCTGAATTTGCTTACTTATAACGTTATAACATTGAAAGTATATTTTAAAAGTACTACTGTACCTAATATTTAATTGAATATTAGAATACATTATATTTGCTAGATTAATATAGGTATCTAATATATATGTATTTTGTTTTTGTAAATAGGTACATTGAAAACTTACACAAAAGGTCTCAGTCCTAACTCATACTCCACTACTATACTCTGTAATTGTACTGATAAGTCCGTCAGCGATGATAGAGTCATGTATTTGGTTATTTTCCCCAGCACGGTGTTAATGACCACAACTTTAGGTGGACACATGCATCGCGGCGATTCTAGAACCTCTACAACACCGGTATCTAGTATCCATAAGTTACCCTGAAAATATTATTTCAATTATTGTAAATTTAAGCTTGGGACGAAAACATTCACTAACCTTGCGGCTAGTGAGTTCGCTTTGTCGCCGGTATCAGGCTTCTGCGGCATCCAGTCACACCCAGCCGGAACCGTAGGTCGGACAACCTCGTATGCATGGCATGTACTCTTTCAACCCCTTATAACCCTTCTATCGCATTCAAAAGTATCCTATGTCCTTTCTCAAGATCTAGACTAATTGTGTACCAAATTTCACATAAATCTGTTCAGTAGTTTTGGCGTGTAAGTGAGACTGACAGACAGATAGTTACTTTTACAGTTATAAACTAAATTCAATAAAAAAGTTTCAATAAAAATTTGAAAACATTAATGAGACAATTGAGTAGTACTCTATCATAGATCTGGCTCCAAAAATGGCGTATTTACCTAAAATTTTTCATCCCCTATTTTATTTTACCCCATAAGGGTAATTTTATAAAAAATTTTGAATGTCATATTCATTTATATTTAATCAACAGAAAATCCACACGAATTTTTAATTAGTATGTTATATTTATTTATATTTAATCAACAGCCTCAAAAATAAGTTTCAAGCTGCTAGCTTCAAAAATAACGAATTTACATAAAAAAAATATCCCCTAATTTATGAGACAATTGAGATATTACTGAAGAAGAACACACATTTGTAAGTTTTGATCTTAAAGGAATACTGCTCCGTTTAATATTTTAGAGAAATTATAGGGTAAGAAGACAAACAAAGGGACGTGGTGTCCGTAATGCACTTTATGCATAAAGGCGACGGTTTTCTACCAGGTGAGCTGTCAGCTTCTTTGCTATTTTAGTAACAAATAAAAATTACCAAATGGTCGAGGTGCTCATCAACAGCATTTTGAATTGCATTACAGTCTCCAATTTTATTATAGCTGAGTTCTGGGTAGGCTTGCAACTCTGGCCCGCGTCGCCCTGCCACTAGCTGCCACACAGTTGATAGTATACCGTGTTTGAATCTAGAATGTACACTTATAAAATTAACATTAACACGTCTAAATCAATAAAATCGAATAGAAATAGAAATAATCTTTATTCAAATAAACTCATTACAAGCATTTTTGAATAGTCATATTTTGATTCTACCACTTCAGATTCATCACAAGAAGAATGAGCAAGAAACTTGTGTGTTGCCCTTTTTAATAGATGTTTTTTATATAAATAATTACAGTATAACAAGTAAGAGGCATGCGATAATCAACATAGAAATCGCTACGCACTCATTATTAGTGTAATCAGATAATATTGTCAGTGTTATGGATTTAAAGTTTTTCTATAAAAACTTTATTATCGTTATCTAACGAATTCTTCAATTTTGTAGTAAGCTTTTTTGCAAAGGAACTGTTTTATTTGACATTAAATCTTTTCTGGCAGATTTATAACAGACTCTGGTATTTTATTTTAAAACCTTACGCAATTGCCATAAAACAAATTACTAACTTTAACCAAAAAAACTTTAACTTTAAAAACTTTAAATGTGGTTTACATTTAGGTAAAATAAATAATAAATGTTATATACCTCTAGCTTAATCTACTTAACTAAAAATGGTACCCGGTAGTGATATAGATACATATTACTTAGTGGTATTTTTACCGGATTTAGATATTGTAACTATAAAGTCGTCTCCAAGTTTCCAAGTCTCTCTGTTTCAATAATTTCAGTCATCAAGCAGTTTGCTTTGTAAGCTTTGTTTAAGGTGAAATTATAGCTCCATATGAAAAAAGTTATTCTACAGGACTATTTGTAAATCAATATTCACTAATATATAAATCTGATATATTTTCCAATTCTTTAAATACCTGGGAGATATAACGTAGATATTATCTCTAAATGTAACAGCTTTAGTGACTATCACATGTTCTTTTATATATTGTCCGCTTCCGATAAGAAAATCTGCGCCGTTTTCACATTCCGAATGTATAGGTCCACCGACCCATGCTAAGTTGTTTGGATGGTTTAAAACAATTTCTAATATAGTAACAAAATGAATTAGTCTAAAAACGATCATTGCTTATGTTGAAAATTCTACACTGCAGTGCTTATAAAATTATTACTGATTGTTTTTCATAATGCGAATTTGCTTCAATAATTAAATTATCAAGAACTTAGTGTCGAGGTTTTCGGAAACGGTTATGAAATATTTTTAGTATACACTTGATAGGTACATTACATTAATTACATATGTATGTCATGTAATGTCGGTACATAAAAGTATTTTGTTGTATACATTTATGTACAAAACATTTTAAATTCTGAATCTGTCAAATACAGTAAAAATAAAATTTTAATGAATCGGAGATTGTGTATCAGTAATTTTTCATATAAGAGAAGTCGATTCTTGATTCTTCAATGTCATAGACACTTAATATCACTGTTGTAATAATTTTTGATATAGATATATGCTTTGCAGCTAGATTTTGTAATTGATATATGATCTACAATATGAAAACAGATACTATCCAAATACGGTTCCGCTCTATTTGTTCTTGTAGGAACATGAGTACGAATGGTACGAATTTACGAGTGCGATCGAGTTCCGACATCGAGGGTTGGGCTCATGTTTCCTGTTGATTGCACAGTCGCCTATACCTTGCTATTATATCGATCGAGGACAAAAAGATTTGATTGTGCGCGCCTGGGAATCAGTTGCATAGTGCTGCGGTATTTAGCACGACTAAGGTAATAAGTAGCGTTCTCTATTCTGCTACTAGTAAGCATTATTAGTACTACTAGTACTAGTAGTCATTTATTGACATAAATAAAAAATACGCTTAAATACTCTTTAAGTAAGGTAGTCACCTTACTTAAAGAGTATTTAAGCGTATTCGTTTAGACAAGACAAGGCCTGATATAGGTATTATATTTAAATAGATGGAGGTCAATAAAAAATCGTTTGAATGTTGTTTTGGAAGGACACAGTTGGTTGCCTGTGTTTTAAGAATATAAATTTACAAAGAAAGTTCTTTTTTATATGTCGGCCAATTCAGAATAGGGTAGTAAACCAGAGTTCACTAGACCAAGTCTCTCTCGGTTAGGTAGTTTTTTAGTATTTCGATTTATGATACACACAGTGCAAACTACTTTAGATACATGTACTGATTACTTGGGTTACGATCAATTGTATGAAATATGGTCTGTCTCCAACATTATTTAATGTTTTACTACAACAGGATTACCATTTTTGTAAATAATTTTGGGTAATTTGCACCTTAATATTACTACAATACTATATAAATTATTTTTTTATTGCTATTGTCTACTATTTAATTGCCAGCTACTAATATAAAAGACTTTTTAACCCATCTGCAATAAGGATATTGTCTTTTCAACTATGTACTTGTATACTCGTATGTTTCAATGTAGAATGATATGTCCGAATCGAGTGTAATCTAGATGATTTCACACAAATTTAATAGCTGCCTTTCATATTTTAATGAAGTTGTCAAAAGCAGTAATTATTTAATTAATTCGTCAGCTACTTGTATCCTGTACACTATACCGACAATCATTTGTCAAATATGTTTTTTTGTGTATCTCTCAGTCGATGACTTTGCTAATACTTAATGATTGCGATTATTTATAATTAGCTACATTTTTCTAAATAGTTTACTGTAGTGCTGTCCTATCTATGTCTAAAGTAGGATTTGTAATGATATTATTTTAGTAATAAATACTTCTGATTTCTCACATTGAATATGTTTTTAAATTTAAGAAGTATCTATACCTACCTATAAAATTGTGGTGTTATTATTCTAATTGCTTTCACGCTAAAATATAATTGAAACGAAGACCTTGACATTCCTCGCCTAAAAAATCGTGGCTACAGTAAATACGCACCTTGATAATAAAACAATACTGTTTAGGGTACGTAATACCGAGTCATGGCTGTTGTCAGCCGCCACGCCTTCGGGATTGACCACTTTTACTTTCAAAGGTGTTAAGTTGTAGAGGGGCGAGTAAATTTTGTGTGAGCGCGCGCGTGCGCTGGTTTTCGCGCGTCAGTTCAGTTTACAAGCGCATAGCTATCTCGCGCACTCTTTTACCACGCGCTCGATTGTCACGTGTTTTTTTCAGTAAGGATTATTGAACCATTTGTAGACGTTAATTTGAGACAGTAAGTTTCAGTTAATATTTATAATAATTTTACAATATGTGGATTGTTAGATGGGTACCTAAGCAATCGGGGAAAAATAGAAATGTATTTAATATAATTAAATTTATATAGGCATTGTAGGGACATATAAAACCGGATTGTGTTATAAGAACGTTGATGTTGAGGTAGGTTCTATAACGGATTTCTAGTATTTTCAACCTACTAATTTAATATTAATTAGGTATTACTTAATAAGGTTTTATAAAAAATAAGATTAAGCATTCCGTATTCAGTTGGACCACATCTGAGGAAAATGCTTAGCAGTCATGGATAGTCGCCCCGATTTTCAGTACTAAGATAAATCCAAATTTAAAAAACGAGGATTTTTTAGTTGTAAAAACAGGACAATTCGATTTAAAAACCGGACGCATTAATAGAGTATATTTATAGCAATATTATATATTATAATAAAATATAATAAATTAATATGTATTGAAAATAGGTGATTAAATTATATTTTTAATAAACGTATTAGAATGAAATTGTACGTGTTGAAAACCAGTTATTAAAGGATGTGCACGAATCGTAAAATCCATAAGACAATCTGAATTGTTTTTAAGCAGCGTCCTGCTTTAAATCTATTCTGGATGTCCTAGGACACTAGAAACATTAGGGCAGGAAAAACAGAACAACTTTCAAGTTTAAGATAAAAGAAGAAAAATATCAAAGCTCATTCATTAGTATGACTAAGTTTAGGTACCTACATGCATACTGCTAAGAGATTTTCTAGAAGCTTGTCATAAATAATTTTCAAAGATCATTAAAATATTCTGATTTTAATGATCATTTTGGAAAGATCATGTAATTAATATTACATACTCTAATAGTAACATAATTGAAGAGATTCGCAATTCAACTATAATTGGATAACTGGGTAGACTTTAACTAAAAAACAGTTTTATTAGTCCTTGTCAAGGTTAGGTGGTCTTAAGATATTTCTTCGCCTAGAATTAAAGTATTGTCCATACAATAAAAACCATATAATGCAAAAAAAATGAGCATCTTTTAGTTATTTATTATAAGCTGACAGAAAGGGTCATGTATCGCCATTTTTTATTCCTGTGAATATTTAACACTTTGTTCCATTCAAATAGAGATCGACAACCTGAGATGAGGTTCACACCTCTAGTCAATCTTTTCGATTAAAAGCGTGTCAGTCCGACAGTAGTTGGTCCAGCCTTCCTGCAAGTTTGTAGTACCCTCAGTACTCGTGCCATAACCGTGCGGTGAAGATGTAAAGACGACACCAACAGCATTCGAATTGTACGGAAAAAGCAATGGAAAGCATTCTAAATATAAATTTATATACAAATTCAAAATATTTATTCATGTAGGTCTATTATCCTATGATATGTCAAATCTACCGGCAGTTCGGAATGATTTCGAGATGAGAAGAACTGACAAGAAACTCAGCTCATGTTTACAAAAATACTTACATTCATTTATAAATTCAAATTTGGGAGAATAGAGTGACCACTCAGCATATGCTATTGTAAAAGCAAAAAGTCTAATCAGTGTTCGTAACCCGCACAGACCAGTCCAGACCAAGCTATACACTATGTATAAATCATGCGTTGTAGCATACCATGGTGTAGGCGACAGGTATGCAAATTATTAAAACTATTGTTCACTCGTATTCAACAAAACAATTGCTTGTGAGAAAATTGTGACTAAGATTCATATAGCGTCAAAAAAGTATTTCATACAGTAAAGTGTGAGCAGTTACCAGCATAATGCTATAGCGTGTTGAATGTATTAGAATCGTTTTGCACTTAAATGAAAATTTGTGCAATTATTTATAATTACTTATTAGCACTATAATTATGTTATTATTATTAATCATTAATCACAGAATACAAGGATATTAATTCAATTATTTTATGAAATAGGTAGAATATATTATAAAGTATTCAATGTTGAAACAATGCTTAGGTATACCTTGCATGAAAATATGTACCTAGCGACTAGCTATTTTACTTCGAGTTAAGTCTGTAATAAGTAATAGACAAGAGTAATGTGTAAGCACTAAGTATAAGCCTAACCCGTAAGAGGCATGGCTTAAAGATAGATATAATATTTTTATTTACCAACCTGTTATACCCCTACTCGTCTTATTCTATTTTTAGCGCTAAATAATGTCATAGTAAACTGATTTATTTATTTTTATGATATGAAAATAATACCATAACCATGATCTACTAATATAGTGTCATTGTATAGGAAATAAAACGTGTTAGTTGTGGCTAAAGCAAAACCACCTTAAAGCATGTTATTTCAATGATGTCCATTAATAAAAATTACGAAACAAAGTACAGCATAGTTTGAAAATATATTTATCTGAATGACTATGAGACGAGGAGATTGAAGAGAATAGATTTGCTTGAAGTAAACACAAAGAACTCTATCGGCAGAAGGGCTAACTTTGATGTTCCTGGATCCGTATCCAGGAACATCAAAGTTAGCCCTTCTGCTTAAGTTTCTAGAGTCCGTACTCTAGACACTTAAGTTATAATAGTAATTCTATTAAGGTGCCAATTAGGTAGGTATCTACCTAGAAACAACATCTGCTGCTTGCTGCATGATCAAATAAGAATAATTGCAAATTGTAGCAAACTTTCTTATTAATAAAACAAATACATTTATGTAATATCAAAGTACGCAATTGCAAAACAAATACTGAAAAGCAGGGGAAACTAGGGAATTGTATATTTAGTAATATCTTAGGGACTGCAGTACCTACTGTAGTCTTTGGTAGTAGTCGCGGTCGTGTTTTGGTATAGTAATATAAATTAAGATTGTAAATTGAAAATTGAATCATATACTACAACACAGAGAAATTACTGTTGCTCATGCGTGTAAAATTTTAAATAGGTATTGCATGTTGTGTCTACTAGCTGTGTCTGCAACTTCTTTCAAGTGAGTAATTATTAAACTTGGATTAAATACTTAAGTACAAAACCAGTTTACATCTATTTAATGTTTATAAATAGATATAGATAAGTAAAAAAAAATACGTTGATTTAGTGTTACCCGACATAAAATATGAAAGTAGAAAATAAATTCGAAAGTCGAAATTTCGAAAATGTAACCTTTAGACGTATACAGATTGATTGGGGTTTAACGATCGGAATTAAAAGTATCATAACTTCTAAAGATTATGGCTGCAACAAATTTTTTTCGGTCTATATTTTTCAACTGCAGGTGTCACGTATAGATATTAGTAAGTTTTATAAAGAAGTTCTCCGTCATTAAAAATTATCTTAGTATTAGAATAAAAATGTAGAGTGAAAAATATAAATAAATTAACTCCACCAGGCGGCGGTGGCTATTAAAATTGTTCACTACTTAAGCTTCACTCACATACATGTACATACAAATAAAAATTAGTGCAGCCGTTTGTATTAATTCTATAGTTACTCATGGCTATTGTTAGCGTTATTAAGATGGTTGATGTTGGAATTGGGTAATACTCTATCATTCAAGTTAAACAATAGTTCATTGTCCGATATTAAGCGGATAGCTGTTTACAAACATGTAGACAATGATCGTGCAGCAAGTAGCGGATGTTGTTTCATAGATACCTACCTAATTAGCACAATATGGAGATAGCTTGTTAACAATGTGCTGCAATACAGCTACCTTTTTTCCACCGTACCACTCACGCCATCAACAGGGAATTTATTCCCACACACTGGAACTTAAGTGGTCTCGGACAGAGCGGCTTCCAAAAAGTTTTCTCCCGCATATATTTAGACTATGGAATGAAATTCCTGCGGAGGTTTACTCTAGAGACTGCAGTGTGGGGTTTATTAAGAAACCCTTCTTAATAAACCCCACACTGCAGTTTCTATTCTAGTTTCTATTCATAGTTTCTTAAGGGTTAACAACGAGCACGTGACTCTCTTGGGGTTTCAGGCGTTCATAGTCTAGGGTAACTGTTTAGAATTACTAGATATTAATTTTAATATTGGCTAGCATGGTGGTTTACCACATTGCATTACCCTCTGATGGATGTAAATTCTGTCTGTTTCTTGGTGTCTTCTAGGTGTTTTCAAGAATAGAATAGAATAGAATAGAATTTTATTTTATTTAATTATGAATATCTAACAATTTCAATTTGAAATTGTTAGATATTCATAATTAAAATATATCCTTTGCATAAAGACTTTAGGAATATGTTATGTGACGAAGCCCAAGGGCCATTTCACAAGCATATATGGCTATATGTAATTTTGTTATTAATCAATATTTTAGATTATTTGTGTGAAGTTTTCTAACATTTTTTTAAATTACTCAATCTATACTGAAGTCTCTGCTTTAAAAGTAATGATCTGAATTAAGAGGGCCCAGATCAATTAAAATAATTGGTTTACATATCACGCACAAATGTGAAGTAACTAAATTAAATTCACACATGACGTAAAAATAATAATCACAAACCACAAAATTCAGTCAACAATCTTATTCGCTATGTATCATTAGACAAAAATCCATGTAGTTAACTAGTGTTAGCATTACGCTAACTGGGGCATGACACCAGTAAGTAGGTACGGAAATAATACGTTATTTAAATTAATGCAATTTTTTGATAGGCATACAAACAGTGGATACTTGGTAAATGTAATTTAGCCTTGAATGTTTATGTTTCTGCTCTATGCTGCTCGGATCTTTTTCCTAGAACGATGTAAGGCAATCGATTAGATAAATATCAAAAACAGTTCATATCTAGTTTATACATTAATAAAACATCGATTATTACTTTTACAAATCTACAGTTATGGTGCCAATGATTAGGTGTCCAATGATTAGCACATTACTTTTAAATTGAAATTAAGATATTTGTTAAAATTTCATAATCTAATAATAAATAAAATAATTTTCAACTACTGTTTGATAATTATTGAGAAAACAAATTTATAACTCTTCTCATATTCGTAATCATATGACATTTCAACGACTAA